AAAGCAATTCTCAATTGTTTGATATTAAAGCAAGTTTGTACGTTGAGAAACCTCAGAAGGATATACACAGCTTCATTGGCACCTTTGCAAGGGTGAGAAATTTAACTTCCTTATCGTTTTGCTCTAAAATCTGGCTTTCTCTATGTAATTATCCTCTATTTCCAGTATGATGGATACAGCAGTGAGGAAAGCTTAGGGGTAGACAACACGTTATGGGCCAACACAGCCGTGGCATCCGGTTCCGCCCTTGGTATCGTCGTTTACACCGGTCAGGAAACGCGATCTCTGATGAATCACTCAGAAATCCGATCAAAAGTTGGTTTGCTCGATCAAGAGATCAATCAGTTAACAAAGGTATTATGCACGTAGAAATTATGCATCGAGATTGATATGCGCACGTATGAACGCTTGTACATTCTAACTTTACTTCGGCAGGTACTGTTTTGCGCGGTAATAGGACTCGCGCTTGTAATGATGTGCTTGAAAGGATTCAACGGACCGTGGTATCGTTACATGTTCCGTTTCGTCTTACTGTTTTCCTACATCATACCGATCAGCTTGAGAGTGAATCTGGACATGGGCAAAGCGTTTTACGCTTGGTGTATACAAAGGGATAAAGATATCGCCGGTACGGTCGTGAGGACGACCACTATTCCGGAAGAACTCGGACGTATATCGTATTTGCTGAGCGATAAGACCGGCACGTTGACGCAGAATAAGATGGTGTTCAAGAAGTTACATCTGGGCACCATATCTTACGGCCAGGAGACGTTCGACGAAGTAACGTCAGTACTGAAGACTTATTATCCCACTGACACGGAGCGTTCACCGGTGAAGCCGGCGTACAGTGGGAAAGTCCGAAGATCCGAGAATACCCGGATCTACGATGCCGTGCATGCTTTAGCTCTGTGCCACAACGTAACCCCGGTATATGACGAGGTAAACAAGTCCTCGAATCTGGACTCGGTGAGCGTGCAGACGGTGGAAACCGGAGATACAGGTTCCATTCAGAGGTAATAATGTCTCGTTGAATCAGTCGTGAAAGCCTCAGTATCGTCGTTAATCCTTAATATGAATCCTTAATTGAAATTCTAACGTTTCCAGTCAAACGGAGGCGGATCAACATTACTATCTGCCGGAACAGAAACGTAATTATCAAGCCTCGAGCCCGGACGAAGTAGCTCTGGTGAAATGGACGGAGGAAATGGGACTGCCTCTGGTCAAGCGGGACCTTAATTCGATGCAGCTGAAAACTCTGAACGGTCAAATATTGAATTACACCATACTGCAAATATTCCCTTTCACGTCGGAAACCAAGCGAATGGGAATTATCGTGAGGGAGGAGTCTAGCTCTGAGATCACTTTCTACTTGAAAGGTGCTGATGTTGTGATGTCTGGCATTGTGCAATATAATGATTGGCTGGACGAGGTGTGCGAAAACATGGCACGTGAAGGTCTCAGAACGTTGGTCGTAGCAAAGAAAAATCTGACCGAAGATCAATATCTCGATTTTGAAGCGAGGTAACGTATCATTAAGAGTATTACAATTACTTAATGTATGACTGAATTATATATTGTACGTTTTATAGATATAACGCGGCGAGAATGAGCGTCAGCGACCGTGTATCGAGAGTCGCGGCAGTGGTGGAAAGTCTCGAGAGAGAAATGGAATTGTTATGCGTGACCGGTGTCGAGGACAGATTGCAAGACAGGGTTAGGCCTACGCTGGAACTCTTGAGGAATGCCGGGATCAAAATATGGATGTTGACCGGTGACAAATTGGAGACCGCGACTTGTATAGCGAAATCGTCGCGTCTTGTGTCGCGCACCCAAGGCCTGCACGTCTTCAAATCTGTCGTGACACGCACCGACGCTCATTTGGAACTGAACACATTTCGCAAGAAGCAAGATTGTGCCTTAGTTATCAGCGGCGATTCTCTGGAGGTGTGCTTGCAGTATTACGAGCAAGAATTTCTGGAGCTCGCTTGTGGTTCACCCGCCGTCGTTTGCTGCCGGTGCTCTCCCACGCAGAAAGCCGAAGTTGTGAGTCTCATACAGAGACACACCGGCAAGAGGACGGCTGCCGTCGGCGATGGCGGTAACGACGTCTCCATGATACAAGCCGCGGACGCTGGTATTTATTTAATTTTTTGAATAATATATAAGTGTATCTAGATATTTTTTATTACAGTTTATATTTTCTTACAGGGATTGGTCTTGAGGGTCTCGAAGGAAGACAAGCATCGCTAGCTGCTGATTTTTCAATTTCTCAGTTTAGTCATCTCGCTAACTTACTATTAGTCCACGGTAGAAGAAGTTATAAACGATCGGCTGCATTGAGTCAGTTCGTTATACACCGTGGTTTGATAATATCGACTATGCAAGCTGTGTTCTCCGCAGTCTTTTATTTGTCTTCGGTTGCCTTATATCAAGGTTTTCTTATGGTAGGGTAAGTAACTCAAGTATACTTGTTAAAAATTGAATTTAAAACTTGCTGTAAGTCTCAGTATCTATGACAAAACTTTTTACATACTTCTTAGGGTCACTTCGACCAACTCCGATTAACTTTACTCGATGATTAACTCGATCAGCAATGTTGCTTTAATCTCTTCGATGCGTGATACACTCTGTACTGTGATATCAAATGATAAATTAAAATATCTGTCTCGAAAACAGTTTTAAACATGTATGGAATTATTAATTTCTTATTATTTGATGAATACGAGAGTTATGATCTTAGAAGAAATCAACGAAAACTACGTATGAATTATAGCACAAATGAATTATCTGGAAATTTTTGATAATTATTTTAAAAAAAGATTTGTAGTATCGAAACACAACTTTATTCCCGACTTAGACGTATACGTATAATAACCAGAGCATTCCCATTGGAGAGCTGTAGGCAAGATCTAAAAGACAGAAATGCTTACTGGGATGTTATATATGTCTATGATTCACGAAGTGGTATATGAGTTAAGAACGACATAAAGTTAAAAGTATTGCTGCTGATCGAGTTAATCGTCGATTAAAGTCAATCGGATTTGATCGGAGTGAACCTACTATAACTTTATTATAATGTATATAAAAATGTTTAGGTACGCTACAATATACACAATGTTTCCCGTTTTTTCATTGGTATTGGACAAAGATGTGTCAGGAAAGATAGCGCTTACCTATCCAGAACTTTATAAAGAGCTTAGTAAAGGCCGTTCGTTATCATATAAAACATTTTTTATGTGGGTTTTGATAAGTATATATCAAGGTACGTATTGTTTCAGTTAAATCTCGATAATCTAGATATATGCAATATACAAGTAAAGAAGATATATCTTTGACGACATATTCTAGGAGGAGTAATCATGTATGGTGCGCTTATAATGTTCGAGGACGAATTCATTCATATAGTGGCCATAAGTTTTTCAGCGCTAGTTTTGACAGAATTAATAATGGTTGCTTTAACAATTAGAACCTGGCATCACATAATGATGCTTGCAGAAATCTTCTCTCTAGCGCTCTATTTACTATCATTGGTCGTCCTGAAAGATTACTTCGGTGAGTTTATAATTACTTAACAAAAGATTAAATTCACATCGTTATTACAATATTTTTCTTGTTACTTTAATATAGATGCTGAATTTATTAAAACAACGGACTTCTTATGGAAGGTATTGGTGATAACGTTGGTCTCATGTATGCCGCTGTATATCCTGAAATTTTTGAGGAAGAAGTTTTCACCTCCCAGTTACACCAAATTATCGTAAAATCTTATGCGGAAATTGATTTGTCCGTATAGAGATGAGGACAAGGGAGGATAAAACATCAAACGTAATTCAATGAAGAGCTGTATAAAAATTTTCTTTTGTTCTACAATATATCCCTAATCCAATCCAATTAATATAATTTTTAATGAAATAAGAAAAAATGCACCGTTTTCTAACACCCAGCTATTTTTGTAACAATCAATTTTTACGACGTTAATCCTAAAGAGGATTAACGTAACAGGAAATAATAACCGCAAAAATTAAAAGCCGGCAGTTTCTAAATTTCTTGTATCTGTATCTATGTTCTTGTATTTCTAAATTTATTATATCTGCGCACTGACTTCAAGGAAATATGGATTGGATTAAACTTGTTATAAGCGAAACAAACTTCACAACTCTCCGCATAATGTTAATTCTTCCTGCAAGCTTATCCTCTACGCATCTTGGCTTTAGATTAAATACATGACTTTTTTTATACTTGATTTTCTTTATATTTCTTTCGTTTGTACATTAATTTATTTAATACATTGCCAAAGGTCGCATCTTCCATTTCAATGTGTTTATACGCACATATTTTTGCGACACATATATATACCTGCTCTATATAAAGTTTATTTTTGAAATATTAATTCGATATGTTCTCTAATCGAGCACAACAGTATTTCTCGTGTATCTAAATCTTCAAGTATTCACATGGATCAATATAATTTTAATTTGTATAACGATAACTAAATGCATTTTACTTGGCTAGAATTAATACGATTAAGAGATCTAGAATTTGAGTATCAAGAAATAAAACTGTGATTTTCGCGAGTTAAACCTAACCGGCATTTTTTGCACTGATGTTGTTATGCATATAAGAAGCTGTAATCACTGAAACTATTCGAGATGTCTTGTTTTAATTTTATCCCTTATTGAAAATATTTCTACACGAAGGGCATATCTTTTGTTATCATTTATATTCTAAGCACATAAATAATAATACTAGATTACATAATGTTTTATATTCATGTAAATACTGCAAGCATGTAGAACATAACTGTAATCGTTGTTATCTCTAATATGAAACGTATCGCAAGTAATGTTGTTCCTAGACGACTATTATTTGCTATGTAACGCGTTTATAATTAATTTATTCGCAAATAAAATAATATATTCCTTTTCCTGTGATATTTGTATTGTTCATACGACACATTCACATGCGCATTTTATCAAGGTATCTTACAGAACTCTGACATATAAAAGTCCCATTTTTGGAAAATACTTTATTCTCAAACTTTACCGGATAATTACATTGAGTTTAGCGGCTACCGCTTTTCCTATTTTATCATGAATTCTATTAACTTCGCTCTGAAACAATGTACGCTCCATGTGTCTATAGATTACGCTGTAGCAATGAGATGTTTTCTTGGTCTTTGGATGCGTGAATTCATCCTTCAATAAAATCTGTTCGATGAAATCGCCGCCTATTTCTCGGGCTATATCGTAGAAGTCGTTAGAAGAATAACTTCCGTCTTCCGGCAACCAGAAACTTATGTCGTTGGTACAAGGTGGATATATACTGACAGGCTAAAAAAAGTTTATATTCGTCTCTATATAGATTTCATATAAATTACAACTAAATTAATATATAAGAGATATGATAAAACGCACACACAACATTCTAATAATAAAATAAATTGAACGTTTATTTTACCTTGTATTGGATACGTGCATTAGGATCGTCTACTTTGAACTGATTTAGGAAGCCCGCGTCGTTGCTCCAGAATAATCTTATGTCCGGAATGCCATATAGGCGCATGGCCAAACGTTCCAAGCCGAGACCGAATGCCCATCCGATCCGATCCACGGCGCCGGATCTCTGTAGAATTTCCTGACGCATAATGCCACAGCCGAGTATTTCGAGCCAATTGTCGTTGTACAATATTTCTAGCTCCCACGACGGATGCGTGAATGGGAAATATTGATCGACCCATCGGCACTGCACATCTATGTTAGCAGGATACTCAAATTAATTTCAAGCCATTCCAGTGAAGCATCGCGACGGTTCTCGTTTGAAAATGAATTGCGTGCTCGTCGGAAGTATTAAACGAAAGCAATACCTTTCCCAAAGATAGCTTGTGCCAGACTAGTTAGGGTACCCTTCAGTTCCTGCTCCATAAGTTTCACCGCTTCCAAACTATGACAAGCCTGCTTCTCGTCGCTCTCCGTCCCTCTGTGCTCGAACAGCTGTAGATCTTCGGAGTCGTTCGTGTCGTGAAATATCTCTCGCGACGTGCGCAATCTGACCGCGTCGACCTGGTGAAAAATCGGGTAATGCGTGCTGTCGATCTCGTCGCGTCGGTACACGTCCCCGACGACGAGAAAGTTATTCAATCCCATCGAGATCAGCTCGGCCTGATGCGCGGTGGTGTGCGCTCTCAGCAGCGTGTCCCGGTTCACGTAGTAACAGTCGGCTTTCTTTCTACTCGGATGATCCTTCGGCACGAGAAGGGAGTCGAAATTTTGCGCGACGCTAACCACGGGACACAGATTGTCATAGATGCTGAACGACGGGGTCCCGCTTTTACTGCGGAACTGTCCGTAAAAGAAATTCACGATGCGCTGACGTAAATGCGAGAGCGGATGGTATTGCTGAACGTGCAGGTTTCGCCCCAATTTGGCGACGATATTTGGGGTGACATTCGTCCAGTCGTCCGTCGCGTACTTCTGACCCAAGAGCACCAGCTCGTTGCTCTTGTTAACATTGGTGGCAACTGAGGCCGCCCTACAGGCTGTTTTGACATTGTTTATCAGGGTTTCCTTGCAAAAGCGACACGTGATGCACCTGTAAAAAAATACATACTTTAAACAAGAATCAATTGTTTCATTAAAGATAGATAAAATATGTTGACATTGTGCGTACCACATTATTAAATCTTAATTTCTCTTACTTATAACAAGAGTGCGTTATACTGGTTTATCTTAAAGTGATTTCAGAATAAATCTCCAAGTATGTGTAGCTTGCACTAAACTGTAAAAAACACCTTTTCATTATTTCTACGTACTTCTGCATATATATTCATTTACATTATATAAATAAGACTATTTTAAAATGTATTGTAATTTAGAAAAAAAAATTTTTTTTTAATTATTTAATAGTAAACTGTGTACAATATCTCTGTTTATTATCTGCCTAAAACTAAAGAGCGTTATTAACTCCTGAAAATTATTAATCACATCTCCAAAAATTTTGCAAAAAATAAATATGTGGAGGTTATATAAGAAAGTGTCAATTTTAACATCAGAATATTGATAAGACAGGCATCGAATACCACTTATAATAAATAAATAACGTTATTTGATTCGATATTGATGATGACAATGTAAGTCTAGTCGCGGTATCGCATTAAATCGCGGCTCGCACAAGTCCATTTATCGCACATGGAAGAACACTAACCAAAAACAACAAGACGCCATCGGGTTATCACTCCAGTACGAGTACGCCACAGTCGCTACATAACCATGTGCTACGACAGAGTCGCCGAATTTGGCTCCATTTAGATTTGTAGTGGATCTCTAGTTTTTGTAAATACAATGAATCCTGGTCGAGACGCGATTCTGAGCCTCTATCGGAATTTAATCCGAGAAAGCAAGAAGTGGAACTCGTACAATTATAGGTAATGTAATATCATCGAGACGATTTTTTAGTGAACGTATTAGAGTGAAAAAAAAATCATCTATTTCTTTTTCCTTCAGTATATGTATACATTTTTTTTAAATACTAAGAATTTCATCTTCAAGAATTCTCTTATATTAACGTGATTTATTTCTGTATATATCTAGAAGTGTAAAATCTTTTTTATTTCACAAATAACTAAGTATAGCCTGTCATCGAGCATCCAATTGTGCCTTTCATATGATAACGAAAGGTGTATGGACTGTATAGAGAATAATAATTGTTCGGTACTTTTCAGAATGTATGCACTGCGAAAAGTACGACACGAGTTCAAGGAGAACAAGGCGTTGGAGGATAAAGAGAAGGTTAGGCAGTGTTACACGAAAGGGCAGGAGGCGCTAACAATGATCAAGAAACAGGTCATATTAGGCAATCTCTACAGCACTAGGCATTTGGTGATTGAAACCAAAAGCAAACTAGTAAAATAGTAAAATAGAAGTACAATTGCGGTTTACCTTTAATTTAATATCGCATCAGCTTTTACCTTTAATACTGCGAGACAGGCTGATATTAGGATGTAATAATTAATGCGAGCGTATCAAAGACACATCTGTCGAAGACATCATTTAAAACTCTGTGATTGTTTGATAATTTCTTCATATATCGGTGCAAAATAAAATTCAGTAGTTCCCGCAGCAAAATTTCATTTATATGACACCATGTATATCTTGAAGTATTTTTGTATTTATATATGTTGTACATATGATTAGGTACTGTATAATGCTTTTCAAATTGTTAAATAAGAAATAAAATTTTGCTAATATAGTAACTCTTGTATATCTATGTATCCCTTGTATGAGATTAATGATTTTATACAATGATTTTATGACGTTAAATGTATATTACAAATAACTAATTAAATAGAAATTAAATTCGTAAAAGAAGTAAAAAGTATTTCAGTTAATTGCATTATCTGTCACTTTTCGAAGTTTCAAGTAATGCTACTCCTTGTCAGATTATAATCTAGCTGATACTTTTTTTAATTTTAAGAATTGAACTTTCTGAGGTTTGATTTCACAGATTGATATGTTCATAATTATAAAACTACTAAACTAGTGCAACTTTTTACCTGATTTATATATTCTTTTGATACTTATTGTCGATATGTATAAAATATTTATATAAATGCAATTTTACCACAGCCGGTAAAATAAATTGTCAATTTATAGACCATCGATAATTTATTATAGTAACCTTCATTGAGAGAGAGAGAAAGAGAGAATCAGTTACAAAATTTTATAAATTCTCCAAGATCAAAGTAGCAGGAGAATATAACTAGCAAGGAGGTTGCACTAATTGAAATTTTGAGAATCGAGATTCTAAGAATTTTAATTTCTGCAAGTTAAAATTTAATTCTGGGAATTCAAACTGCGAAAAATTAAGATCTTATAAAAATGGACAAAGAAGTGAGCTAAGAGAGCTCTATAATTCCAAGAACAGAAATTTTAAGAATTTCTGAAATTTTAAACCTTAGAATAGAACTTTTAGAATAGAAATTTAAAATCTCAAAAATTAACAAAAGTATCAGGAGAATATAATCAGTTGGGAAACTTCAGGGATTGTAATTTTGTAAATTAATAAATGTTTTAAGCCCGTTAATTTTTAAATATTAAAAGTTTAAACTTTGAAAAATTGGTAAAATATAACGAAATATGAGAGATTAACTTTAACTTTCATTATCCTTTATTCATCAATTTTATAAATAAAATTGTAATCTACGAATATGGAATATAAGTTAATTGTTGATACAATTTTCATTTTTTTTAAACTCAAAATAATACAACTGCCGACCCTTGAACACAGATGGTACAAGAAATAGATAAAGCTGGAGAGAGACAGAGGGAGCAGGCCTGGTGATCGTGGTGATCACTGATCTGACTGATCAGCTGTTTCAAGATGACAGCTGATGCGGTGTGCGGTGCGTAGCGCAGCGCGGTGGAATGATTACGAGATATATCGCGTAGAGATAAGCAGAGATAACACCTGAAAAATGGCCACGAGGAACCTGACCGAGCCCTTCGTTTTAATGCGAAACAATGCTCTGCAGAGCAGGCACATTTACGCCGAACAGGTGCGTACATTTAACCTGTTCCGCTTGCCGCTTTTATCTTTTCGCCCTATCATCCTCAATGCGTGCTCTTTCAGAATCTTACCGATCGCGCGGCACTGGTGGAATCAGATTCGGGCGCATCCGACAATGTCGAACTCAGGGGTGTTAGCGGGGACAGCAGTGCACCGCCTGCCTGGGCGGACGCTTTGGAGGAGACGCAGTACATCCTGAGCAGATTGCGGGTGAAGATAGACAGCCTGGTCGAGCTGCACTCTAAGCAGCTTACCAGGCCCACCCTGGACGATACATCTCAGGTTCGCCAGTTCCTCATTCTGTTGTAATTTGGTTCTTGACAGACAGCTGGATTTGAAAGAACCGCTTCTGTCGCTTGCTTCGCAAAAGAAGAATACCGTCAACCAAGTGAAATTTTTTACATTTTATAATAATTGCAACGTCAGGATTTTTTATGTGTTTTGTAACACTGCGCAGGAAGAGAGGCAAATGGAGCAGCTGACACGAGAGATTGGACGTGCGTTCTCCAGTGGCTATAGACAAGTACAAACAATTAAGTCGGCCGGCAGGCACGAAAGTAAACCTACGGAACGTCGTCTAGCTGCCAGCGCGGTGATGGCCCTCTCGACTGCCTTGCAGGAGTTAGGTTTTCGATATAGGGCAGCGCAGAATCACTATCTTACACGTATGTCCTTTGTATGATTTAAGGATGAGCAGCTATTAATATTTTTAACGAACTGTAGCGTTATTTGTATTGTAATTCGATGAATCTTTGCAGAGGTGAAATCAAGAGAAGAGAGGAACAACCAGTTCTTCGCGGAAGACCAATCTCTTTTAAATAATGTAGCAACCGATCCTTGGTTGATGGAATTGAACGAGGCAGCTGGTGATTATTGGCAAAGAAGTGAGCAACGGCAGGACTCGGTTTTATTACAATTGGAGGAGCCGGAAGATAGAATGAAATTGGCGATGGAGAGGGAGGAACAGATTGGAAGTATAGTTCAAAGTATAGGAGACTTAAAACATATTTTTAAGGTAAGTTTTGTGTATTACGCACGCGCGCGAATATTTATGATAATATAATAATGATATAATGCAGCAAATACAAATCTTTGATTTGGGGTAAATCCAAATATATTGTTTTGATATTTATTGCCAGTGGCGACAAGACGATAGTTTCGAATAAAAATCTAGATTTTTATTATGCACAGGATCTTGCAGTAATGGTACAGGATCAGGGTACTATTTTAGACCGGATCGATTACAACCTCGAGCAAACGCAAGTGCAAGTACAAGAGGGCTACAAGCAATTAAAGAAAGCCGACTCGTATCAGAAGGCCAATAAAAAATTGTACTGCATCGTGATTCTCGCGGCAGCCATTATATTACTTAGCTTCCTGTTCGTCATATTTAAAACGTAGAATCAACTATAATTAGAATAAAATTAACGTAAGAATATTGGTATACTTGTTGGTATTTATCATCGTGTTCCATAAAATAAAACAATTCTTTATAGAGAGTTTGTTGTAAATGTATATAATGATGGAAAGCTATTTTTTAAAATAGTATGTGCGATTTTTCTCAAGTGTTGTCAGGAAAAAACGATGTATTCATAAGATTACGGCAAATGTCTGTTCAGTCTGTTTATGAATTAATATGATAGAAATAATCAACTATGAATGTGGCATTAATCTTTTTAATCGATGTTAATCTTTAAAACAATCCTCCACACATGATATATCGTAATCCCTGCAATTTTATTTAGATAATCCCGCTGTATTTTTATTCTTCTAATGTATACTAAGAGTGATCGCAAAAATAAGATTTATGATAGAATAATTTATTTATCTCACTTGAATGTATATTTTTTTATAGCGATAACGTGTATAAATTATTTTTTTTTCGTGTAATATCGCATAATAGAAAAAAAATGCGTTTTAACTTTTTATATCTGTATTGTAAACTATTCTGTACATCCAATTGTTAAATCATCATTCCATAATAAAACAATGACTAATTAAGTCCTTATAAATTCTGCTCATTTTCTTGTGTACACATACACAGAATGGTCTATATATAAGGTATTACAAATTGTTTTTTTTTTTCAAACACCATAAGAAGTAACAATACGATTTTTTCCTGGTATTTTAAAGTTCACTAGGAGCTTCTTGTGACAAGTGGGATTGTCCGCTACCGTTCTATCAAAGAGACAGATGTGATTTCGGATGGTGATTCCTTCCATTATTTCGTTTAAACTATATAATATTATATACCAATATAATATTTCTTATATAAATCGCTCCTCATTCTGCATGTAAAAATACGTGTCTACCAAATATAATGGTGCTCAAGTTTTATTTACGTAGTCTCTTTTCTACTTCATCGCTTCTTGAACATTGCATTTCCTATCACAGATTGCGTATTAAGTATCCATACATATCCCTGTCGTCATTTAGCTAATATATCAATATATATCAACTTTCGTATTAATAAAACTTCTAAAAACCACATGTTTCTATGCTATAAATGATACGCTTCAATGTTCGGTTTATCTCTTGTATACGCTACAATATCTCGCCTGACCGCTAATATCAAATGTATCATAACATTATATTGAATACGCGTTTTAGGCTTACTTTTAAAGTACGTATTAACATATAAGTTTACATACCGCATGTTTAACATAACAAGATAATATTTCTCGCATTTTCACGATACATTATCAAAGAGCAATAAAATCTCCATTTGAAATGTAATAAAATTATGAAAAGTATATTTCTCTTTTTTTTAATCATCTTTAAACTGAATAAACCTAATTAACATAAAACTTAATTAATATAATTGTACATATGTAATTGTATATCGCATATCATAAATAAAATAATGTAAAATATAAGCAATAAGGCACGCTGTTTCTAAATTAAGTGTAAATAAAAACTATTAAGTAATAAAAAAATAAGTTTTTCTGGAAACGTTTTGTACTAAAAAGGTAGTATTACATATCATATACCTTATACTTATACTAACAACAAAACATTACTAGCCTATTTCACTAAAGTAATCACAGCTTATTAATAAGAGATGTAAAGGCATATTACACGGCGGATTAAAGATGTTACGTAAAAGATGCGTCTGCAATTGTCTAATTCACGCGTGTTCTCATTTGCAAATTGTCAGGAAATAAAAATGCGCAATATAAAAAATGCTTGTGCGTTTCGATAAGCACAACTGCCCGGACATTCTAATAAGAATACCTAGTGAACACAATGTCCCAAATTGGAACATAAGATATCTTAAAGATGTCATTAAGACGTCTTTAAGACGTCATACGTCCCGATTTGAGTCATGCGTCTGGGTATATAAATATCCTTTCTAACCCCACGAAAATAAAAGTTATTAAAAGCAATTCTACATATAAATCGTGTATAGATAAATGTGCATAAAAAGCATTTTTAACTTAATCGTAAAAAGGCAAACATAGATTAATCCTAAATACGTATATAATATTAGAATTTATGTCAAGAGTTTCGTTGTATTATTCGTTTTTCTTTTCGAAACTCGTTACAATACAGACTCCAACAGTTATGTATTAACTGTATGTACACTCTACAAAGTGTGGAATCTAATAAGGTGTATTTCTGGAGAGATAATGTATAGTCATGACAAATTTATCAATAATATGACAATTGTCAAATTTAGGTGCGAGTCATATCATCGATACCATCTCCCATAGATAATTTCCTTATTAAATGGAATGTTAACAAGCGCGAACAGATTTAAAATAGACCTAAGGTAGCATTTGAACTATCATCTTTTTCCGCACGTTGTAAGTCACTACTCGCTGAGTAAATCTTGTAATCTCTTCGCCATTTACCTTTCACTAGGAGATATTTTGAACAATTAAATAGTTATATACACTAAAAAATCGATCGTTTCCTCGCGAATGGTAATATGGAAAGGAATATAAAAATAATTTTAATAGTATGTACAAACAGATTTACCAAGCATTCTCTTTATGTAAAGTTTAAGAACTAAGAGGGTAGTTATTCAGCACTCACACGAATTGAGCAGAAGTCACACGATGCCATTGACAATATGTCTACATATAAAATAATTTTGATACATGATTAATTATCTAAGTCTAAAGACTCTCGATATTAAAATTAATGAGTAACAAGGAAAAATGGGCTTTGCGAGTCAAGTTAGTTGTACGCGAGTTAATGTTATGTAATATTAAATTAATAAATTAATATAAATTATAAATCGTAAATTATAAATTATAAATTATGAATTATAAATCGTACGTTTCGGCTCTACTTTAAACCATCTTCACCGATACACGGTAGATAAATGAAACAATCTCTAGTTCTCCGACAAAAGATTATAGGGTAAGTATTTAAAAACTGAATGTACAAAGGAGCATCATTTTCAAGAGAAAATACCAGAAAAATTCTGCTAATATTCACAATCAGCATAATTTTCGGATTAGAAATGAAAATTGATACTAACCGGCAAAGAGAAGTGAAATAAAGATGGCTCAAAACGGCAAAACGTACAATTTATACTTTATATTAAATTATTATTAATACAAATATTACATAACATTAATTCATGCACAACTAATCGCGTTTAACTTTCAAAGCTCATTTTTCTTTGTTACTCGTTAAAAATAATTTTACTAAGCTACGATCGAGTCGCGCGAGTGGCTGTCAGATCTCTCAGGTATTTGTGGTATGTAGAATGTGCGCCAGAATTCCAAGCGCACCACCCAGAACGAAGCGAACGAAATTGTTACCGACTAGAGGTCCTAATGCGTAAAGTCCTTTTACCGGCGCGTTGATCACTTCGTATGTGAAATCGTCGATTTCAATTGGATTCGATTTACTATTGATCGGCTTACTTGCAAATTTACCCAATCCTATGCCGCCACCTTCCAAATATGATAGGTCTGGTTTGTATCCTAAAATAAATTATTCAATACATTAACATCAGCAAATTTGCCAATTGAACGCTTCAATATCTACGATCATATTTATTTCACAAGATTTACTAGTTTGAACTGTTATTAAGAAGTATATATTATATGTACCGATAAGAATAGCCGCAATGGATACTTTAAATGTGTGCAGCCGACCGTCAGGAGCAGCAAGAGTGGCTGTCCTCCTTGTATGCGTGTTTCCATTCTCGCGATTCTCACAGAGACTGACGAGCGTGTATCCAGGCAACGACTTGTACAGAGAATAATTTGTACCTCCGTCAGCCATCATCTCGTACACTTTATGATACTCCGGATATATGGAATCCGGCAGCCATTGCAATCGATCGTAACTAGTAGTTATCCTCTCGGCGGTCTGTTTGCCCCACTCATTCAACGTGTGGCGGAATGCGTGCAGCACGGGTATGCCTCGAAAACGCGCAGCCATAATCGCGTCGGCCGCGCTCAGACCAGCTCCGATTACTAACACGGGTGGAATCTGTTCGTCGGTCAACTCTTGGCCTACGGTTAACGGTTTCTCAGATGAGAACAAATCGAATTCTGCAATAAAAAAAATAAAAAATTGTACAAGAAGGAAGATAAGCTTTCTCAAAAATCACCGAATTAGGTGCAATCTCTCTTTCTTTATATAATCTTGCATTTACGTACCATATTCGTCGACCAAACGTCCCAATCGAGTCTCCAGATCATTGAGATCGTGTGTCACCCATTTGGGATTCATATTCTCCCCTGGGATGTTTAGATGATTCGATAAATCGGTCGAGCCGGTTGCGAGAACCGCCCTTTTGCACCAATACCGAAATCGCTTTCCACTTTTATTTTCGTACCCGTCTACAATCCAATTGTATCCTCCTTTGCTCTCCGGGTTCGGTCTTACTGAGGTAACTGTGGTCCCACTGCAACAAATTGCTTCGTGAAAATCTGCATCGATGTCAGTGACGGATTCGTGCCATAGATAATCTATTTCAAATATGTACCATCGGAAGTATTGTTTCAAGCCTTTTCTGCGCACGTAGTCCTTGTAATAAGCTGCTACGGTACCCATGGAAACTCGACTAGACGCCTTACAAACACTCAGTTTTTCTAGCCGCGCATAAATGTCGCTTTCCGCTAAAACCGACTTTTGTAAGTGTTCGACCTCGACGAGTTTCTCCCAGTGCCTCAGATCCAAATCAGGGAGAGACATCCATCGACTCAGACTGATGGTGAGTACATTGGGATCCATAGACTAAAAGATAATATTAAAGTGTCAAATTTATACTGAAAGAACTTTTCACATAAATGTATTGCGTTAAGAGTAAAGTAATACTGTTGCAATCAGCCTTATCAATTTCTAACGTAAAATCTTTAATTTTTCAATAATTAGATATTCTAATTTATTAAGATTTTTCTTTTCATTACTTTTATATTCATCGTGATACATTTTGTTTCGTGGAAGAAAATCTACTATTTGCAGGATTACAAGGAAATATCGTTCACTATGCACCTGCCAGGCACCGCCAGGTTGGCCCTTGCCAAGGACAACGTGATCCACGATCCTGTGTTCGGGATGCTCGTCCGCGGAACTCCAATCGAGTAGCGAAGCTACATCGAGGCCGGCGTCGACGCATGGATGCTGCAGCTGGTCCATGAGAAGAGCCAGCGGTCGGCCACCGCCTCTGCCCTCGATGCCGGAGGACAGGCACTCGAGTTTGGACCGTGTGCTGTGCGCTAGCCCGCCCTGTGTTCTGCCGGGTTTGGAGCACTGACGACGATTGTTGGTAGTCACGTCGATGTTCGCATCGTCCGACACGTCGCCGCACTCCTCGTTGCCGGTCGTGTAGAACCGTAATCGCGCTGTCAGCATATCGTCGCCGGGATGAGGTTCGCCGTTGTAGTAAGGCCAGTTTCCGGCAAGCATATATGACAGACATATCCCGCTGGGCCCGTTTCCTAAGAATTAGAGATAATGTAGAATATCTTTATGTATGACAATCTCTAATTTCCCGGCAACTGAGCTCCGAGTTATAACTGCTGACTGTTTCACAGAGATATTTTAACTCTTCCCACGAACTTTTTATTTGAGACGCTATTGCTCTTACGATAAGAATTTTAGCTTTGTGGGAAATTAATGCCAAACACAAGAAAAATAAGAAGCTTGTTGATCCTCAACGTAAGGTAAATATACCAATGCCTGGACATTTTTTTTCATTTTAGTGCTTAAATAAGTTATAACGCGAATTAAAGAGAATCAAAAATAAAAATATTTTTCTTGTATTATATTTTTAGTTTTGTTTTCATATTTTTATATTTTTAGCGTTATATCATACTTATTTAAAAACTAAAATAATAAAGGTGTCTAGACATAGGTCTTAAGTGTCCCGGCACTGGTACATTTACCTTTAGTGGTGTCAAATAACCATACGTATGCACGTTAAAAAATTTAGTCAGATTGTACCCAGATAGCAAAACGTCCGTCATATTTACGAAATATGTCCGAAACTCGTGACGAGCGTTTGTACAAATAATATGTAAAGCTGCGTCCGCGAATGTTTAAAAATAGTTTGAATTTGTTTCAAGCAACGGTTTATTCAATATTCGTTACATTTTTCCAACAGTTTACATATTCACGCCCGGAGGTTCTATATATTGGTGTACAATTTACATAATATTGATGGAAGCAATTTACATATCTTTGCTGTAAAAGCACCATAAGTATGAATCCTAGACGAGTTACGATTCATGTTTACATAATGTTTGTGACAACAGAAATTGTTTTCAGCAACACGTTTGCATGATTTTGCACATTCATGTTTTACTATCACGAGTACGTTCTTATTATCCCTTTGCGCGATTTTTGTATGCCTTTTATTATCGAGCTATTAAATCTCGATGAAGCTCAAGACATTTCTCTGCACTTACCTATGATGACAACATCTTTATAAATGACGTCGTTATCGTCGACCTCAAATCCGTTCTGCATTTTTCTTCTTCGTGTATCTTATATCTCCGTAAACGCAATTCTCCCGTCGATCCGTTCTACTGCAAAGAGAACGATTACTTTATCGTAAAAACATTGTAAATGACAATGTAATGACACATAAGTACAAAATTACAGAAGAGTAAAATAGTACGCAGCATTTTCCTTGAAATAATCTTTAAATTGCGGTCTCAACATTTGTCGCGCTTATAAATAGTGCGATTATTACGCAAGACGTTATCGTTACGCGGCGCCGATAATTTCTTTCTGAACGAGTAGATAATCTCACAAAAATTCCTATATTTCATAATACCAAGGCACAAATTTACATATGAATATATGTTTCATATATTATAAATATTTATTAAGTACATATTAAATATATGTTTCATATATTATAAATATTTATTAAGTACATATTAAATATATATTAAATATATATAATATATCTATTAAATATAATTAAATATATATTAAATATATATTGAATATATATATTGCAATTCTACTTTCTATATGTCTACAATTGCGTATTAGCGACTGCGAAAACTTATCTAAGCAAGCTATAAAAGAGTTTTCTACGCATTAGTTAATTACACAATGTGTAAAAAGTCGATAAGATAAACGATTTACTATACTTAAAATAAACAACTTTACTTTTTGGATGACATTGCGATTTATGAATGTAAAGTGTTATAAGTGATATCTCTAATATAATCAGTGCAAACATTCTTACGACTTATTCTAATTCATGAATCGCGTAGAATCTATATCGATCGCGAGCGAGAGATCTTGAAGATAAGTGACGATCGCGTCTTTAAAAAGTAAAAGTCGTGACCTTCGTTCTCATTAGCGGCCTTCGCTGGCGTCGTGTTTCCTACTCTCTAACGCTTAACCGGTTCACTGAGTTCACTCAAGTGTCCCAAGTACAATTACCGCGACATAAATCGGCAAACCTTTCGGCCGTTAAAAACGGCCTGGTTACTCACAATCAGATGAGCCCGGCGAAAACATATTAAAAATAGAGATGTATAAAAAGACGTAAAAAATAAATCTAGGAGAATAAATAGTGGCTAGAAATAATAATCTAATAATAATAGAAACAATAACATAATAAAAATGTAAGAAATACATAGAAATGTGCAGATAAAATAGTATATTGTGCACCAAGGGGCGAAAGCAGCGTTTTTCAGACGAGTGTGAAGTTTGCCGCCCGAGTCGAAGGCGAGGGCAGTAAATCACACGAGTCTGAAAAAGCTTTCGACCCGAGGTGCACACGATATTTTTCACAACATTTTTACGGAAAGTTCGACCTCCATGCCTAGAGAGGGGCGAGAGTGACCAATTTTACGCCAGGGCGGCATAGCGGGTGGAAAGTAACCACTTTTCTCCCTAGGGCGGAAAGTGACCACTTTCCGCCCGCTAATGCCGCCCTGGCGTGAAATTGGTCACTTTCGCCCCTCTCTAGGCATGGAAAGTCGAACTTTCCGTGGAGGTATTGTGAAAATTACATTTTTGTTTTGCGTTCGTGGACGAACTGACGCGTGAGATGATAGAAAGCGCGGTCGCGTTAAAAAGCGTCAATGGGTCGCCTAGTTTATACGCACGATCGAGAGATCGTTATACTTAGCTCCCATTTCTCCTCATTACCCGTCGCTTCTACTCGAGATCACCTGCTCCGCAAATAACCGCGGAGAACGTCTCTCGATTTGTAGCACGGTCCATTTTCATTATGATGCTTAACAGTTAAGAATAGCAACGTCACTCGAGAAACGTAATAGATCAACGACAGAGACAAGAATTGACAATGGTCCAACCGCGATTTAGGCATTTCGATCTCAACGTCAGATTATTGGGTATTGTCGAGTGTTAATTTTTACGAGAAGTGCGTGACCTAAGATAAAAATTGTCGGAATAGATATCTTTATGAGATAAGGAACGTCAGCTGGCCCGGCGCGCAGGTGGCCAAGGATAAAATTATCAGTACTTGTACAGTTTTAAAGTACTGACAAGAGAGCATTGTTATTATTTTTTTTTTGCTTATCGAGTCCCATCAAGGAAAAAGCTACGACATTCTTACCGGCAATACCTCGGGGGAATAACGCGGGGAGGAATCTCATCGCGGAATCTATCGAATGGCAAACGGCAAATGATTGTTGCGCACGATTGCGCCGATATCGATCGACGGACAGTTGACGGTATCCCACCGGTGAGATGGGCTCTCTGACAATAAGGCATTATTCACGGCGCGTAGAAATATTCAAGCGATCGGCTTACGTGCTCCCGCGTGTCACCGATAGCGGTCTTTTACTGCTCGTCGTGGGAATAAAGCCGCGCGGAAGATCGATGGAGAATAACGAACAAATATGATCTATTCCTGCGTGAAAATGGGACGTCGTTTAGCAACGCGAGGGACGTCAAGTCGCTGAAAGAGGATTATTCGTTATTACGATCTATAATGAACGTAATACGGATATAATTGGGGAACGTTGCTTCGTGCGTTTTGTAACGCTACCCCGCATTTCACCCAGAAATTTTATTTCTAAGCGCCGTTATTTCCTCCGAATATGCAGAATTTGTGGCATCTAGCACATGTATCGGTTATCAGTTCTATCTCGTTCACCGAAAAAAAGTTTTGGTTATAATAACCAAGGCTTGGTGAAATAGCTTCAACTAAAGGGTTTAGTGATTATGACAAAATATTTGGTTAATGTTAACCAAATTTGTTAACATTAACCAAATTATTTCGTCATAATCACTAAATCCTTTAGTTGAAGCTATTTCACCAAGCCTTGGTTATTATAACTAAAACCTTTTTTCAGTGTTGCGGAATAGTTTTCTCTCTCTCTCTCTCTCTCTCTCTCGTTATAAGTTGTACGAATAAGCGATAAAATCATCGCGGCACGACGCAAAAACGAGGCGGTAATATTCTTCCGGTAATATACGTCCTCTCTGACATTTATCATTTATAATTTATCATGCGAGTGACTGGACGTGGAAAAACGTGGAATAGGAAAAAAGAACTCGCTCCGCGAAATCCATTAAGACGAAAGATGTAAGGACGTTACGTATTAACGATCGGGTTAAATCGATATGTTACCTGAATGCCTCCTTTCGCAAGACACGTAGGTATATATAGGTACAAAACGATGTCTCGCTGGGGTCAACTGGTCACGACTCGCTCGATATGTATCCAGTTTACGGATGTATTCCTATATTTGTAAAGGAAGGCGTGCTCTATGAAATCTCTGTTGAAATTTTAATCAGGCGCTATGTCCAATGTCACATACGTATTGAAACTTTAATCGTGTATTCTACATGTTCTCCCCGGACTGTATGTGAGAACTGGGCCACGTAAATGTCGGCGCGCGATTAATTGCAATGGGGATCTCGCCCCGCGGAATGCTGACGCTTCAATTAAATATACTCGGCGCTTAACAGCACTTTGTAATCTTGCAGACTTTTCAATGTGTGTGCGCTATCTCTAAACCGCGCATGCAAATATCGGTCGTGAAAGAAGAGTCGCGTATCTTAAAAAGGCGACGCGCGACCTTAACTTTTGCGTTACGCAGTAAGTGAAGTGAGATTGTTGGTTTTTATTATGTATATGATATAACATAATCGCGATTCTGACGCAAGGCAACGGGCGTGTTGTCGCCTTTATGGGATCGTAACCATTAGCATGATTCTGTAACTGTTACGAGCGAGACGCAACATAGGGGAACTGTCATGCCTAATATCGCACCCTATTTTTAAAATTCAAATTTTTGACTAAAAACTCCTACAAGAATATAACTAAACCGCATCATTTTATTCTAGGATTATCGTAATATGATCTCCATGGCATGAATGTGTTCAAAGTTTACTTTAACTATCTTTTCTAAAGGAAAACAAAAAAAGCAGTATTTTTTCGACATCGAAAAAAATGTTTCTAATATCGCACCCTTACATATTTTTGTTAAAAATACAATTATGACGCACAATATATGCTGGAAATAGAAACAACTCAAAATAGAGCACATAATGTTGGTAAAGATATCCTCTGCTTTTAACGATTAAGAAAGCCCATGAGGTTTCATGGATTATAGGGAGTGATGTGGTCAGCATCCCGCCTAGCCGATTTACCCTCGGAAAAAGATCTTGTTACTCATTAAAGGCTGAGGGAGCTCCAGAGTTATTCTAGAGGCAAACGAATTAGGAAAATGGGCGGTATAATAAACATTTCTAAAAGGCGAAATGAGGAATACCACGAGGAAGAAATATAATCGATTAAAGCATCATAATAATATAACAACGAATATCTTTAATTTAGGAATAAAATTAGACACAATATCAGGGCACAGTTTTCGAGATATTCCTTTAAAAGTCCTTTAAAAAGGACCCAACAAAAGATCTGTTAGCGTAATAGAATTAGTCGTTTATAACTGTACGTGACCAGATACAGAAAAAGAATTTTAGATTAAAAGTAAGTCACGTAAAGATAAGGGCCTAGACAAAAATAACAAGGAAAAATTATCTTGTAAGAATTTAGAAACAGAATTTGTAAATACGTGAAATATCAAGTTTTACGGCACCACAAGTTTAGCTGAACTTTGCTCTGATTGGTCAAATTTCAATCCTGCAATCTCAATCCCAATCCATAATCTGATACAGGCATATAACGATGAGTTACAAAATCGTGCTACAGGTGCGTTTGTTGGCGTATTTAGATATCTATCCCCCCAACTATTCTAGCAACGCTGGCGCTTAGCGCAGCGTTTTCTATTCTTAATCGACAATTAATCGGCGGCGAGAAGCGATGCGAGGCGCCTGAATGGAATTCGGTTAGCGCGGACGGAGGTGATCGTCAATTCCAGAGCGAGACGATCTAAAGATTCCTCTTATATCGCACGAAGCACCGACGTCGATCTGTGCTCTTCGCGATATTCGTTTTCAATTAAAAATTCGTCACGCGCAGATCTCGTTCTTCGATTTCACCGTGCGATAAAGTTCACAAGCATCTTACATCTAGTAGGCGAAACGAATGAGAGAGATTAAACGCATAAATCACGAAAATTTTGCAGCTTTTCGCAATTAGATTCGCCTTCATCCACACATATGTAAGTCGAAACTACGAATACATGTTTCTTCATCTAATCACATAGCGCGGTTTGTTCTGCCATTTTCCTGTCGGATTCTTTCCCTCTCTTATCCCCTGAATTTCAAGGAAACGAAACAAGGAATGCGTGGTCCAGCAATCTAATCTCGGAAGCAGTCAACCAGGAAATATATTTCATTAGCTAACCATCAGTTTCTGAAAGATATAATCTTAGAATTAGCTGTCAACTAAAATAAACCTCACAATCCGTAAAATTCTTTTTTTATCTAAAGTGGTGTTTCGAAATCTCTTATTAGTATCTAGTAAAAAATTCTATACAAAAATCATATTATCTTATCCCTTCGATTATGCACTCAAAGAGTGTCATAGCTATTTTTTTCTACGAAAGACTGTATCTTAACATTTCATGATTCATTAATGTTACTAAAACACGCGAAAAAGTTTTGCGAACTACGAAACAAGATTTTTATACTGCATCAGAGAGAGAGGTATGATAATTTCAGATACTATTATTTTCTTCAATGAGATATACTTTCGATTCTTTGAAATATATGCAACGTTTCGCGCAAAATTATAATTCGGAATTAAACTGATTAGTTTGAAAGAAAAACAAGATATGCCTCTTTGGCATAGAAAAGTGATGATATAATGCTGAAAGATACTGATCTATATTGTAAATCTCTGTTTAAAGACTAGGAGTTACTATAGAAACTGAAAATACCTGCCACGCAAATTTGATATTTTTGTGACGTCAGAAACGACCTTAGTGAAAGATAATGCGTAACTTGAGCGTAGCTTTTTCCTAGAATTACAAATCTCTAACAGCAGGAAAATGGCAGGTAAAATTTACGATGTAAAATATCTGAGTGCGAGGTCATCCTGGAATATAATACTTTCATTTATTATGACATAGTCATCTTTCATCCCTTAAATAATTAAAGTATCAAAGTACACTTAGGTATGCTTGTAAACAAGACAAAAAGAAACGTTTCAAATAACTCTTACGAAAATATTCTAATTTTCAATGAGCCTTTGTTCAGTCTACTTGTAAATTCAAGCACGAAATAGAAATGACGTACTTAAACTGATAAAAAGTTTTGCCGTAATCGTTGACACGTGCTGCATTTTGCAAACAGTAAATACTGAGTTCGTCATCAAAATTGCCAGTTTTTAACATTAACTTAAAATAAATAACTATTGGTTTTTTTCCGCCAAACGCACGTCAAATAAAATGATAAAATGTAAATTTACCTAGAATATGCAATGACAATAAATGCATATGGCAAAACTACTGATTCATGCTGATTGTTGCAAAAAAACAGCAAACAAAAATGCATTGTCGGTAAATGCATCTGTTAAAAGGTAAATGTATATTTAAAAAAAAACCGTGATCAACATCGCAATGCCTTTTGAAAAAAATCCGGTTTATTGCCGGTATTACTCGTTTGAGAAACGCAAATGCTACAGATGAATGTTAATCAATTTCACCGGACGATTCAGTAAACACGAGCCATGGGGACCACCGGCTCTTATTCGGCGCAACAATTATCTCGGCATTTAACCTGCGTTGTTACGGGTTAACTTATACAACAAACTCGCTCGCGTGGAATTAATCGCGAAATGCTATATGTTTAAGCAGTTACGTTTATTAGCCGACCGAATGGAATGGCGCCTATTATAGTCGCAATAGCGACATTATTTTAATGTTTGATAGCGGACCTGCTCAGCAAAAACCTGCATATCAGTATTCCACGGTATTGTTGAATAATATCAGTCTATTTTAGTTAAATCATACATTCACTATTTTAACAATTTGTAAAAAAAAGACTGCCTTACACTGAATCTGTTGATTTACTCCATCGGTACTCTACTTTTGCGTGATTTCGCGTTTTCATGCTCTTTTTGATTTTTTAAATTCCGGATATCATCGTAACGCGATTTACGAGTGTTTCCTTTATGCAGAAAAGAAAACTCGGATGTCCGTTCGCGCGTTGCCAACTCGAATTTCGGTCACCGGCAAAAGTTAGACCTCGCAGAATTTCGTAGCACATGTAACTTTTGCTACCGAGATCAATAGTTACGTAAGCATACATAAACCGCATTCGTCTTTTGCATCGTGCATCGCAGAAAAAAATCGTATTGCAGTGCCGCCGTAATTTCGCAGCATGATGCAGCGAGATTACAATGTGCACTCGCACCGTGAATACATTATTATTCAGACTCATACCATAATCAGAAACATATCCAGCAAATTAACTTCATTGCCTTTTATAATGTGATATATATTTATCGAATTCTTCTCTCATCTTTTTTTTCTTATCAACTGAAAAAGTTTCGAGTTACTCAATATTATCAGAAATAAACAATAAAATAATTACTACTCGAAACTATATTCTCGCGTCTCTTTAACTTTAAGTGCCAATTAAGTCATCCGAAAATCTATTCGACTCAAAGTCTCTTATACCGAGAATAACAATTTCGCTTCTAAAACAATAAGTTTAATTTTTGTCTGAGCATTTCTATCAACCACTAGTTGTCGTTTGAAATTGCACATATTTATGATGAGCATAAATAAAGATATTTATACAGCCGGAGGGGGAATGCTTTGATAACTCGGTAATTACAATGTTTCTTATGATCGAACAAGTATCGATAATAAACCGGCGTCCTGCAGTTTAGAATCGATTCTTTTTTGCAAGTCACCGTTTGTTACCTGAAACGGCGTAATACGGTTGCGATCATAACTTCGGGAAGACGCAGCTGATAATTAAAGCGATGCATAAATTAAAATCTTGACGTAAGAGAGGACGGTATGGTGAGTATTTTCGCGACAGCAAAAGCCGCGTATTTTCACAGCGAAGATTAGATGAAGCCCAGAATATCCGCCAAATTTCAGCAAGCTGAAATACGCGCGCGATTAAATTGCACCGGGTTGCAGGTAATAAATTTGTACCATCGGTCGTTGGCTTCTGTAATGCTTTACGTAACGAAAACGAGATTGCGATTAATTGCGATAATGAAATTAAACAATAAAGCGGGAAATTGAACATCGTTATTAATAATGTAATCATTATCGTTTTTGTGGACGTACCTCGGGAGTGGTGGGAATATTATTATCAATGTTAAATGTAAAAATAAAAATTAAAATTATATCAGTATGATAACGCAATTCTATAATCTTTAACTTGAAAATTCTACAAAAATACGCATGTCCATTTATCCGAAATGTATCCCAGTTCTATCAATATCACATTGCCGGATAAAACATTAATTTGAAGTACAATATTAAATTTATTATCAATTATATTAATATTGCTGATATCATTGATAATTGCGAAATTTTAATTTTCAATTTCACATTTAACGTGCACTAATAATAATAATAATAATTATTATTATTATATTGATTACGTTTGATTTCCCACTTTATTGTTAAATTAAGCTTCCTGTTACGAAATACTGGGTGCTTTCCGTTGAACTTCTCAGGTGGGTAAGTAATTGACGGATTAAGCGCCGTCGCATGTTCCGTTCACCGGCACCGACAATTACGTCACTTAGGTTTATACGGAAGAGCGCACGTGAACAGAATTATTTCACGAGATAATACAATTTCGAGCGAGTCCGTCGAGAAAGGATTTGGGTAATCCATCCGATATCCTTTAATCTACCGAATCGCGATTACAATGATGCCTACACAATATATCGTGAGTACACAAATGACGGATTTGCTGCTTTCACGGAACAACAGTTTCTGCTATTACGATATTAATTAATTATCTATAAAGGGCAAAAGTTGGCACGCGGCGTAAATGCATTTCCACATAACAATGTTCCTGAACCAATAATATCCATGTGTTAGATTGAAAACAAATATTACATTCTTTCCCAAAACGTTCCCTTTTTCAGAATGTTCTCCTTTCTAGAATATTCCCATTGGAAGAAAATTGAAGCTTCTTCGGATCTTATTACGTTTTTTAAATAATCTTATAAATAAAATTGATCTTCAATAGATATCCCTAAGGGCGGACTCCCTTTGTCACACCTTTAAGACATAAATTCAATAAACTTTCGAGACATCCGTCACATGCGAATTGCGGCGAGGATCTTACTTAGAAAGTATCCGCGACGTATATACACAACAACGCTCTCCCATTTTCCTTTTATTTCCCGACCGTCAATCACGCTGTCACTTCATACTTACTTCGGTATACAGACAGATATAATTATGGATCGATAGAACGAGTAGATTGCTATCTACAATGTCGTTCTCGCGCAGAATGTCAGGAATCGCGCGTATAAATACGCAGAGATAAAAAAAAGGAGATATATATATATGTATATATATATATATATGTGTGTGTGTGTGTATATATAGCTTACCTGTTTCTTCCAAGAAGGGCGTCGATCTGTACCAGCCTCTGATTTTCCCGCTGCACGTCGGAGCCGATTATCGAAGAACGTGAGCTTCGTTGGTCGACCGGTTACGCCGGAGCACGGCTAGTGACACCAGATGCTCCTTACCCGACAGTCGGCGTTGTACTGAAGCGTGCACGCCACGCGCGATCGTTTTTCCCGCGGAAGCTTCGTATCCGAAGGCCGCGCGATGAATGGCGCGATTTCACAAGGCGATTTCAGCCGTGAGATATCAGTCCCCTCGGTGCAGCCGTCATAGTGCAACAAGACTGTGTTTGCGGTACGACTTTCCTGCAATTAGAAATGTCATGCAGTCAGACAGATGTAAATAACGCTTAGATTAGTAGAGATAAAAACACACGGATAAAAAAAAAAAACGAGATCGCTACGATAATTTTTATAATTGTACTCCGTAAAGTTTATAAAATCGAACTAAAAGCGCCGGCCAGTGAAGGATTATATAAGAAACGGCGTCTTATTAAATTGACTTCCACCTGACAGTTATTAATAACAGAACAAGATTTAGAAACGATGTCTGGTAGATGACTAATTTGCCGGACGGTAGAAAAAGATGTTTTGCCATTGAAATATGGTTTCAGGCTGTTCAACGAGTTAATATATTCGACGTCCTGACCGGTATACGTTGCTATACGTTATTATCTATATGTGGTGCCAACGAAGATTTTAAGATAATTATAAGTAGCAAAAAAACCAAGAATTGTGACGCACTTCTGCCCAGTCACGTTTCTGCCAAGTTACGGCGTCACATTGTGAATATCTTTCGCAGATTACGTTTCCTAGATTACAGGCACGGATGCGTTCTTATATTGATCCACACGTTACTTGTACGACATCAATAAAAAGATAGCTGGGCATGGTTGTAAAGTTAAATCGCATTACCCTTAATACACCTCAGTCTTTTTCTTGTAACTAAGTACCTAGAAAGAGCTCGTTACAGCTTTTGCATTACAGCCTTTTGACTTTCAATATTGAACCATCCTGGTATAATTGGAACCTGAAATCCTCTCGGAGCGGATTCCAGTCGAAGATAACGCAAGAGCGATTTCGCAAACTATTCACCAAGGGAGAATTCGAGATTAATTTTTTCGAATAAAAATTGAGATACGAGAGACATTGCGATACTCGATAATGTCATGACATTAGAACGCAGAAACGATATCTTACGCGTGATAAAGGCTCGCGATTTTTTTCATCGAGCATGAATTAAACTGATTTTTGTTTTACAATCAATTTAAAAAAAATTAAGAAATTTCATTATATAAAACAGAATAAAATATGAAATACATACGCGTGTGTATGAATAAAAGTAACACTCATTAATTTGCTAAAGAGATAAGAAATTTTCATGTAACTTTCACATGATAACATATATGATTTATATGCTCGCCGATAAACTGTGCTATCAAATTACTGAGATGGAAAAAAACGCTGTTTTTTGTGATATCAATAATATGGATTTCAGAAAGATTACGGCAAATTTGAGGAGCTGCTCGTCTTTCCGCGTGCGTAAATCACACGAGCGTTTGAATTTCATCGCGCGTCGCACATTTCCAAATACACCCGTTTTCAAGATTATACTAAATGGGATGTACGTTTTAAATTCAACAAGGAAGTTAATGAAGGATGTGGAGAGAAAGTACACGATTATTATCACTGCGATTACGGCGAATATCTCTTCGTGACGTAGCGCAAATGGAAATGTACTTCAAAGAGGCGATAAATAATGTCTGATGCGGAGCAAGGTTTCGATACTATATTTTTTTTAATTATCGCTATCGATAACGAGTATTTAGACCACAAAGTTACAACGCCATAACTCTTGTGTCGTAAGATAAACACAATGTCTGGCATTAATATCATCTATTAATCGTTAAACAACGCCGGTCGACAGACTTTGACAACTTGAAGGCCTACATCTGCTTGAATGAATGCAAATAATTCGTAACATAGAATGTTGCGAGAATAAGGTGACTTCTGTCGTATATATTTTACGGTAGAAACTTACGAAGGATTAAAATTGATATCGCTAGAGAAACTCCAAAAATAAACTCTGGAAATGAACGAATGATTCAATTATTTCCTCATGCATAATACCCGTTGTTTAGCCGCTAAATTTAATCGTCGATTTATCAGCTCAAACAGTTTTTTTTGTCTAGACTCTAGGCTATTTGTGGTATCTCTTGTGCACGAGATAAATGTGAACTATAATTTAATTTTACGTATAACATATAAATAACGCTTGTGCGAGCACAAAGTCGCTCGCATGTCGTAACTAATGAATTATTTCCAGACATTACGAAAAATGACGTAACATTGAGAACCGCCATGGAAGAAGCATCTGTGCTCCGAAATTAGAATCGCGAATGGGTGAATGTGCGTGTATGTGTGCGTGTATGTTCAACGCGCAATAGAATATATATTATGTAAATAGATATATACATTTATATGTATAATAATTATATATAATATATATTAATTATATTATTATTATTATTAAGTAGAAATATCTATTTATTTGCATTTCTGATATTTTTAAATTAAATTTCCCCTGACAACCACCACCACCAGATATTTTTCGTGCAACTTATGATAAATCAATATTTTTAAAGACTATTTTTATTTTTAAAGACTTTTTTAAAGACTTTATTTTTATTTTTAAAAACATTTAAAAGTATAATTATATATATATATATATATATAATTATACTTTTATATATATACATCCTATCATTAATAAAATTAAATAAACATCCGTAAGGCATTGCGTAAGCAGATACAAGGCGACGCTTGATAATTAGTATAATAACGGACGTGAACAAAAATCGTACTTGATGTATCGCGAGCAATGAAAGCAAATAAGAAATTTACAAGATATCGTAAAGAAATATTTTCACTTGATTGCATCACGGACCTCGATCATCGAGTATACAATTTTTTACGCATTCGAAATCACGTTTTATCTGCATGGCAGACCTAAATTTAACGAAAAATAAAAATTATATATAATATATAACTAATTGTAAGTCTAGTTAAATGCGAAGATGAATAATATCGAGTTTTAATGGAGTTTTAATATAAACTTACGCGAGAATCGGCGCAATGTATTCAGGTACTTGAAGTTTAAATCCATCCGCTTTATTTATTCTATTAATTTGTAATACTGATTAAATAATCTCCCGTAACTGCAGAAGAGGAAAAACACGAAACATGAGAATTATTATTATTATGACTTTACGATTTCCACTTCAAAATAGATTAATTCAATCTCGTTCGCACAACACGAAATGTTTGTCTAACATTTTTGCAAGAAAACGTAAACACCTCGGTAAACACAATATCACACGCGAGGTACTTAAAAAGGTACATACCAACAAATCTGGAATTTTTGTAGTTTGCTCAAAAGAGAGAGCAATGGAAAATTTCTATCCCGTAAAATATTTATGTCGCGCATCCCCTAGATTTCTATTATTAATTTATGTGTCTAAATATAACCCATGCAGCTTTGCGTACTTCTCGCTTGTTAGCACACGATCATCCCTGGATCTGAATTAAATGCATATTCTACAGTAATAGAAATTTATAATTAATTGTTAACATTATTAATTATTATCCCAGGTAGAACAGAAAGCCACAATGAAGTCAAAATTACGTCAAAATGATGGTAAGATGATGCTAAAAAATGACCAAAAAAATCGTCATTTTGACTTTATTGTCACTTGTTCCTATCTGAGTTACGACAGTTTTTGCTGTCATCTGTCATTATACACCGATCATCCCGAAACCGACGTCGCGATGCCGCACTCGGCGGTCGCAGCGGCGCCGCGGCGTCGGAAGACGTATCGAAGTCGGCGAGTCCTTACCTGGTCCGTCCAGCACGTCGTCGTCATCGCGGCCGTCTTAGTCCGGATTGCAGACTCTGACCCGATACATCGCGCGTAGGCTCCGTGGGACGTTGGTGCCGCGGACGACGCTGCAATTGCCAGGGGCTCGCCGACGCGCGCTGACGTTGGCGGGTATCATGATGAGAGGACGGGTCGGCTCGGCGAGCGCGCGCGAGGCGAGGGTTGAGAACGCCGCCCGGGATGCGAAGGTGCGCGCTCGCGCGTGCGACCGACCGGATTCGGGGAGTCTCAGGACCGCCCGAGATCGAAATCCGTCTCTCGATCGTCCCTCGCTGAGCCGCGCGCGATCAGCCGCGCCGCGCCGCCGGGAGTTGATACGTTCCCTCGTTCTACACGCGCGCGTCCAGACTCGCCCGTGAAAATCCCGCGTCGTTGTCGATGACACACCTCGTCTCGGCCATCGATTTTCCAACTCCGGGAGGCCGCCTCGCCGCGGACCCGCGGATACAAAACGCGCTTTCTCGCTCCCCGGGTGGTGCACGCGCCGCGCCGTTACACGCGACCTGAATCACCTGAACGTAGCTGCGAACGCCGCCTGCGCGCGCGCGTCGCGCGCTCCCGGACTTCCCGGCTCCGGCTCTCCGGCCGGCGCGTTTTTCGCGCGCTCGGCCACATCTGCCGTCGGGACTCGGTATCTTCCAGCTCCAATCCAGCTCGAACTTCGAGCGACGATAAATTAGATTTCTCAAATGTGTCCCTTGAATCTTGCGCGAAAACTCTCACGGTGTTCCACGAAGGGCTGTCGAGGTGGCGTTGTTTTGAAATGAATTTACGATACGGCTTCGAAATTTAAAAATTTACAATTTTTAATTTGTGAGATTACATTTCGATGAAGTTAGCGGTTGATCAATGTTCGGTCGATATTTAAAAATAAAAATTATAGGTCGAAATGAAAATGGAAGATCAAAATGTAAAATTTGTATTGGCTTCGGTTGGCTATAACTACACAGAAAAAAAAAGAAATGTCAAATCAACACTGATACACTTAATTGATACACAAGAATATATAATCTTGAAATGAGATTATATTGTGTTCAACACGAAAAAAACTTGCTTGAATGAAGTCATTTATATAATTCAATCAAGAAAAAAAAGTTGAAATTCTTATAAGACTATTAATTATACATATATTCTTGCGTATATATGTGTATACAAGTATTCAGTGTTGACATTTTTATCTGTGTATATATGGAATAAAATATAAATTTAGATGTTCCTGCTTTAAATTTTTCACGTTTTTTCCGCTACAAAAGTTAACAATTCCAATTTCTCTCAATCATGACTCAAAAGGCCGACGGACGGGCCCGTTGTCTGCTATATTTATATATTGGCAAGGGCTTTTCTATGATGATACAATAGAACGCCACGTCACAGCCGGATTTCTCGACTCGTTTTTTCCGGCATTCCGTCGCATTGACGGAACCGGATTTAAAGGGTCGCTTTTGAAATTTTACCCGGTCCCTTCGCCCGCCAGACGTCCGGCGCGAAACGCGAACGGCACTGGAATGCAGGTGCACATACCCGATGTGTATCTGTATACATATACGTATATATATATGCCAGAGCAGGTAGAATATTTTCGAAGATTACCTCTCTGCCGAGAAACGAGCGTGAAGGAGTAACACCTGCCGTGCAGTACAGTCCGCAAGATCGACAGACGTCGATGATTTATGAGGAAGGAAGAAGAATGAAGAAGGAAAAGAAGAGAAGAGGAGAGAGAGAGAAACTGCGTGTGTGTTTTAAGCTTGGATGCGAGTAACGAGTAAGAAATTTTTTGAAATTTTAGAAACTCCCGAGATCGTACAATTTTCGTCTCATGATATAGGAAATGCTTGATTCTCAATTTTGTACCCGTCGCATTGTCGAACTGCCGATTTCTGGGTAACTTGCAGAGATTGCTGGTAACTGGCGCGAGGGAAGGCCTTTTTCCGCCGACACGCGCGATGCGTCGATGAAAATTACGCGGAAATTACGCCGTGCCTTCCGCTTGCCGATCGTAAAGATGCTAACGCTACCTCGTTGGGTCTACTCGTTTTCCGCTGAAAAGTCAAGCGGCCGGAAAGTCCCACGAGAAACTCCATGAAGGGTCGGGATTTTCTCTGAGAATGCTGAGATTCGCGCATTAAAGATACCGGAAAAAATTCAGAATTTAATCTGTCGACGATTTCGAGAAAGCAGCAAGAGTATTTTTGTCGCAATTATGAAATCTGACTGGATCTCCGATTTCCGATTTCGAAAAGTTTATATTGACAATTAGCTTCGCGACATATTTTTGCATCTTTTTTTAAACTTGTATATTCTCTGTCCAGACGTGCATTTTAATAAATACATATAAGTATAATTCTATTAAATATAATAAAGTAAATTTTAATGTATAAGTATAGTAAATATAAATAAAAGAAGAAATAATGGAAACGATAGCTCGTCATATCGATCCGTACTTCGAATGCGCGACTGTCGTAATCTTCTCGATTTCGCTGTTGGGCCCCAACGAGCCGCGTTGGGCCCTATGTGAAGATCTCAGGTTCCTCCCACGACTTAGGAGTTGAAGCTCACGCTCTCATCCCTTCGCGAGCCAATCGCGAGATTGCGGCGCGGTTCCCGCGCCGGGGCCTCACGGGGGCCCGGTGGGGCCCGGCGTCGTCAGCAATCACTTCAAGTCCCGCGAGTGGCCGCCATATTGTTAGTACGTGATTCCAAACGCGGCTCGTGCAAGTCGGGGCCCGCGTAGGGGTCGACGAAAGTAAACACGAATTCACTGATATCATTAGATTCGTAAAGAAAATTCAATAACAAACTCCAAATCGTGCGATCATCAGCTACTGGAGGGGAGATCATTGCGCTGGCCGACGTTGTAATTAGAGGACCCCGTATTATGACCCCAGTTTTGTCATATATACTATACATCAAAATAAAAAAAGGAACCCTCGATGATGATAATAATAATGACGATTGTATGAAGGAATACGGAGCGCAAGGAGGTTCCACATAGAAACACAATGTCGTTAAGGAGTAAGAACGTCGTTAACGCGCACGTAAACGCGTGCCCCGGCCGGGTGAGCACGGCACTGGGCATCCCGTGAAATGCGGCCCGCCGGCGAGAAAAACGGGGACCCGGCGCGCGGCGGCCGTCGAGCGAGCGAGCCAGAGCCAGGGCATTGCCAGCGCGGAGTGCGGACACGGCGGTCGTCCCGCGGCGACCGGTAAGTCGCTCTCGCGAGTAGACGGGGGCCCCGCGGACGTGCCTCGGTGCAACTCAACGCGCAGCTCGGCGGCGACGTGATCGGGTGACGGCGCGGAATGCGCGTCTCCTGCGAGATCGTAGACCTGGGTGCGCGCAGGGACGAAGGGGGACAGGGGGCGAAAGCCAGGTGAGACGACGGCAACGGCGTAGCGGGCTTCCCTTCGTCGACGCGGCTCTCTTTTGCGCCGCCTGATCAGGACGAGATGACAGCCACGCGGGTCTGAGTCGCTCCGGTCCCGGGAGTAAGCGAACGGATCCGCGTCTCTGAATGCCGAGGTGGCAAGGCGGCGCTTGGGCAAGGCGGCGTGTTTGCTCCGTCTCTGCGAGGCAAGAGGTGAGAGACACGTGAAGGAAGGTGTGACGCACGAATGCTGATAAAAAAGAACTGGTATTGAACTTGCGTTTCGTTGGCATCCGACAGTATCCGAGGCGAAGGTGGAGACGCTGCTAATAGAGCGACAATTGACCGTGTCTTCGCTTCGTGCGCGAAGGAGGAGAGAGACGCAGGACGTGATCCTCTTGATGAGAAAACGCGCGAATTGGCGTGATTCTTACACCTCGTTCGCTCGGGCATGTAGTATACTGAAAAGAGAGAAAGAGAGGGGTAACGTGTGAATGCTGTGAGAGGAGAATTGACACGACGTATCCGTGCCTCGCTTACGTACCCACTTGAAGCGAAGGGCGCCCAAGCCGCAGAGAGACGGGAGACGCGTGACCGCTGATGAGAGGGGACCGCGGTGTTACCGCGGGGATTAGTGATACGAGGAGACTGGTATGTCGATTGTGAGCAGCATTGCGGCTTGAGTTGAACGCGAAGGCCACGATTGTGCGACTGTTGCGAGACCGACGACGCTGACGCGTGTGCGAGGCGAGCATTGCGGTCTGACAGCAGTCTTGAAAGTGAACAGCATCCAGGAGGGAACGTACTCACTCTCTGAATCATATCCGACCGTTCGACGAGTGGCGAATACTCCAAGACGATAATAGCTTTCAATTTATATAATGATCCATTTGACTCCGGAATGATAATATGATTTACGATTCAATTTACGATGTTCTTTCAAGGTGCATTGTGAACGGTGAAAGACCCGTCGTCCATTGGTACCATTCCTTGGAGAATTCAAACGTGGATGACGGTGGCCTAATCGTGCCACGGTAACTTCGCAAAAATAGCTAGCTTCCGATTTCTTCATCTCCGGTTAATCGTTGGGTAAAGTTACCCCGGTTAATCGCCGCTCCGTCTTCTCCTGAGCCACGGTCTGCAACGGATAGAAAGCTGAGATTAGCTAACTAATGCCGAAGAAACGGACCAGAAGGGAATCATAACAAGTAATGTGATTCTCGCTAGACGAGATTCTTTCGCAATACGTAACAGTGAGGCGCCGCTGGCAGGTGCATTCGGACCGAGAAGCGCGCGAAAGAAGACGAGTGCGAGGGGAAGGCGAAGAGGAGACATAAAAAAAAGACCTAAAAAAGAGGAGGAAGAAGAAGGAGAACGCAGAAATCGGTCGTCGAAAGAGTGAGGCCCGCGCGAGTAAGGCCCCCTACGGCGATAAGGCGAGGCCCGGGTGCCAGTAGAGGGAACGACGTATGTATCGCGCGGGGCCGGTCGCGCGGACCGGGCCCGTTGCCGTCGCCGCTGCTACTCGTGAGAGATCGCGCGCTGACCCAGATTTCGGCGGGTCAAACCGGCGCGAGGAGGCCGCGGCGGACTATCTGAAATGGGACACGGCGCAGCCTGGAGCTAAATTAGCCGCGATGTCCAATAAGAGTAAGTCCCAGCCGCAGCAGCAGCAGCCGCCGCAGCCGCAGCATTATCAGCAGCAACAGCAGCAGCAGCAGCAGCAACAACATCATCCTCCGCACGTGATCAAACCAGTGGACCAACTACCGCCGCGCTATCAGCCCCCGCCGCAGCCTACCAGTGGCATCTTGAAGAATCATCTTCATTTCGCCAACGGAGCTACGTCGGCGCCGAGCTCGGCTCAAGCCGGCAATAATCAAGGTCCGGGCGCGGCCTTGAGCCATCACCAGATAGGCACACAGCCGCGCACGTTGCCGCCGCCCCCGCCGTCCTCGCAGCATCATCAACATCAGCAGCAACAGCAGCAGCAACAGCATCAATCGCAGCAGCAACCGCAGCCGCAGCAGCAACAGCCACCGTCGAAGGATGCGCAGAGCAAGTACTCGCCGAGGATAGAGCATCGTCATCATCCCCAACCGGGTAACCCGCTGATCGCTGCCGCGTCGGCGGCAGCGTCCAAAGGCCAACAGCAGCCACAGTCGACTTACCTCCAACAACCTAAGCTCGGCCAGGGCCCGTACTTGCCACCTAGCAGCCAGTATCCGCCGGTGGGCAACAGCCAGAGCGCGCCGGTCAGACAGAGGATCAGCGACGACGAATTCCTGCGACTCGGTCCCGTGGAGATGCTCAAATTCGTGCGAAAGACCGAGAGTGACATCGCTAGGCTCGCCGCCGAGCAGAATCGCCAGATACAGAACTTGGTGAGCCCTCCCTTGGATTCTCTGGTTCTCTGTAATATAATTAACCGAGAAATTAGCATGACTCTCAAAATCGTTGACGATCACAGGCTTGGAGCTCAATAATTCAGAAGTGTAATTTGAAAAAGTTTTCTATTGTGATTATCTGCTGTAATTATCTACGGTGTAAATTACATATTGAAAGTTGTATGAATGCAAATTCGTAGGAACTAGGAGAATTTCAGAACTTTTAGAACTATTATTCAGAATTATTAACTCTTTCAGAATTATTATTAACTTTTACAATTTGTTCTGTTTTTATATCTTTAAAAGACTGAATTAAAAGCTTGGAATAATTACACTTAGAATGCGATAAAAAAATATGGAACGCAACCTGAATAATTATTCATATGTTTCACTCTTTTTATTTTTCTCTAAGGACCTCGTTTATTATCGTTTTTGCATAACGGTTTCGCTTGGCAATATATCCACTTCCATTCCCAATCATTGGGTTTATTTATAGATACCTTGCGAGTGGAACGAGAAAATAATGTTGTGTTTTTTTTGTGTCATGATATAATTCATATAATTTGTTATATCAATAAGACGTTACGATAAATAATATTTCGTTATATCTCGGAGATGTGTAGGATGCAGTTTGCTGTCCTTGAAATCTTTAGCATGCCACACGGAAGTTTTTGAGAGAGAGGCTCTTGTAGGTCATATACACAGATTGAACCGACCGTCGTAATTTCAAGCGGTCACGCATATACGCGAGATAAACCGCAAGCGATCGTACGGACAATCAGTTTCCTCTGGCCAGCAAAGTGCTGATTTTACCAAAAGTACTCGGTCGGAAATTGGTCACGTGCGTCGCTCGCACACGCGTGATGAATAGGTGAAAGGCTTCTTTTCGGCAATCGACGTGTACCGCGGCGCGAATATACGCGGAGATCAATGACTCCGTTATTTCTCTCAATACGGAGGGCGGGGGGGGAGGAGGTGCACGCGAATTAATGATACAATAGATATTCGGCTGAATGGAAGATATATCGGTATTATCTGTAAAAAAAATATATATATACATATATATATATATACAACCTATATATATATATAAAATCAGATACATCAGTATAGGAAATGTATTCAAATAATTATTTATATGATTGTGACATCTATAAAGTTTTATACAATTTGCAATCAATGAACAAAAAAAAATGAAATAATTTTCAACAGTTTTTATATATCTGAATCTGTATAGATCCATTCACTTGCATTGTGCATAACAATAACATGAAATTTCAAAAGAGCCTGTGACTTTAAGAAATATGGGATGAGCGCGACTTGACAAAACTATCTACTTTCCAGTTGAATGAGCTGCGGTTGCTGAAGGAAGCCAACCAAAGATTGAACGACGATAACCAGGAACTGCGCGATCTCTGCTGCTTTTTAGACGACGATCGACAAAAGGGTCGCAAGCTGGCGAGGGAGTGGCAGAGGTTCGGCCGATACACCGTGAGCGTTATGCGACAGGAGGTCTCGGCCTACCAGAATAAGCTACGTCAACTGGACAATAAGCAGCAGGAATTAATTAAGGATAATCTAGAGCTCAAAGAGTTGTGTCTGTATCTCGATGAGGAACGCGGCGGTGGTCAAAGGGACGACGGCGACGGGTCGAGCTCGAGTACGAACGCCGAGGAAACCGCGCCGCCGAGGCCGAGGCACACTTCCACATTTAACGGTAAAATCTAGTAAAAAAAATGCAGACCTCTTTCTCTCCCTCGTCTTGTGTAAAGTCAATGAGCGCAAACATTATTTAACGCGGAAAGAAATGTGCTCGGATGTAGAAGAAGATGTAATAATCATAATTCGTAGAAAATGAAAGCTTTTCTAAAGAAGCCACTGCTTGTGTTTACATATATAACATTAGTATGGCATACGTGATGAATACTAGGCAAATTGAAAGTGCTTACCGTCATCAAGTGAAATACTCATAATTATTATATGCGGAAGTACGCAGGCTACAGTTGATCTATTTTAGGCTGCGGTCCACTTGACGCTACAAATACTTTGGAGCGTTCTTCTTCTCCTTCTTTCTTCATTGAAAGAAAAGAGAAGAGGAATGCTTCGAAGCATTTGTAGCGTCAAGTGGACGGCAGCCCTAATGATCTTTTCTTGAATGTCGGAGTGATTCAATCGCAAATTTCTTGCAGACCAAACGATGCAGTACGTGAGGAGCTTGGAGCAACGGGTGAAGCAGTTGGAGGAAGACAAGAGTGTTCTCCAGGCTCGCGCGCAAGGCTGGGACGTGCTACCATCGGGTGAAGTTTGGGACAGTCCTGCGAGCCCGAACGACAATACTCACTTGGGAAGCCGGCCGGAAGCCGTAGTGCGCGCTCTTCAGGTTCTGGAGGTCAGGGAACAGCTGGAGAGAGAAGAAGGTCACGACGGTGAAAAGGCGTTAGTTAGAGAGATGTGCAATGTAAGTAAAACGTTCGTCAATTAACATGCGATTCACGACAAAATATCTTTCAAGTAGAATAGGAATCTTTTTTGAAATACGATTATCTTGTGTGATTGATACCGTAGAACTCGCTCGAAAAAAAATCTTCCGCGTGAGATGAGCGATATGTGTTCGTTACGATGATTACGTATGATTAATCGTCTTTGCTTTCCAGGTCGTCTGGCGGAAATTGGAGGAAGGTCCGCAAGCGAGGCATTAACGATCGTGCCGGGAGAAGTATTTGTCAATTTTTGAGTACTGTTAATATGAAGCAATAAATTCTAACGTTCGTGACATGAAGATAGTATAGCGAATAATGTAAACGATATTTTATGTAGATTTTTATACGATTGTACAATAATCTCAGCATGAGAGTACCGATAGTATCTATTTATGTAAATGTAGCTTTTACAGATTGTTTATTAACAAAGTATTTTTATTATACGATAGTCTACGATTTATCTCAGTTGGTCTCGCCCTTTTCCTTTCCCTTATTCGTCAAAAGTTTTTTAAAAATTTGAGAAGTACTATAAATTATTTTACAAACGAGTAGCTTTCATTTTTTTCCAGCGTTTTAATTATAACAAAGTTTCTAAAATTAGACTTACAGGGTTCCCGAAATATCCGATTCACTTTTTAATTGGCACGATTGAAGATATCTATAGCGCGTAAGGTCGCAATTTAGCATCCACCTTTTTCGCATTCGCCGGTTAATTATCCGCCGCGTTTACTCAGAGCCGCTTTTTCACGAAAAGACATCCCCTCGGCAGAATTCACGCGTTGAATACGCAAGCAAGTTGTTTGTATTTCTATTTTTATCTCATCAAAAGATTTGCTCTCAATAGTGCGGGCGTTGGATTGCCCTACATATACATCTCGGCTCTGCCTGTACGTCGTCGTCCGGCATCGTCGCGTCAATGCGAGGCAATTAGGATATTTTCCAATCCAGCGCCGATCAATTTTATCTCCTCGTTGCTTATAGGATACCTCTCGCGTAAACTTAAAAGCATTCGAAAATTAAAATCTTGAGTAATTTCCACCAAAGAGGGCAAATAACATGACAAAATTAATGTTTACTTTCGGGAGGGGAAAAATTGAATTGGCTAGCAATATCTTCTGATCAGTCTTATCACAAGTCTTATCTGTCTGTGTGTGTTAAAGAGGGAGGTGTTCTTCAAATTGATCCTCTCCCACGTCCTTGTATATCTTCGCGAATTCTTCTCCGGCCGCTGAGCTTGCGCCGCTCCGGACGAAAAGCGCGGTGGGGATCGCGTGCAGCAGCCGGCTGTCGGAAAGATGAGAGTCGCCGGTGATGTGCTTGTGCGGAGGCCTCGCGGAGGACAACGCCAGGATTATCCTCCTTGCCGTTGTCCTGGCAGCGTACATGCTCGCAGGCGCGGCTCTCTTCCAAAGGCTAGAGAGCGATCTCGAGATACGACAGGTACAAAAAGTGTGTCCGCGGAACGTATAAATAAAAAATTACTCTTTTCTGTTACAATTCTCACAAGAAAAATATGACCCTTATTCAAAATTAACAGACGTTACAGTGATTTTCGTGCGAAGTACTATAAATAGATGAGAATTGGGCAACGAGGGCCTCGTTCAACTAATCATTAATTCATGCCAATCAAATCAATGAATTGTACATGTATTTTTGTAACGTGATCGATGTATCATCGCGAGATCTGCAAGTCAGGATTAAAGCGTATTTAAAATAAATGATTTGTTACATCTAATAATTGATATTTTGGGGGGGGGGGGTGCACGTACAGGCCACGGAATTCTGGCGGGTCTATCACGCGTTTCGGAAACATCACCTGCGAGGTAGCCCCCTGGCCTTGCAGAGGTTGCACGAGCTGCTGTACGCCTACGGCAACGCTTCCGCTACCGGCATCATTAACAAGAGACGCCGCTGGGACTTTCCCGGTAGCTTTCACTTCGTCGGCACCATAGTTTCTACGATCGGTAAGCTACGTAGCGCAACAATACCGGTTACTAGTCATCCGTGTCCACGTCGTGGTGACGAATAACGGGGTCAGTGGGATTTATGTCGCGTGCTTTACGCGCGCCTCCTCGCGCTCTTTCGGTTTCTTATTCTTGCGACGTTATGAAAAAAAAAATCAACTTCCAGGGGGACGATCCTGCCAATTCCGCACTCGACTCTTAATATCTGTGAAAACAAAGTTTTTTCGTTATAATTATTACTATTAACAATAAATAAATGAAACAGGATTTATATGATATACAATCAATTAGGGAAAAAACGTCATTTTACGATCAGGACTGGCGAAGAAATATACATAAAATTCACATGAATATTATTAGACTACCAAGATCCAGTCCTGAAAATAGCGTTTTTCCTTAATTTATTGTTATATACAGCTTCTATTATCTGCAGAACAAATTATCTCATTTATATAGTACAAATCATAAAAGCGATATCGTACTTTGAATAACTTGGTTTCTTCTTGCTCTCTTTCTCTCTTCCTTATTTCTCGTGCGAATAAAAATGACTCCGCGGCATACAAGTATTTATACGCGATAGACAAAAGTTTTGCCGAGACGATCGCATTCCTCCGCAAAACTTGGTCGTAATGGACGTTAAGTAAGAGGGTAAGGGTCGTCGGCCGGCACGAGAATGTCCCGGTGAATTCCGGAATGCTAATATCCCGCGACCTAGTCTCGCACTTATCCACACGGCTGACTGTCCTTTGGTCGCCGATCTTTATATATATGCATACGTCGCCGTGTAATATGCCTCTGAAATGAAAGAAAGCGTGATACTGAAGTTATTTTGCAGGGTACGGAAGCACCGCGCCCCAGACAACGGCGGGGAAAGCGGCTGTCGTTCTTTATGGTTTCTTCGGTTGTTCCGGTAATAACAAAAAAAAATCTACATTTAAAAACAACAAAGTATCTTACGTCATGTTTAAAAAATCGCAATAAGTAACAATTATTAAAAATAATTGGATCTTAAAAGTAGAAAACAAGACTTCACGAATCTGATGAAATAAAAAACTTAAATACCATTTAGCGAAAACTATTTGATCCTAACGTTAAGTGATGATTTAGGTGGCATCTTGTTCTTCAATCTCTTTCTGGAGAGAATCATTACTCTCCTGGCGTGGATCTTGCGCAGCTGGCACGTACGCCGACTGAGAAGACGTCTCCGCAGGACTACGTTGACATCTCGACGGATCTCCAAGTCGTCGAGTACCCAGAGATCGTTTCTGCCGGACATCCTTGACGACGACGATCATGTGGACCTGGACCAATGGAAACCGAGCGTGTACTGGGTCATGCTCTACCTATCCGTCACCTCCTGCATCGTCGCCTGTTGTGCCGCTGCACTTTACGCGCCGCTGGAGGGCTGGGATTACTTCGACGCGCTGTACTTTGCCTTCGTTAGCTTCACCACTATCGGCTTTGGCGATTTTGTTAGCACGCAAAAGCCGAGCTACCCTTACGTACATTGGTAAGATTGCGAAGATTGCCTTGTCGTCCCAACGAGATCAAGCTCATATAATTTATCTGAGGCGCATAGTTGAAATTCCACAAATTAAATTTTAAATGACCAGACTCTTTCCGAATATGACATCGACTTTTCTTTAACGCGAAAATACCAATGTCTTTTTACGTTAAAACTTTGAAAATACAAATAAATATAGTTTTTATTATTGATCATGCAGGTATAGATTCACGAACTTCGTCTTCCTCGTGGTGGGATGTTGCTGCATATACTCCCTGCTGAACGTCACGTCGATCGTGATAAAGCAAGGCCTGAATTATGTTATACACAAGTTGCAATACGGTAATCAGGACGTGGCGGCGCCGTATTTACCGAGGAGGCAGTCCTCCGTGTCGACTGTATACTACTCGAAGAGGAGGCCAACGAGGCTCGTCGGCAGGGACTCGATCAGGGCGGAGGACAACTCGGATACGCCTCGCAGGATGTCGGGCGAGATGATCTCCATGAAGGATTTCCTGTCCGCAAATAAAGTCTCCCTCGCTGTGATGCAGAAGCAGTTGTACGACGCCGCGCAGAAGCAAAGGGGTGGAGGATCGCTCGCCGTCACGCCGAATCACCAGGTGTTGAAGCCCGGAGCGGTGGGCCCGCTCGCGATCGCCAGCGAAAAGTTCGAAAGTAAAAGCACGATAAACAGATAGAAGAGTTATGACAAAATAGAGGCTACAAAAAATATATATATAAAAGAATGATAGCACACCCCTCTGTATCGCCTTGACATCTGCTAATTTTTAAAGCAAATTTGCTGTCATTGACTATCTTTTCTGTGCTAATGCCTAAAAATTAATAATATAGAAATTAGATATAAATATTCGTCTAAACGTTTGTTCCTTTATATGTCTATGTAATAAATGATATCATGCTCGTCGTATCGCTCATCGAATAACTTTATTTAAGTCATGTTTACAGTACAGTCCTCCATGTACTCAACGGACATCGACAAACATGCAATCTCCTGTCTTCGTAATTGCGACAATGTATCTCGTGTATAATACCGCGTGTAAAATAAATTCAACGTCGTCGTTTCGTCGGTGAATTTCTCTGAGTGTGAAAATCGTTCGTGCGGGTTTTTTTTTTTACTTACACACCAACCGGATAGGGTTTTACGAGAGGACACAATTATCCGAATTCAGACACCGCTGCGGAATACACAATCTTTGGACAATCTTTGCGGAAACTCTTGGTATACGTGTGCTTACGTGTGAGTGAACGCGCGGCCAGGAATACACAGCTTAAAATACACGTACTTGTTGCTCCTGCTGTTCGTAAAATTGCGAGGGCGAAAGTTCCCTTGGCTACGTAACTACGGTACCGTACGGTCGGTTTAAATCGGACATCTCGAGCTGACGATTCAAACGAGCTCTCGGCTGTGACGACTAGACTCATACCTGGATGAGACCAGCGATTACGAAACGATTACGTGAAAACAGTATGTTCCGTTGAAGATCTAAGAACGCATGTTACTTGTATATTACTCTAAAATGAGAACGTGGACGCAAGCGTTTACGAGATCTTGGAATTACGAGAGAGAGAGAGAAATAGAGAAAGAGCAAAAGTGAAATGGACGATGCTTTGCAGAGATTGCAAGCTTTCACGTAATCTACAGACAATCGCTCGCCGTTAAGTGAAGCCAAATACGTTGCGAATAATGAATCTTTAACATTACTCGTCCAATCACCGTTGTACGGAAGAAGTCACGCTGATCTAAGACGCAGCGGACCCGTCCGCCACCAGATTTAAGCCGGTATTTTTTTTTTTAACATCGCTTTAAACTTCGTCGCTTAAATTTCGTCCATCTACTTCACACTCGAATGACATCGGATTTTAAAAGTAAAACTACCAGGCCTAGCGCAAATGGCGTGCCGATAGTACCAGGACTTGTTCTACCTTTTTTTTTCCTTTTCCTCTTTACGGTATTCTTAATACTTCAAGAAAAGATCTCAACAATTGTACGAGACTACAATGTTCTCCGTCGCAGAGTAGATTCGAGCCTCGTTGGTTTTCAGTCAACGTTTTTAGGCGTCTCTCTCTTTTTTTCGTTTCGAGGCTCGGTCAAAGTATTCTTAAAACTGCGTGCTCCGTTTCCAACAAATCCGCCAAAGCCACTAATTATCATCGGTAACCGTCGTCATTGTCGATCGACCAACGTGTACAACCAACAAAACAGCGCCCAGTGTTTCGCACTGACGCTGACACAAAGCCGCGTAATATTCCCAAATATTCTCGGGCGACACGCTTCGCCGCTCCGTCCAGGCGACGTCGCCACGATTTGGTAACGGCAGCAAAAAAACACAGCCTATCTCGACTGCGTACAAAGGTCGCGAGATTCATATCTCGATAAATTGGCGACGCTCATCCTCCGTGTCGAGGATGTCGCGCTTTTCCTCAACGTATGTCGCGCATACGCACAAACTGCTGACCGATCGTCTCCAAACCTCCGTTGCCTATCAGATCAACGTCGTTAGTTATTTTGATTATTTTCTGCTTCAGGAAATCCCCGTCGCATCCTTGTATATAATCGGATATCACAAAGTTGTTATCGTTCAGCGCGGGTGGTTGATTTTGATTTTGCGGCGGCCGGTTCCGCGATCGCGGTATTTGATCCGCCGGCTCCATCAGGTGTGCGTGCTTCTTGCGTTGATGTTGCAAGAGTTTGGCCTTGAATAAAATATATTCATTAACTTTCGTCGATTGTCAATCGGTGTGATTAATGTAATCCAGCCTTATATAAAATTTACCTTGCTGGCGTACTGTTTATGGCACCACTGACAACCTTGAGGACTAGTCGTGATGCTGCCCACTGTCTGACTGAAGCTTGGATTCGGCAGTCCTGAAAATTCCGACTCCTTTTGCCGATTGCTAGGCGGCAAGGCCGCGCCAGGATGGTTCTTCATAATATGCGCTTTACGTTTACTGCTACTCTTATAGACCTTAAAAAATATGTGATGTGTGAAAAAATACGATAATTTTATTTCTACCTTGAAATGGAAATTTATCTTATGATACCTTGTCGCAATATTGGCAATAGTAGTCTCTGGTTTGTCGCAGGATAGGTAAGTTCAATTCCGGCACAGATTCGGGGGCGACATCGGGATGCCGCTTCGCTAGGTGATTCACCAGCATTCCTCTTCGTTTGAAACCCACCAGGCATTGATGACATTTGTAAATAAAGCGATTGTAATCGTTCGGGTTCACCTATTAATAAAATAAATTCATTAATCAATATAATCAATAACGTCCATCTATTAATAAAATAATTGATTAATATAATTAATCTCCTTTTTATTTTGACATACCTTTGGCACAAATTTTTTCGCTTGATTGTTCTGTGTTATTTGTTCTCCATTAACCGTTTGGGAATGGTGTATTTTAGTCATGTGTTCCTTCAATTTGTCCTTTCTCTTGAACCGTTTACCACAGTTCGCGCAATGAAATTCTCTGCGCAAATAAAAGTTAATTAAAATTTACATATATCTTATTAACGTAATCGTCACGATAAATTAAAATTAAAACTTGTACCTGTGATCAGAGTGTTTCAGCAAATGCATTCGCAACTTGTCGACCGTCGGGAAACGTTTTGCACAATGCTGACACTTGTGCTTCCTCTCGCAGTGATGTGCCCGAATGTGTTTACGAATGACCGAATATTTGATAAATGTTCGCTGGCAGTGAGGGCAATTGAATATACCGTCTTGATTTCTATGTGTCTCAACGTGATCCTTCAGCATCGTACTTTGGCGAAATAGCTGCCTGCACATTGGGCACTCGAAAACCTGTTTATTTTCTGCAAATCGGAATTGTTATAGCACAGAGTAATACGGTACTGTTTAACTCCGATTGACCGATTTGTTATAGATTTACCTTTATGCGTTTTCAGATGACCGGACAACGCGGAGTTGTTCATAAATCGTTTCAAGCAGATACTGCATGGCAGTGGTTTTTGGTCTTCAGCACCATGCGCCAAGCAGTGCTGTTGTAATCGTATCTTTGTAGCGAAACGTTTGTAACACATTGAACACTTGTATGAACCTAAAGGATTTAATCTCTTTGCTTTAGGTAACGCCGTTCGCCCGTGCTGAGACACATGATTCACCAATTCGCTTTGCTTCTGGAACTCCAATCCACACTGCGGGCATGCGGACTGGAGTTGACTTTGATTTTCAATTTTGATATCGATAGAAGAATGAACGGCTGCGTGCAAGTTAAGCAGGGATGGCTTTCTGAAAATCAAGCTGCACACGGAACATTTCCATTCCTTGTCGCATTTGTTCTGTCGCGAATTCTCCTTTTCTTTCACGTTTCTGTCGCGAAACATTTTTATGCGTCGATTATAAGAGTTGCCATCTAAACGCGGCCATGTAGATATTTGGTTCGCCACTTCCGCTAAAGAGAAAAGAAGGAATTAATTTACATTGGTCAATGTTTCTATACTATATAATATGTTATATCTACACTTACAATTCTTTATACCTTTTTCATCTTTTGCATCTGGTTTAAATATCGGCAAATTTCTGCGACTTGCGTAGTCTGGACTAGGACCTGCCTTTAATTCTTCCTTTGGCGAAATGTTTCTATTAGTCAAAAACACTATTCCATCTTTCTGCTGACAAATGATCAAGTTTTGCTCCTTATACGTCAGCGCGGGCCGTACAAAACGCATCCAGTTCGAAGTGTCTGAAAATGTAACGGAGATTTAAGTTCAATGCCTTAAACCAGAAACAAGCGCTATAGATAGATGATTACTTACTTTCATTGGAAACGTCCACTTTCAGGAATTCCCCGGTCTCAGTTTCATAGAGCAGTGGCAAAGCGTTCTCGAAAGGTGACCCGTCGTAAGGGCACAATAGACCTTCTATGGGTCCGAATTGCGTGCGCCTTCGAATATTACGTTTCGCAAAAACCCCATAGGTCACGCTATTCGCTGCAGCATGCGAAGTAGATAGCTTGTTTAACAAAAGATATGATCCTGGCAGTGTTGCTACAGCACGCGATGGCACAGGTTGATCCGCGATTGCGCATACGTCGGTCAAATTAGAGCTGTCGTCTTTGGCACAATTACCGTCGTATTCGTCGTCGCCCCCTGTAAAAATGCCCAATCCAATATATCAAGTACCATAACGGAATATAAAGTAATAAGATACGGGGTATATCTAAATGGTCTGTACAAACTTTGGGAATAAGTTCCAGAGACCTAAACAAGCAGAAAATGTCCCATGAACATGGGGTCGGAAACTTAAAGTTACAACGATTGAAAGTTTTCCTGCAATGACTGGAGAAATTATCACGTCAAATCGCATAGGAGTTACAAACTGTTTATTTACCTCGACTCCAAGGAAGCCTGCGCACGTCGCACTGACTGGCGAGGAATTCAGAAAAAAAAGTTAGGCGAGGAAATAAATAAACACGTGCACAGGCTTTCTTGGAATCGAACGCCAAGGCCATTTCGAGCATTTGCTGTAGCAAGTGTACTGTCCTGTTATGTTCGTGGCAAAACTGAGGAAATAAATAAACACAGTTTGTAACTCCCATGCGATTTGACGTGATAATTTCTCCAACCATTGCAGGAAAACCTCGAACCGTTGTAATTCCAAAGCAAGCGTTTCCGACCCCATGTTCATGGGACATTTTCTGCTTGTTCAAGTCCCTGGAACTCATTCCCAAAGTTTGTACGGACCATTCAGATACACCTTGTACATATTAAATGTTTAAAATAAATATTATACTTACAGAAATCTTTTTTATCTGTTATATGCCGTTTGGATCTCCTTACATCTTTTTTCTCAACTACTTTCTTCTTCTCGGTGGACGGTGGTTCTTTGGCAATTTGTCGAATTTCTTTATCACACTCTGACAAAGCAAGATTGTTGTTTTCTTTATTCGCGTCTTCGGCAATAGATGGTAAAGTAATAGGGTTGTCCTCCATCTCTATACTCTGATTTTTAAACGTGTTGATAACGTTTATTTGATCATCCTGCATCACCAAGAAGTCCCTAGTCAGAGCGAAATCTGTGCCCGGTATTCCTGTTAGCATTAAGGGAGTCGTTGAAGATTCCAATTCAGGTGCAGTTTCTGCAAATGTCATATAATGGTCAAAAAACAATTTAAAAAACCATCTAACACGACTATCCTCTATACCTTATCTCGTGATAAGCAAAATCATTTCTTACCCTGCATTAAAATCAATTCGTTGCTGACGCTGGACACTAGCCCATCCTCGTTCCCATTGCCCACAAAGTCTGTAGTGGTATCCGTCTGAGGTACGGTCTGAGTGTCGATCGGGTGAGCCAGCTGAGTCACATAATTGATGCTCGTTCGTATATTTGGTTCGGGCTGGGACATTAAGGGCGAGGACGGGCCTTGGAGCACGACAACGGAGTTGTGGAAAGGAGAAGAAGGCAGTTGGACCGGCGTGGGGGAGTATCTAGCAGCAGAGCTCATATTTGGGTCCAGCGGGCTGACTCGATGCTCGAATTCGGACAGAGGAGAGGCCGCCCTCGGGGAAAAGGAGATCTGTTCATACGTGGGAAACAATCGGGACTGATCCTCCACATATTCCACCTGGCAACAGAGTGAACGAAGCGGTCGTTATCATGAGTACACCGCGCTGACATGTCGTTCATCAAAGAGAGTTACTCACAGTCAGGAACAGAAGCCTGTTGTTCAGCTTCTTCGGTTGCTCGCACAGGGACGAGGCGAAGGGGTGATCCGTAGGCCAATTCACCGAGATGTCAGCCCCCCTGTCGATGCTGGATATCTCGAAGGACTCGGCAGGGGCCCCCTCAGGAGGGCCCCTTGGATCCATCTTACGTCGACGTATCGCACCAGCGAACTCCGTGATTTTGTCTCGCCTATGCCTGTATTACAGTCACATCCGACCACTCGGAAGCACACACAAAAGTACCGAGGGATAGACGGGCCGTGTCAGATGTGGGTGACCGCCAGGTCGCTCTAACCGCGACGCGCGACCCTCGGTGTTGCGGGAACGGCGCGGGCGGCGCGCGACATCGCGCGAGAGGCAGGAAACAGGTGTTCGTCGCGACGGGCCCCCGTTATTTTGAACTCACACGAGAAGAATTCGTCAGCCTCGACATATAGGCTTCGAAGTCGATGCACCTCTCGCTTGGTGGATGCACCTGCTGCTGCGAGCAGCAGCACTGGCCCGTCAACAGTCGACGATTGCCGATCTCGCCTTGCGATTGATTAACGTCGGAACGGCGGGAAAGTTTGAACGTCCATCCGCGAGACAGCCCCTCCGTATCGCGCGCAATTATAATTATCTTACGATTTTATTCGCACAATCGTAAAATTTATCTAGAAAACTTATTCGTAAAATCCAGAGTTATTTTATCACCCTGGTGGAAAAATGTCTCAGAATTTTTCATATATATTATTTAATCAAAATTTTTATAAAAATTTCCAGTTTCTCAGAATGCTCAGAATTTTTCAGATTTTTTTTTTATACGAATTGGAACGTTTTTCAGAAAAACTCAGAAAATAATAAAATATTTTAGATTTTTCCCATCAATACATCTTTGTAGAAATCTGATTAAATGTGAAAAAATTTGTGCAATTTATAAGAAATTTTTATACACATGGATACTGAAATATTCCGAGAATCCTTTAATTATTTCTGAATCAGAGAAAATGTATACATTTTTTTATTTTATTTTTATAAGTCTCAATTCTTATAAAATTGTGAAAATATGAGAAATTTTTTCATTAGAAGAATAAAAAAAATATTCCTTTTTGTACCATATTAATAGAAAATATATGAAAGATACGTAGCGCATTGTAATTGAAACACATACTGGAATTAAAATCTATCTATAAAAATCGGAAAATCCGAAATTGTTTTATCAATTATCTAAATTATCTTTTAAATAAATGCGGATGCGCACGAGGTAAAATTAAAAAAAAAAAGTTTCTTGTTGTATAAAATTAATAGGAAATATGTAAAAAATAGATATATAACGCATTGTAATTGAAAAGCATATTGAAATTACTCGTGTAGACTTATCATTTTCAAACTATTATCTCTTAATGGATATAAACATTTTAATTAAAAAATTCCAAGTAGAATTCTATATACATATACATATATTATAATCGTTTACTGTATTTTTAATTAAAATAATTAATTAACAAGAATTCGAGGTATTTATTTATCGCGGCAGATTATCAGTGTACCGCGTAATATTTGCATTTCACTCTTCCCCGGTTATCGCTTCTCCCCTCGTCTTCTTTTACCGTCCAATTCATGAATGGGGGATGGGACCCCATTCACGTGGGATCGGGGGGTTGAAGCTTTCCCTAACAACAGAGAAACAAGCACGCATAAACAAGGGCTTGGCGCAGTCCGTGACACGAATCGGACAATTATTGATAATTCGTTTTCAGGTCTCAGACTGACGAGACGCGATGGTGCTGTTCGATGAAGCGAGGAAGCTGATGAACGACATGATGAAGATAACGATCTTCCAGCCGTCCGAGAAACGCCGAATGCTGGAGGATGAAAGGAAGACCTTTCTGGATCCGAATCTGGTTATGGATGCGAGGCACAGGATATTTCGCGAAGACCTGGCCAGTTCTCCAGCGATTAAGTCTTCTGTCCTGACAGAGGCTCGAAGGTATACCTTCGAACTTTACACGCACGACTTATACAAATATAGATTTTATTTATAATATATGTATCTATATACCTCGATCTTTACATACGATTTATAAAGTCCAGACTTTATTTATAATATGGTATGTATCTATACGATTTATAAGTTATCGCAAATAAGACTTTTAACTTTATCGTTTATCTTAATTATCAATTTTTTTATTGTTACTTTTTTATTGTTAATTTATTGTTAAGCTTAATACAATTACGCAAATGGATCACCTAATTTTGTATTGTATAAAGATAGATTTTATTAATGCGTTCACAGATTACTGACGAAGGAAGAAACGAGGGAACTGCAGTTGAAAAGAGAACAGGCTTTCATAGAGAGGGAATTACGCAAATTCGAGCAAGACTTGCAAAAGAGCCGTCCTAAATTTTGCGGACTGTGCAGCAGAAAGAATATAGCTAGCTCTGACGACGAGAACTTTTGGAGAACATCCAGCAGAGTCAAGGTGAAGCTCGGCGACAAATATATTTAAACATTCAGTAAAGATGAATCACTATATTTTTAATGTGCCTGCAAATATATCGTAAGTTTTTAAATATCTAAATTAATTTTATTAACAAGTCTGAAAATTTACAGCGGATTCTCACTAATAAAAGAAGGAACAGAACGATTGAGCAAAAGCCGACGGCCGTTCAAAAGAAGGCCAGAAAGCCACTTGCGGAAGTTTCGTCTGCCGAATCGAAAGACAGCAGGCGATGTTCGACAAACGGAATCGAAATTACATCTTTCGGTAGCATTAAAGTGACCATCAAGGATAAATCAAGCTGCGAATCGGAAGAGCAACGATTACGTGTCTTGAGATCGTGTTTCGAGACTCTGCGAGAGAACGCGCGGGATAAGCGTCGTCTCTGCGAAATCGAGAGCCACATCCAGAGCATCTTGTCGCGAAGAAAACTGAAAGCGTACGTTTACCTGTGGAAAACGCATGTGAAGAAGGTGAAAGCGCAGCGAGAACGCGCGGCGGAAAATCCCGACGCGCGGAAGATTGAGATGCTTATCGACACCATCAGCGAGACGCAGAAAGAGTTGAAGTCGAGTCAAAGAGCGGAGTCGAAGGGTCCTCCTCCCTCAAACTCGAGAGACACCGAGACGAAGAAGAAAACTCCTTCCAGGCCGTTCTTCCACGTCGTCGAGTCGCCGGCACAGTGTCGACTGAACGCCCAAAAGGAGATCATTCGCAAGCAGAGGATGAAATTGGCTGAGCAGAGCAAGATCATCGAGGAACTGAAGCTGAAGCAGGTGCAGGAAGAGATAACGAGGTCCGGCGAGGAGACGGTGAACGCGGCCAGGGAGACCCTGACCCATTGCGGCCAGCAGACCAGAAGGACTTTGATTCAACTAATGAGACAAGCAGGCTACAGGTAGTTTTGTAATTATGAGCGTCCTATGTCATTTCAAGACGTAACTCAACCATGAATTCTTTATCTGAAAAAGAACATAACTTCAGGTTAATAAATTTCTAATTCTCGAATAAGATTCTTGAATAAACTCGCCATTGAAAATCTTAATTCGAACAATAATCAGAATAATAATCGCATCTTCTCGAATCACAACCTTCTATTCCACATAAAATATCTCTTTACGTTTATATATAACGTCGTTTGCATCGGACATGGGTATCTATTTGCACGCGAGTGCATTCTGAGCAGCTAAGCTCTTTTATAACGTACGACGATGACGTAAAACATAAAGATGCTGGAAGCTGGTCTTGCGAACCAAATTAAAGTGGACCGTTTATTATATCGCTCGCTTTACGCGCCGGTCTTTCTACAGTTTGCGAAGTAGAAACTATTTTAAAGATCGAGGAGAGTCTGTTCAAAGTCCGGCCTTTTGCGTTACAGTAAATTAAATCGCCACGGATTTTTAACGCAAACTTAATTCGGTTCGGCGGGTCCTTAATTACACGTTCCTTTTTAATTAACAGGGACAAATCCTTGATGGCGCCGGTACGGGTGCCGAGTCCTCCTAAATTTCTGGCAAGGATGGAAGCGCGGGCGGAAGCAAGGAGAAACAGAATAAAGCTGCGCGAAGAGGAGCGTCAGAAGAAACTGGAGGACGAGAGGAGGAAAGAAGAGGCTGCCAGGAGGGCGGAGGAGCAAGAGCGGAAAAGATTGCAACAAGAGGTCAGATAATATGAGAGGTCAAAGTATATTAATATCATATTGAGTGTGTACAGTACACTTAGCTCTCACAGCTTTCACCTTGCTAACAAAATTATCTCTTGCGAGGGACGTTTCCAGTAAATGTTACACTGTAATACTCTAGCTTACATTACTGCATACAATACTCGCTTACTTTGTACTTTACTCTATAACATAATAAAGTATTGCATTCCCTCTAATGCTGCTTATACGCTACATTTAGAAATATACCCCACGTTTAATCTAAGATTTTTTTTTCGTCCTCAGGCCTTGCGCGAGGCAAGAAGAATGCGTGAGGAACGGGAGCAGCAACGAGCACGCGAAGTAGAAAGATATAAAAAATTAAATGCCATGGCGGAAACATTTTATCGCAAATACTTGTTACGACGTTGTATAATCGCGCTCGTCGAAAAGAAGAATAACGATATGAAGAAAGCCGAGGACTACTATAAGCGGTGCTTACTTCAAAAAGTGTTCATGATGTGGAAGGTGGAGACGGAACGTCTGAATAAAATCAAATCCGAGTTAGCTACATCGTGGTACAACAAAAATTTATTGCGGTACGCATTGCGGAAGTGGAAGGAAGTGGTGAAGGAGGAGAAAAGAAAAGATCAAGTGGCTAGAGACTTCTCCGACATGAGATTACAGAACAAATGCTTTAAAGTGTTAAAAATAAAAGCTGTGCAATATAAAGTGGAACAACTGAAGCGTGAACGTTTAGCTTTAGACCATTACGAAGAAAAGTTGAAAAACAAGTATTTCGATATGTGGAAAAGATATCCAGAAGTACTGCCTACTATCATGGAGAGGAAGCGAATAAGAAACAAGTGGCGGGAAATGGTGCAAGAAATAATCCCAGACTTTGACCCCAGGCAAAGAGGTGTAATATTAGAAGACTAGTTTAACGAATTTAGAAATAACTTAGATTTAATACTGTTGCGACAATCGTTGGCCTCGTATTTGATTGAGGTAAAGAGTAGCCTTATTCCTAAATACACGCAAGATAGAGTAACATCATTCTTTTACGCAGAATAAAGGTTGATCCAGACAAAACTTGCATAGGTAAAGCATATGCAGTAAAGAGATGGATTGGTCTATTTCCTTATGCATATGTATATGGACCAATCAATTTTCTTATGTTTATGCTTATGCGCTATGCAAGTTTGTCTGGATAGACCTTAAAACGCAAGTCATTACTGTACATACGTATTTAAATTTCTTTTTACTTCAATTTACCTTAGAATGTGTACGTGTATGTTCGTGTGTACTGAACGTAATTTATTATATTATTATACTTTACTATATTACTCTCGTACAATGGCCTTTTTATCACAGTTACAATAAATATACAAATGTTATGTGCAATGATACATTAAGGATGATAAATGTAATAAATTTTGATGCCTCGTGATATGTCGAACATGATTTCATAAGTGTAACATTATCCATGGAAGTAACATATCTATTATACTTTTCATGAGTTATAAATCGTAGATATCAGGATACATTGAGTAGATGAAGACAGGGTGCAATTAAGCCGATAGTAATTGGCATTCTCAGATTCATCATTTCGAGCGAAACTTATTATTACGGCTTAGCGCTATGACAAATATTTTGGCCTTACCGTTTTCTAGTTTGTCGAATTTGATTTCATTGCATCCTTCGTACACAGCGTAATACATACACCGTGTGAAGTAAATTCAGTGACCTAGTAGTTTACAAATATCATCCCTAAGTTTTGCAGCAGAACAATCGGGATACATTCTTCAACATTCCATAATCGTACTGATTTTTGGTATCCAATCGTCGCTCGTTCGATGTCGTGCCATTGTAGAGCAGCCATAGGTGGTAAATGAGATAACAAAAGAGCATTAGACCCACGAGGAGGCTGTACAGAGCGGAGACGAAGCAAAGCGCGATGCTGAAACAATATACACATTATTGCAATATTGATCGGCTCGGAACCGTTCGGAACGAACAGTTGGGCGACACATTATCAGTCGAACTTTTATCATATATCAGAAAGCAAATAAGAGATACAACAATATTTATAGACGCTACGTCTCGCGGACCTGACAATTATCACTATCTCGCGACTATTAAACTTTATAGATCCCCTGTATCTTTCCAGTTTACTTCATCAAGACTTGGTATCAGCGACACCCTTCCCGCTCGTGCTCACGATATACTTGACTTTTCATCCTCTTGTGGAATAATTTCAAGAGTTATATGCACAGTGTGTGTTTCGATATTCTTAATGTTTATCAAGCCGCAACTAGAAAACATGGTAAATACGTACTCCAACTGGTGATACACGTCACTGCAGTCGTCCGGTAGGAGTACAGTCCCGATAAGTATAAACGGATGGCAGACGCTGGTCATAGTCAAGTTGGAACCGTATATAAAAGCGATCGCGGAAAAGAATAAACAGCCTAAGTAGGACCTTAAATTGCTGGAACCTATGCAGCAATCCAGCCTGAAAGAAAAAAGCGAGGAAGTAATTAACACAAGACGCTGGAAGTCGGATCGTACAGATTGATAATTACATAATCCAACGTCAAGAAAAAAAGGCCAATCCAAGATACCATTTGCAGTGATATTCCCGGTTGAGAATACAAGTCTGGCACAAGCGGCAGTGGTGGGCCTTGGGCGGCGCCCTTCTCCTGCACGTGGCGCATAGCTCGCCGCTGCCCTCGCCGAGCTCGAGGCTCTGCGTGGGGCCGACGGCGCCTCCTTCCTGCACGGTCGCGTCCGCCTTGAGCTTGGTCTTGTAGCCGCACCACATGCCCCCGATCACGCACATCATGAACACGAGATTCTCCTCGGGGAGGATCTCTAGCAGCGGCACGACGCACATTTCGAACACCAGCATCATCATCAGCACGCTCGCGATCGTCCACATGAGGAAGAACTTGGTGCGCAGTAGAAACCTAAGGAAGTTGTGGTGCAGGTAGTAGACGAGGACCGGCGTGACCAGAAACACGAGAACCGTGCAGAGGAAGGCCTGGGCGGCGATCACCGCCAGGATCGGCACCACCAGCAACGGCAGCATCGCATCGACGGAGATCTGCTTGGCGCCCGCGCGCCAGCCGCATGGGTTACGCAGCCTCTCCCAGACGGTCATGCTTCGTCGTCGGCGACCTGAGAGAGGGAGAGCGGTGTGGCTCCTCCCCTCACACTGGCATACGCGAGAGGCGTCGGCGCGACGGCCAGGGCCAGCGACGGGCGCGTTTTCGAGGTTATGTCAACTCCCCGCGGTCACCGCGCCGTTGACGTTTGAAGACGTTTCCCTACCACGCCGGTCGCGCGGGAAGCGCAGGCGGTGGCACTCGCCATTTGAAAGTCCGTCGCCAATAACAACATGTCAACATGTTGTCATGATATTGCACATGCACATGTCATGTTTATCCAAACGTTAAAGGGGGAATATACACCTAGAAACGAAAAAAAAAGGTAATTTTCAGGAATTTTTTTCAGTGGAACTATTGGAATTGTCGGGTCGGGGTTTTTTGTAGTTAAAAATACACATTTTCGAAATCGCTACGTTGAGTTCAAGCGCCCGCCATTTTGTAAAAAATCAATATTTTTAAAATCGGCTACGACACGCCAAAGATAATATAGTATCTATTTTCATTTCCTGTTTGATTTTTTGTTTTAGATGATTTTTGACGAAGCGCCGCTAGGTACCGTCTTTTTTTACGGCACTTCGTAGACGACTCCAGTACTCCGTGAATTTGCAACATTTTTTAATAAAAAAAATTTAAAACATTCTTGAAAGTGTGTATTTTTAACTACAAAAAACCCCGACCCGACAATTCCAATAGTTCCCCTGAAAAAAATTCCCGAAAATTACCTTTTTTTTCGTTTCTAGGTGTATATTCCCCCTTAAGTTCAGTTACTTCGTGTGTGTCATTTCGAAAATATCAATAAAAAATAATAAATAATTGCCAGTATTCTTGTATTTTTTGTTTATAAATTCTTTATTTCTATATTTACAATATATTAAAAGTTTTATGCTTTATTTTATTTACAAGATTTTTTTCACAAAGTGTGGTCTATAGTGGTAGAGCGCCAGACTCGTAATCTGAGGAACCAGGTTCGAGTCCACTAGAGCCGTGGAATTTTTTTCCGAAAACTGCGTGCAATCAGGCCCTTGTGCGGAGCAAACTGGGCTCCGTCTTTCGGACAGAGACGTTAAGCCGTTGGTCCAAAGGGTTAAAGTGAGATATAATCGAAATTATGATTAAAAACAATATAATTTCAGGCATTATCCCTCTTATTACAATTGTGGCAATAAACGTTGCCAGCTCGGCAGCCGCCGCTAATTCTGTTGAAATAAATAGACATTATATATAAGTATATACTTAATTAAGATAAAATAATATTACTGCGACGCTCGACGCCTCAAATTTGTATTACTTTTATCACATTACTTTTTATCACAGGGCACAACAAACTTGAGCGAACGACTGATTTTAAATGAGCCTGAATGAGCCTGCAGTAGAGGACGAGGCAGGCCTGTTCGTTTTAGCTGAACTTGTTGCACGGTTCATCTTTTCTCTTTTTCTCTTCAACGTGAAAAGAAAAAGAGGAAAGACGAGCCGTGCAACAAGTTCAGCTAAAACGAACAGGCCTCGCGCGAGAGTCGTGGCGGCGGCGCGGCGCTGCGTTCCGGAGCCGCAGCGATGGAGTCGGTGTGTGCTTGCAGGTGTGTGTTGTTGTCGTCCGGGTGACAGCTAACCACTAAACGGCGTGCCAGGCTCGAGTAACGTCGCGTTCCGACGTACATACGTCGACGACGGGTCGCCGGCGACGAGTATATACCCCACGGCCGATTCCTGGCGTCGACCTGACCGTCCTGCAGCGAAGACCTGGCGAATACTTCCCGCACATTGCACACATGAAGTCCGTGACACCGATTTCCTTAGTTATACGCGAATCGTCGTACGTTTTCTCGAAGCGGAACGAAGATTGTTAACTCCTCGGGGAAAGGGAGCAAACTGCGAGAGACCGCGGTTGAGAAAACAAGCTTACCGATCGAATTTTACACGTAGGTTTAAATTATGTCCTTCCCACGTTTCTTATATATATTCGTATTCGTATCTATATACCCTTCGGAGCGTGAAACTAAAAAGAAATAAAAGATGCACAAGGTGAATCGACAAGCTGAACCGAGTAGCTTCCGTAATCATCTGTAACGCATGGAGAATGGAACTCGCTAGACAGAATCGCAGTTCGTTTGCCTCGGCTTTCTGTTTTCTACTGACACTCGCTGTACTTGGAGTAAGATGCTCATACTACCTTAAATCATACATTGACGTTTTAGAAATAAACACAAGAATGCAGTTAAATATTAAAGGGTAAAATTTTGAACCAATAATTTAAGTTAAATAATAACATTTTGTCATTTTTAACTATTATATAATGTGTATTTAAAATTTATTATTTTAATATAAAACAGTATTATTTTAACTCCATTAATTTAACTTAAAGTTAAATTAACATTGTTACATTAGTTACATTAACGACATATTGAGTAGGAGCAGTGGCGATAGAAATGGTTAAAAATGATTAAAATTGAGTATAAATTGTCACTATGAATTTAATAGTCTGCAAGTACCGAGAAAAGTAGCTAAAAAGGCACAATATACACTCACATTAGCAATATGTATTTTCATACTTTTTCCAATTTAAAATAAAAACTGGTGTACATTTAGGTTTTAGAAATCTAGAAAGATTGTTAGAGGAATGAAACGAAGATTCGAGTGAATGAAATACGATTAAAATGAATTGTGAGAGAAGTCTCGAAACGAGGACTCGCTCGACGTCGCACGAATGAGGGACGAATGGCGGGAACGTGATTCAAATTGAAAACGTGTTGAGCTGATATGGAAACAATGGACATGAAAGTGAAAAGAAAATGTATAGCTAAACGGGACAGGCATAAAACATATACTCGTGTGGATATTGCGAACAGTATAGTTTCGTGTTTAAAATGAGATTGATGTATGTTTAGGCTCGGAAAGATAGACCGAGGATGAAACAAAGTGAACGAAACGCGATTGGGAAACGAGCGGATTTCTAAATCTCGGCCGACACCGCGCAAACGAGGTACGGATGGCGGGGAACGTGAAAAAGAGAAGAGAGCGCGAGGAAATGGATGCTCTTAATTGTCAATTTTACGAGACGAGAGTAGCGAAGGTCAGCTGTTATCGTTATCGTCGTCGGCGATGCCGCTGTTTATCGACGTCGCGCGCTGATCACGAAAAGTCCGCGAGGCGATAAAGTAATTATAGAACGCGAAAAGAAAAAGAAGCAATAAGGCTCGTCGGTTATTTGTCGCTTACTAAAACCATATGTCGGGATTGGTGCGATCTGAATTAACGAGCTAATATCAAACGTTGCGCGAATGCGTGAAAGAAATCTCGCGAAAGAATTCATTCGCAACAATGGAGAGTTTATTTGGCGTAAGATTTTATATTTTCAGTCAGAGATCGAATCTACAAAAATTACAGTTTTTTTTTTTAAGTATAATTTTCAAAGCTACATATTAATAAATATATATATATATATATATATATATATATATATATATATATATATATGTATATGTATTTTGTCATTTCTAGATCCCTATAAAAACGGTCGAGAGACGACGATTTTCTTTGAGAGGAACGTCTTGTCGATTTATCGTTTTACTTCACTCGGAGAAGGACATTGAAAAATTACTCACATCTTTAACACGTTATTATCGCACTGCTGAGGGCGAGGGGCTAATTAAAGCACGACGGAGCGTAGAACTTCATTAAGATAATCGGTCACCATAAAACAAGCAGCTGACCGCGCGAGCTTGTTCAAAGATTGATCGACAATCGTGCCACATGCGGCTGTTGTCCACTGAACTGTTCTCAATTGTTTGCCGGTTATCGTATTGCCGTGTTTACTGATTGAATTGTTGGGGATTGTTCAATATCGTGGGTGGGAGAATGCGATATTTTGCATTGTGTCTGAACAACGCTAACATCAGTCGTTATCTATATTAGCTATATGGAAAAACGTCGCCGCGATAATACCAGGAGCGTATCCATAAAATTATTATGTTCTGGATAATTAAAAAATCGTTAAAGTACATAATTAATTATAAATTAGCGATTTGTCCCTTTTTCCGATGATGCCGTGAAGCTGAAAAAGAGAAACAGCTCAACAAGATATAACGCTTAATTGATCATATTTATTGATAAAATTAAATCTAGATAACGGAGAAATTAAAGATTAATTATCTCTGATATTTACAATGAATGATTTATGGCAAATGATAATGATTTTTCTTTTTTCTTCCGTTTGGCAATTCCTTCATCAATTATCGAGATGCAACGCGCATTGCCGCTCAGTCGCGACTAAGTTTGTTGCTACGTTTTTTCCTAGATCAATTGCATGTTATCATTTGCATCACATACATCGCATTCATGCGACACGTTCGTTGATTCCTTTTCCATTTGTCGATAGACTGGCGAGGGGCCGACGCTGCTTGAACCACGATTTTTTCGACGTGGAAGAAAACCGATTGGAGGCGCCGGAGGCTCGACCGTGGATTTCCCCTTCCTCGTTGCGGATAGTTAATATCCAACGTTCACCCCCAGCTGAAGACTCGAGCCGGAGACACGAACTAACGAGCAAGGAGGAGTGTACTCTCGTTCATCGGCGTGCGCGGATAGACATCGTGTTCGACTTGCTCGTACGAACGTAATTTAACGCTAATTTTTATTAAGTAAGCCTGAGATTTCTATATCTCCAATATAATGATATAAATTTTGTAAAGTGTCCCCGAATAAGCGGTTCAAATTGTACAAATCGAATTTTCTTTCTGACAAATAGTAGTTAACAGTGGAAATCAGGAGATCTTTGGAAACTAAACTTTTTATATTAATAAACTACAAAACTATGAATTTGAATCTCCTTCAACATTTTCTCTGAGGAAAAATATTGACTTTGCTTTTGAATCATATCAAAAGGATCATTAACATTGGACCTGTTTATTTTGAGACATTTTGCATACAATGGATAGAATTATAAACTGAAAAAGAACTTCAAATCATTTATCATTTTACTGGTATCGGAAATATTATAAAATCATACAATTAGAATTTGATTCCTCGATTAATTTTGTAATCCAAGATTTTATTTGCGAAATGCAGGCAATTTAATTTTTCTTTCTTTAACGTACTTATCTGTATATCCTAAGATATCATATAGTAGTATTTATTAATGCTTCACCTTCTGGTGCTTACATAGCAGTTTAGCCTGCCAGATTTTACACAACTATACATTTGTCAAATCCTGTTTCCGGTTTTTACATTTCGCTGTTACGATTCTGCTTATAAACTACTCAAATAATGCTTATTTTTGAATTTTACATTTGAACTATTTACTCTTTTTTCTTTCTCCATCTTTCTAATCTTATCTCTTTCAAACCTTTCATCTATCCGTACCCTGCTCCATCGTCACTCAGCATATCAGTCATTCTTCTTTTCCAACTCTCCACTTTTTTACATCTCGTACTTACATGTCGCATATCTTCGTTTTCTTTCCCGCATAGTCTACATTTTCTCCATTCCTCCAATACATATTCCCTTTTGTCTCATTTCCACACCTCATTCTCGCTATTAGGCTTGTCTTTTCCTTCCCTTTTTTGACTCCATCTTTGATATATCTAGGCAGCCATCCTATTTTGACATCTTTATAATCCTTACACGCTTTTGAGTTTTCAATTTTTTCCGCTTTCTCTCCTGCATATCTACTTCTCTGTCTCTTGACACCATGCAATCAATACCTTCATCTCCTATCCTTATCAGTTCTTCCTCGCTCAGGCCGCATCTCTGTATGTACTCTCTTTACTTTCTGTTGACCAATCTTGTATATCTTCTCTGCTTTCTTCCTCCTTTTTTTCTTTCCAGCATTCTCTTAGAATTACATTTCCGTTATCAGTTCTCATTTTCTCTTCATATTTTTCCGCTCTGCATCCCGCTACAATTCTTCGCTCTTTTCATTTCTTCTTTCATCACATACTCCGGGGTAGATCTTTGTAAACCTAGAATCCACCTTATGTATCTCTCTTGCACTACCTCTACCTTCTTCCTTTCTCTGTATCCCCATATCTCTACTCCATACAACATTATTGGTTTTATAATTCTATCGAACAATTTCATTCTTTATATTATATCCAGGTTAAACTTTTCTTTCTCTATAACTCCATATCCATGCCATTGCAATTTTTCCTTTCCTTAAGATATCATATAATATTTTTAATTATTTGATATAATGAACTGTTTGTTGCTGAGCATTGCAAATAAAATCAATGTCTCCGAATCATTATATTAAGTCGCTGAACAAGGTCGTGAGCGCGTTATAGTATATATCAAAGATAGCAGGATGTACCAAGAATCGTAATCGATACTCTGCAGTATTAATTTTCAAACATCATATTTTTATCATCATATTTTAACGAGGTATATTAAGATCAGTTTCTCAATCCCTAGACTTGAATGGCGAACGAACGAACAGTGATCAGAGGGAAGCTTATCGTCTAGAAGCGAAGGCGCATGGATTTTAATTTTCTAACTTTGACAAGTCGAGAATCTTGCCTATAATTGAAACGATAATAGCCTGGTTGTCGCGTCGTATTTTTCAACGGGTGGCTCTGTAAGAATTGAGGAGAAGGATTTACCAGAGAGGGACGACTTTTCGTTCTCTCGCTTGTTGTGAGATTTATGAGCGGATTGTCACATGCTCCGTGAAGGCGATAACGGGGTACTGTCGTAAGCGGCACGAGAGCAAGTCGACAGATAAGAATTGCCAGTAGCGGTAGATCAGATCCTGCCATCGCGGTTGTAGCGGCGATTTCTCTGCGCGGCTCGTGTTTCCGTGGGATCGGCAGTAGTGGTGATGGTTTATCGATAGTGCCGTGATAGAGGCGACAGCGGCAGTAGCGACGGCAGTGATCGTTATCGAGGAGTTTTATAAATCAGGGGTTACCGCTTTCCGATTTCGTTTCGTGAAGGTTCCGTGAAACTTCCGATCTTCCCCGCGGAAGATTGCAAACTGGTGGTCAATCGCGAATACGTGGGGATGTTATGTAAGCTATGTATTCGCGTTCGGTAAACACATTCGACACTCCCGGGTCGGGATCGGATTTGCAATACGCTACAATGTTACACAGTCGCGACGATCTGAATACGATTGAATCAAGTCGAATAAAAATATCAACTACTTTATTGAAATAAGTTGCGGTCCATTGATTCATTTTCGCAAAGCGTTTAAATTCAGGTGTCATTGAAACACCGGTCCTTTTTGTATATCATGTACATATAATGTATTTCTTGATCATGTATTGAAAATGTGAAACAAATTCTAATTGTCAGCGTACAGAGTATACCGGGTTCACACACAGTTTCCGACTTTTAAGTGACGTACGAGACGGGAGACATATCGATCATGTATTTCAACACGTGTTGGTTTACTCAGCGCGACGTGAGGAATCCCGGTCTTTCAGGTGATCAAGTTACTTGGTCGAAGGATGTACGTCAAAGGCAGCACGAGGACAATCTGTGCGGATGGTTGAGTTTCGACGAGGTGGCGAGTTACGAGGAAGATGCGCGGTTGAAGACCGAGGAGCCAGAGGAGGAGGACGAGAAGGAGCGTGACGAACGGGGTTCAGGGATGTCTACGGTATCGATTAATAAACTACAAGTTCTATGGGACCACTTTATCCACGCCGAACCCCAGAGTTACGAGGTATTAGCACAGTTTTTGGGAACAATCTCTTAATTTTCGGAACTCTACTTATTTTTCTCTTTTTTAAGCTTTTGTGAATTTTTGTCGTTTAATTTTAACAAGATTCGACCATAATAAGTCTATTATGGTAAGGAATCTTTTTCCTACGCGTTGTACATCGATACAACGCGTAGCATGGGAATAAATTATTGTTGTCAAGTTCAACAACATTTAATTGTAGCCTCGAAGCCTATTGCATTGTAATTGGATTGTTTCCGCGACCGAAGATACCGCACTGTAGCGGCTTACGAAAGAAACGGATGCCTTACAAGTTATCTGCGCCTTGCTCGTCAATACTTCGTGGAGGGCGTCGAAATAATACATTTTTCGGCTATACAATCTTTTCAATCTTTTCAACTGATCGAAAAACCGCATTATTTAATGTCTCTCTCGTATAATAATAGAATTAAAAAAAAAAAAAAACAGATATAATTAGATACAATTATGTGAAATGCGCTAACAAAATATGACACATGTATCTATTTTTAAATTATAATTTGTAGTAATTATGAGATTTCAATTGTGTAATTTTCTCTGAACGACATATTTTCATTGCGGACGGTTATTTCCATCGTGAATCACGCGTGTACGTGCTCGATCGCATGTCTGCAGTAAACAGTCTTCGTCATACGCATGCATTAAAAGACCATTAGACAACAATCCCTATTTCTGTCGGTGAAGAATAGCTAAAATTCGGAGTGCTCCAGTTTCATATCTATATGGCTTTTTTTTTATTAAATTGTGAATATCAGAAACAGCGGTCCGCAAGTATGTCATTTTGCAATATGCTTAATCGTTATGTTTTTCATTTTATGCTCGCTAAAATGTTGATTACTATATCGCGCAGAGACGCGAGCCAAAATTATCTTTGTCAATTTTGGCAAGTAAATGAATAAAATGTCTGTATTTTTTCTTATCTCGAGCACAGTCATTTATTCACTAATTTTCTCTTTGAAGTAATATTTTAACTTGGCTTTTTTTTACGAATATTGTATCGTATCTTCTGAATTGCCGAATTCACGTTTACGGATTGAATAATTAGTTTTAATTATTGTACGAGTTCTACATAACTGGTTTTGCGAATACATTCTTTTTTTTACAAAAGATATTTGCTCGTTTCATACAAATTCTGTTGATAAATACTCCGACAAACATTGATATCACAATGATTGTTTCAGAAATCGTCGTGGCTTGATATATTTCTGGCGGAATTGCTCGCGCAAATTAAAGAAGGCAAAGACGTAAAAGATGTTCTGTCTTGTTGGTGAGAATCTCATATTATTATATTAATGCATTTATTATTATTATTATGTGCGAATTCTGCGCAATATTTCTCGTAAAGTTGACGCGATACTTTCTAGGAAACGTATTCAATTACGCGTTTATTTTTATGACTCACTGTCTTTGCCTCAACCGCAATGTGAAAATTCGATCGCACTTCTGCGGTTGCAATTGAGAATTTTTATTATAGCTAGAAGCTGACTTTCGATCTGGTAGCTCGTTTTATTTTTTTCTGCCAGTCACGCTTGTTAATTGTATTTATTTATTTAAATGTTTTAAATACCTGATTAAACTTGCTAGCGTGTTGATTACAATATTCATACATACATAGTATAAAAAATCATTGACCTGCTATTGTGTATTCTGTTGTGAATCACTTTCTGATAAGCGCTAAGTTTTCCTTTCTTTATTGTTCAATGTAAAAGGCGGTATCACATGAGCTACTAGAAATAACAAATATGTACGTAACTGTCGTATCTCATTGATAACTCACATCTGATAACTCAATTATTGAATGAGATAGTAAAAAAAATAGGTACACATCAAGCACATCCGTTTGTTTCAGTTCGGTTGGCGTTGGCGGTGTGTCGACCCTCGTGGCCTGTGAATTGCTCTCGGATGTGCATGAATTGTGCGGAAACGACGGCGGCGAGCTGATCGGTCTGCGGAAGTATCTGGTCCAGGATCGCGGCTGGCGTTACCTGGCGGTGCTGCATCTACTAGGTGTACGTGGTCTGTCCTGCGGTCGCGAACTGGTCACGCTGCTGGTCGCTCTCTATCAAGTTGCGTTTCAAGAAGGGACCGACTCGAAGGCCAACTTGACCGCCGCGACGCAAAAGTCTAACGGCGAATCCGCCGTCGTCGAGTCATCGATACGCAACCAGTATATGAGATTTCACTGTAACGACGATACCGTCGATACGGTGAATATCGTGCTGCACGCAAAACGCAAAAGCGCTAAAAGTTCTGGCCGCAGGCGTTTCTCTCATGAGGGCGATATACCTTCGCGCAGGAGATTCGCTCGCCGGCACGCCGTCGGTGCTGCGAAGACTCAACAATCCGCCAGTCACAAACCGAAGAAACCGTCGTCGATTCTGGAAGCGCGACGCAATACACCGGAGGGTGAGACGAGCAGCGAGTTCGAGCCATTGACGGATGGCATCGATCCAGCACGTTCTCTTACGCTGAAGATTCGCCTGAATCCGATGGACTTCGAATATTTCACGTCGATCGTTAGGAGCGACGAAGAGCAGAAGTGGCGGGCTGAATTGTACGAGCTGCCGCCTCGTCCCGTAAGGAAAACGCCGCGCGACTATATCGACGAAAGGATCCGCGATGTGTTGGACGCCGATATCAGTAACTTCGAGATTAGTTTGCTGATTATACAACTGCTGCAAGGCTTGCGCGACTACGACACACCCGCTGAGCAAACGCCAGCCGTGCAGGTTTTAAAATTCGCTCTGGACACGCTCTGGTCGCTGCAGTTCGGCATAGACGACAGCAGTTTGAACGGGACGGAAAGCGCGACACTGAAGGCAGCGGCCGCCAGGCTGATGTTGACGGCTCTGGAACGTGCCTTGAGGGCCGACGAACCTACCACGGCGGTGATTCACAATGGCCTGCTGCCGATGACTCTGAGATTGCTGGAGAATGCCTGCAGCAAGCCGGTGAACGTGCTGGAGCCGGAGGAAGGTTCGCTACTGCAGGAATTCATCTTCGCTACCATCTACGGGATCGTCACATTTCTTTATTGTTTGTTGCACCAGCGTAGCAGCAACGTCGACAAGCTCTCGGATTTCCTCGAATTATTTCGACTCTTTGTTGAGAGTCAAGACGGCAGGCTCGTCGAAAGAACGATATTCGCGATTGTCGGTCTGCCCAGTGTCGATCCAGCGAAGTCGATAGCACGGGCCAAAAAGATAATCGACATAATAGGCGCGCTGACTAGCGGATTGAAGCGCGTTCGTCGTGATCTGTCGCATGCCACGCAGTGCCACAGAACGAAACACAAATCCTGCATCGATCACGTTCAGAGTCATCATCACTCGGACGTGCTCGGAGCACCGTACGCCCAACCAATCGTTGGTGTGGCCGATAAACAAGTGTGCTGCATTTCCTCATTATTCGCGACACTCACGAGTTTACTGAAAGAATCTCATCTATTCGCGAGCGAGTTACAGGTGAGACTGATCGGGATAATTACCGCCGCGGGTACGTGCTGTTGCTTCCCGCCGAGGACCCTCGTCTCGAGCGTTATCGCCTGTCTCAAAAAACGCGACCCCTCGACGTATGCGCCAGCCGTGGCGTTCCTGGAGCGTACTCTTTTCAGAGAATTGGGCGCTTGCTCGACGACGGATACATGCAACACCTGTGATAAACCGACAAATTACTCATGGGACTTTTTGGAGTTATACATTGACTTGCTGTGCCCCGACGATCCGAAACTCTGTTACGTAGTCATGGCGCATCTGCTGAAGGTCACACCTGGCTCTCGGTTTCACGTCAGAGAGCAGCTTCTCTTTAAAGTTTTCTATCCGACTTTCCTGCGTGCCAAAGCGCGTTACGTGACTGACAAGGGAAACGCAACGGCGAGGTTCCTTTTGCAATCCTGCATGTCCGTTATATCGTGTTTAATCGTGAACCTGAGGATGTGCGAGAAATTCATGGAGATAAACGGACTGCACGAGATACTGTCTCTAATAGCGGACGCGGCGTTCACTAGGAGCGTTTACGCTCTTCTGGAAGTCACCGCGACCGTAGAGATCTGGCGGATTTGTAAGGAGCTCAACAATACGGAAAGTATTGAGGCACCGGCGACGAAGTTCCTCTTTGAAACCCTCGACAGAGAGACAAACGGATTGTTCGTCGGGTTACAGCGTCTCGAGGAACTGAGAGTGGGTGAGAAAGCGGACCAGCAAGGCGAGAAGGATGTACGTAATACGCATTCTGACAATCAAGAAGCTGAATTATCTGCTCTGAAAGATTTGAGAACGGAGACCGCTGAGGCGGTTGAAGATCTCGACGATACTCTAGCGCAACTGCCTGAAAATGATATTCACCGCGAACAATTAGAGAATAAGACTGATGCGACAGATACCGCAACGATCTCGAATTCGCTTGAGAAATTTCACCCTCTTATCAAGGAGGCTACCGAAGTGTGCGACGACGAGGACGCGTCGTACGACAAATTTAGCCTGCATCAGGCTAGCGCGGCTTGGAGGGCTGCCGCAGGAGTAGCGCTGTGCAGCCCGAAATTCCGCGCTGAACTATCAGCGCATTCAGTATCCGGGAAATCGTTGCATTTGTTCAAGTTGTTAACTGTGGGCATTGCCACGGATAGTATTGAAGGTATAGTTGCGACATGTGGAATGATAATACCTGAAAAATTATTGTTAAGAAATTATTAATGAATCGTATCGTATTTCTTTTTTTCTTCAGATAAATCGGCGCATAAGCTCTTCGAGGCCCTGATTACGTGTTGTCTGATATCTCCGTTGGGTAAGTGTATTTATGTTACGAATGCGATTAATAAAGAGCGTAACAGACACACACATCGGTTACGTATGTATATACATGTATATCAGTCGCTCGTGCAGCTGCGGCGTTATAATCCGAAGATGTTTCGCGCGTTTACTCGTCGAGAAAAACAGTTCGAAGAACGTAGGCGGATAGTAAACGTCATTCTTGAAATCACTTGACCGGTTATTTTATTACACGTGGAATTATATTTGATATTTGCTTTATTGAACTATTATTTCGTTGCCATTGCTGATTTTGTATAACGACAAACACATTCTGCGGTGCAGATGATTGTGACATTGTCATGGAGTTAGGAAAGACACTGATGAATACCGGGATAACGCTTGGCCGTGGAATAGCTGTGATAGTGGACGCGGTCTTGAAGGTCTCTATGCTGAAGCCAGCGCAAGAAAACAGCATACAGCAACAACCGCGTCCCAGAGTACGTGTTGATAATGTTTTAAATCTCAACATCAGTTATTAAAAATCCAGAACCTTGAATATTTATTAATGGAATTATTTTATTACAGCTACCAACCGTGTCGTTGGAAACTCTACCGGATTACGGTGCGGAAGATAGCAGTACCGGCGAATATGTAACCGCTGACGATGGATATGAAGCGGATATCGAAGTGCCTGGAAAAAATACCAGCAACAGCGTCTCCAAGAAAAGCAGCAGCCCACTTGGACCTGTGATAGAACCGAGAGGTCACGCCAATGCGCATCCTGCTCTATGTTCCTTGGCGATAGATCTTTTAATTCATTTCAGTGAACAGTAAGTCCTGATCACTTTTGCGAATACATATGTTAATGTATTACATTATTTTTACTTCATGAAATCCTTTTTCACAGAGGTTTAGATTTAGAGAGAGGATCAATAATAACTGGTGGATTGCGAAGGGTCACTCTTACTTGTCGAGAAAGTGCCTCAAGTTGTGCTGCTCTCGCGGCCTCAGGAACTATTATGAAGATATTGAATGGTTTTAAAAACATATTTACGGATAACGATCCGCGATATCGAGGTAGTTTTAGCACGTAGGAAGGTATATGTATTCACAAAATATTAGCACACTGTACAGTGAATTTTTACAGACTTGCAGCATGCGGCACTGGAAGTTTTCACATTATTGGCGACGCAATCAATCTCACCGACGGAGTTAGTCGCGTATCTATCGTTTTTCAAAGTGAAGAAACCGCTGTTGTTGCTCTTGCTGGAGCCATTATATCACTTGGTATTGGCCGCACGACCTCAGCCAAATTTCATTCTGTCGTTTCCCGCGCAATACGACACGAAAACGTCGCTGAAGATCCAGACAGAGGAACACAAGAATCTAGAGAAAGCCGAGAACCTCGTGAACAATTTTAGAAAGAAGCATCTTGCTGCGGGAATTTGCAGTCCATGGTCCGTACATGCAACGTGCCTGCCCGTCGGGCCGGAACTTGCTTGGTCGGTGTGGTTGCACGGTTGCTCCGCTTCCATGTGGTTAAGGGTAGAAAGGGGGCTATCGGTCGGCGGGCGTGCGACTGCTCACAGCACTTCCCCGTTGCTTGATTCGGACAGCGAGAGTTTATCAGACTGGGGTATTCTTTCTGATGACTGGAGTCGGGATGGTTAGTAGAGAGAGAAAACAATTATTAATCAACAATTATGTTTATTGTCCCTAATTGCACACTTACGTTATTACGTTACGTGGTAAAAGTTTTATTTTATCGGTAACAATAAATTCGTTATTTTTTATTCGGACGTATTCATGAAATTGTCACGAAAAGAACAAATATTGATCTCTGATCCTTCTTCTAGTCGTAGAAGGTTCTGTGTCGCCACCCATGCCAACATCGATAATACATTTGATGTCCATCGGGTTCGAGTCGCTGGTTTTGGAAACTTGGCTCGATCTCAGATCAGGTATATATTTTTAAAATTTGCTAATTATCTATAAAGCTCGAAAGCTTGCATTGACATTGATTTCATAATTTCTAGATAAATTAATCTTACGACTTACTCGACCGGATGATAAGACAAACCGAACGATCTCCGAAACTTCGGTAAACGGCATGCTTCCTTCGGGATGCTGGCACCACTTGACTTTAAATATTAAAGACACTGTCTTGAATAAGCGCAGTGCTGTGGTTGAAGTTACGCTCTGGGTGGACGGTTGGAAAGAAGTTAATGCTCAATTACCGTTTGACGGTTTACTGGTGAGAAAGCCTGGTACTACGTGTATTTTGTTAGGTCAAATTGGGTCGAGCAGTATTGGCGCATGGTACCTTGGGAATTTAATGATTTTTAGGTATTTTATTTTGTTATTCAGCATCCAAGTAAAATTCATATATATAACAGAATCATTTATATTTATTTAACTGTTACTCGCAGATGTCCAGTGTTTACGAAAGAGCGTGCATTGCATCTGGCAGGTCTCGGACCAAACTACACCAACTTGGCAGATTGTATTTTAAATACGATGAAACCTGATTTTGCGCCTCTTATTGCATCCGGCGCATTGAATGGCGTTCGTGAAGTGAGATACGGTTAGCAATGTATTATGATTAACAGATGTGTATAACTGTACACTAAACAGCCTAATATTGTATCTATACAAAACTTGAGACTTTAACATTTACTTTTGCGCATTGTAGAAGGAGGTAAATTTGATTTAAGCCGGCGAAAATCTTATGGTGGTACCTATCTGAGGCACGCCGTCGAGACAGTAGTATCAGAATCGAAAATCGATTGGGATATTGTTATGGACGCGACGAACTCGCATCTTAATGAGCTGCAAGATAATTTGCTTCTCAATTATGAGGCTCAAAATCCTAACGTCGTACATTTGTATCCTCAAGCTATCGCTAATCCTGCTGGTAAGTTATACTCATCACTATTGATATGTTTCTGACTGTGCAGTTCATAATGTCATGAATTATCATGTATTTTATTTAATTTTTATTTTATTTAATTTTTATTGTATTTAATTTTTATTTAATTTAATTTTTTATTTTATTTCTATTTTATTTGGATTTTATTTTATTTTTATTTATTTTTATTTATGTATTATTATTGTCATTATCTTTATAGTTGTTGTGAGAAGTATCTTTCCGGGCCAACCAGGTTTTAGAGTCGTTTCGGTCCCAGAGCACAGAGTATCGCAGCAACCGCCTCTATCGATACCTCCGATTGTATCTATTCGTTTAGAGAGCCAGCAATACCGAGGTCTTGTACCTGCGTCGATTTTAGTGGGCGGTGTACCGGTATTTTTATATCTTTTTGCGAGAGTAAGTACTTTTTTTTATAGATACTTTATATTTACATAAAAATTAATTAAGAAAGAAATAATAAAAGCGTCTGCATATCCTTTTTAAACATTAGTGAATCCTTGCAGGTGGTCGAATTAAACTCCACCGAAGAAGAACAAGCTCTGGCTCTGTCTATAGTCCTGCATCTTGTCCGTAGTGATTCAGAACTCCTGAACCAATACCGATCAGACGGCGGAACGTCACTGATTCTGCGTGTTCTAGAATCGTCTAGATGTCATGCAGGTAGACACATCCTAAAGGCGATACTGGATGCGGCATGCGATAGCTCGATCATTATCAAAGATATCGGCAGCGGTAACCATTCAATCTCACAGAATTGCGAAGCCGTTATCACAGACCCGGGGCTGATCAAAGGCGCTCTTACCGCATGGAGAGCGTGGGTTAAATACGATACGTTAAATTTACTGTTGCAAGCGTTACTACTTTTATTGCGAGATCAACATTCACATCGTGAATTTAACGCATCGCAGTTAAACAGGATCGGTATCGTGGATACGATTCTTACCTTGTGTAAGGTAAATAAAAAAATAATTCGTACATTAAAGAACACATCTGCACACAATAAAATATACATTAATACGCGATTTACATATTCTATAGTAATATCTCTATTTTTCGTAGGAACACTTTATGTACGAAATGCACGAAGAAGAGAATACCACATTGGACTCGAATACCGGAATTGCTATTGTAGAATTGATGCGCGCTTTAATGGGTGCACCGCCTGAATTTGCTCACTTGGTCGCCATCACTGATTACCTGGTCCTCGTTCATCAAGCCTCAGAGACTTATGTCACTCATTCGCGACATAATATCTATTTTATGTTGCCGCAACTCAAGGAAAAGAATTCGAAAAGGAACGATACTGTTGTCATTTCTGATGACTCGATAGGCATGGTGGAGAATAGCAAACTAAACAAGGCATTGACAAATGAACAGGTGTGATTTTTGCAGGGTAAAATTTTTTTGGTTGTGAAAATTACACGAATATTATATTTAATCGTTAATTTTTCCAGATTCAAAAAACGCGAAGTCCTAAAAAGAAGGACCGTAAAAATGTGCTGTCATCGGATAATACTAGTGCCGGAGAAGATTCCGGGATTGCAGGTAGTGATGGATCCAATCCTCAAAGCAATGTATGTATAATGAGAAATGTAAAATCTGTATACAATATAGTTTTACGTATCACTTACTCGAATCATGTATCGTGTATTATTTAGGAAAGGCAATCAACATACGCGGATGAAAGAAGAGCCTGTCAGGGTTTAGTCTGCGAAGGGCTGTTACTGTTACTGAGAGATGCTGTAAGAGTGTTACCAGACTGTCAAGTTGGATTAGTACTGAAGCACGTTTTAAGAGCTGAACTGCTATTAGTTCTAGCCAATGATCCCGATAATCGCGTACGCACAGCATTGATCAAGGTAAATAATTTCTTAGTGCAATATATATCGTATAACTTCCATCGAGACCCGGAGCGAATAAAATGTTTCATCAGTATCTTGTGATATCTTACAGGTGATACAAACCTATCTACAACGCGCTAGCGACGAAGAAGTTAATAAATTTATAAAACAAAAGTATTTCATGCATTTAGGAAATCAGATAGCTTTGTATCCCGGAAGCGAATCGTTGATTGTCGCTTTAGAAAACTTAGCTCTACGAGGTCCGACATTGGCGGCGATGCCGCCGTTAATGGCAATGATCGCAAAGGCCGCGGCCTCTGATTCGAGCGTAGCCAGGCCAATTATATCGTTTATCACTGACCTAATAGCAAAGGTAATGGGAATGGAAAATACGGTAGCAACTTCGACGTATGATCATACAAATTAATTTTTATTCCAGAATACGAGTGCACTGAAAGTACTTCTAGAGCAAGGCTTGATCGAGTCATTGGCACAAGCTTTATGCGCAATCGCGCATAAAGGTACCTCGACGTCCCTTCACCGAGACATTCATGTACTGTTTGTAGCAATCGCAACCAAACTTCTAGAATTACCGGGAAATCATCAGATGCAAGCGGTATTAGATCTACACATGATACTCGATTACATGGAACTGTCGGAGAAGTTACGGTGCCGCGCGAGTTTGACTTGCACAGCCATAAGAGACGCCCAAGTTGCGTTATTCGACGGAGAGTTGGACGTGCTCACGACTAAAATGTCGAATCCTTCGGGATTCCGTTTACGCAGTACGGCATCCTACTTGGCTTCGGCATCTTACTTTACCTCAGGTAGTGATTGCAGCGCGCCAAAGTTTCCGATACTTATGTATTTACATTCAAAAAAATTCTTTCAGTTCTCACGACGTCCAGCGAGCAGAGCGATCATGGATCCCGTTCGTCCAGCTACGCGAACTTTCACACGAATTCGCCGCCGGTGCTACGCGAACCTAGTAAAGGAGAATTGAACGATCGTTTTCGTATTATTGTGACACGCGCCGTTGAATTTATCATGGCCGCTGACACGTCGCCATCCGTCAACGAATTGCAACTAACGAGAAGACTGTTTTCCGTTCTTCTGCACGGTCTATGTAGTCCGCTGGAGAAGAAAAATCACTGGAGTAACACGTGGTCCGTCAGAACTGCTTTAAGAAAGCATACAGCTAGAATTATGGTGTGGCTGCTGGAACCGCATCAGAGTATCAATACGAGAATATACGCCATTAGATCTCTGATGGAAGAACCAAGAGCTCGTGAAATCTTGTCGTGTATCCTGGAAGTTCACCCACAGGTATTTACATTAATGAAATTAATTTAATAAAATTAAAGTTAATTGATTAAAACTAATTTATACAATATGTATTCCCATATTACGCATTTTACCTGAAATTATCTGTCTATATTGAAGTATGAAGCTCCCGAAACGAGTTACTATTGTTATTTCACACTCTTTCATTCACAACTTTTAATTTTCCAATCAACTTCTTATAAAATTGAGGCATACATGAGATAAAAATTGGGATCGAAAGCGGGACTTGTCTAAGATCGCTTTTATACAGAGGCAAAATATGAAATTATTATCTGTATTATCTGTAAATTGTGTCTAGATGGAGCAAAAGTTTACCGTGTTCTTCTGGGACCTATTGCAAAAGCGGGACGAGATGCCAAGTGCCGATGCTAGAGTGTGTGCAGAGTTGAGAGAAGCCCTGCGCGTATGGAACCTCGCCAAAGGGATAGAGCAAGCGAGCCCTGAAGTGTGGAACGACGAATTAGCTTTGTTACGTCGAGATTTGCTTCCAGATCAAGATATTTGTATCGATAATTATCCCGCGATTTTAAGGTAGACGCATATGTCATGTTTATCCCGGAAATCAGCATTTCGTTGACAAGTTAATAAAACGATGTAATTTTACGTTAGAATCAGCAAAAGATTCGATGCGTTGGCGAAACAGCTAATCGAGAGCGCCATGACTATAACGCGTTCGGTTGTGGAGGAACAAAACCGCGAGCGTAAAGTATTGATGGAGCAGTTGAAACACACGCGAGCATTAGAGGCTCAGGCGGTGGCCAGATGGAGAGACATAGCTAAGCGACTAACACACGAACGGGCGCCATGGCACTTTCCGGAAAGCTATCCGAGAAATTGGGAATTGGATCCAACCGAAGGCCCTGCGAGAGTCAGAATAAGACTTCAGAGATGTCACTTGAATATTGACAACAGATTCTTTTTGCCTGAATATCAAGACAGATTAGGTGTGCCTACAAATATTATCATAAATTGTTACGGAAAACATTCAGTTTGTCTTAAATAGAATATATTTTCCTTATTAACATTCACGTATGCAATGAAATTGAATAAATTGAATCAATTCTCCATCCATATTTTAATCTTAAATTTTACGTTTTACAGAGTCTTCCAATATCGAGATGCCATTATCGTACTTATTTACGAGCACTCGCGAAGATGCCAATACTGCGGCTCTGATCGAACGGTTGCACACGACTGAGAAAATACGTAAGATGTCTCAGGCGAAAGTAGTTACACCTAGGGCTGAATTAGCCGGAGAAGTCCTCATTGGCGAGACGTGCGTGTATTTCGTTCCGGACAACCCCGATATGCCGTTACATACGGACGTGAGCAATTTCTTTGTTTTCCATAATTATAATTTTACAATTAACTTCTTAACCATCGTTAATTATAGATAGCATTGGGTGGTTTCGATTTGGCTGTGGCTGGTGGTACTGCTTGGCGTCTCGAGGATATTCGAGAGTTGCACAGAAGAAGGTACCAATTGCAAGAGAGAGCGATCGAAATCTTTCTCATTACCGGCAGAACATACCTGTTGGCGTTCAATTCGTCCAAGGAAAGGGACGAATTTGCGACGGAACTGTCTGCTTGCAACTTACCCAGGCGAATCCCCGGCGATGACTTGGGGGAGGCTCTGGCTTTGTGGAGGAGTGGAGCGCTCACTAATTGGGAATACATAACTTGCTTGAACAAACTGGCAGGCCGTTCGTATAATGACTTGATGCAGTATCCCGTATTCCCGTTTGTTTTGGCGGATTACGTCAGTGAGAAGATCGACTTGAACAATCCGAAAATTTATCGGTAAATAATATGGGAATTATGTCGCATATACACTCGAATACACTTCTGTAATACACGCGAATACATATTGTGTATTTTACAGGAATTTTAAACGACCGATGGCTGTGCAAGATAAAAAGAATGAGCAACACTATATAAATAATTATAATGTAAGCCATTTAAAGTAATAATTGTTATTATTTGATATTTTGTTGTAGCATTACTAATAACTTTATTTTCATACAGTATTTGAAACAAACTTTAACAGAAGGATTAAATCTAATTGCCTTAAATCAAGGACCATTCCATTATGGCTCTCATTATAGTAATTCTGGAACTGTATTACACTTTTTGGTACGGCTTCCACCGTTTACTAGCATGTTCCTTTGTTATCAAGGTAGTTACAAAAAAGATTATTCTTTTTACAATGATATTTATCGAAAAGTTGATTATTGTTAAAAATCTGCTTTTACTTACAGATAACAATTTTGATATTCCTGATCGGACATTCCATGCATTGGCTACCACATGGAGATTAACTAGTTGCGATTCAACAACGGACGTGAAGGAATTGATACCAGAATTTTTCTATTTGCCTGAATTTTTATTAAACTTCGAGGGTAAATCCCAGTGCATTGCATTTAATATTGAAAAAATATTGCGCGCATAAAATAATATATAATAATACATTTGCATGTGTGTTACAGGATTCAATTTCGGTGTTCGACAAAATGGTAACAAAGTTGGAGATGTCGAATTACCGAAGTGGTGCGCCGGCGACGCACGTCTATTTATATTGGCACATAGAGCCGCGCTGGAATCTGATATTGTGAGGGAAGTATTGCCATATTGGATTGACCTCGTCTTTGGATTCAGACAGACAGGAAGACCGGCGATAGAGGCTATAAATGTTTTTCATCCCGCAGTACGTGCTCTTACGTTATCACAGCGTAGCTCTTCGAACGGATGAATATTAACAGCTCAATTCCTTGTATTTAGACTTATTATGGATTCGACGTGGAGCAGATAACCGATCCCTTAGAACGTCAAGCCTGGGAAACCATGGTACGAACTTATGGTCAAACGCCCGCGCAATTATTCAGGGCTCCCCATCCATTGATACAGAATATCGGCAATATATCGATAACTAATCAGACGCCGCAGGTTATTGAAGGCATCAATGGTAATTATCTTTCATGCATCTTTCTGCGTCTTAAAACTGTTGATCGATCAACGATAATACAAAATTATGTATTAAGTCCATTAAATTAAATCAATTAAATATTGCAACTGTATGATGTAATCGCAGGTATAAAATGGGGAAATTATGTGGGCGCGCCCGGCAATGAGCCTGTATTATGTTGGAAACTTAAGCACAAAACTCCGCTAGCTTCTCTGGTTCCTTTAGCAACCGGTGACGTTTTTGGTTTGCCTAATTACACCACGCTTCTCCTTGGCTATACCAAAGAAAAAGGTTAGTGAGTCATATCATGATTATTGCATACCATAACGCTGTTTGTGCAACGCTATTTGTACTCGAAGCTTTAAATATAGATATGAATGAAAGCGTTTTATGTTATCAGGCAGCAGCATGTTAAGCGGTATGTCTGTATTGGGTGTCGCATTAGCGTCATGGAGTGGCACAGATGGAATTGCTAGATTGAAATGTAAGAAGGAACAACCGCCAAGGCCTCTAATTAAATCTTCAGGCCTTGATCCCGTAAGTATCTTAACACACATTTCGCAATGAATAATACGTCAGCAAGAATTAAATAATAATAAAAGAAGAAAACAATTTCTTGCATTTGCAGGATTATTAAAACTATTTCTTTTGAGATAGAATATTAAATATATAATGCCCAATTGTTTTTTTTTTTTTTTTAGATTACGACATTGGCATCTACTCCTGATTGTGGGCAGCTTTGGATTGGGCATTTATCAGGCCGAATCACAGTGCATGCATATACCGTAGGGACTACGGGTAAAATCGAATTCAGTTCAGCGTCTGCGACGGTACTCCTGGCTCACAGAAGTCGGGTGACAGTGATATGTCTGTCACGTACGTTTAGCGTTGCCTGTTCCGGCGATGGCAGCGGTATCATTGCTATTTGGGACTTGAACAGGTACATAAATAAAGCTTACATATTTAAGCATGTGGAGAGATAAAGAATTATATTTGCAATTTATATATGAGTCTCACATCTGTATATTGTTATTTTGAAACAGCTTAACGTATGTGAGGTCAATAGACTGTGACCAAGGTTACGCTGTACATCTCCTGTGTATTAGCGAGACGCTCGGGGATGTAGCCGCTACTTATGACATTCCTAGATTAGAGGACAACGCGACCAACAATCAATCCGAATTAACGGTGCACACTGTAAACGCGAGGGCCGTGGGCTCCATTTTATCCAGAAGACGTGTAACGGCACTTTGTTACAGCAACGCGCCGGAGGGTGTTTCTGTCAACGTCATCGCAACTGGTTTAGACAACGGAATAATAAGGTACGATATACACATATATATACACATATGTTACTTTATTAAATTTACGAACAATTATTGAACGAAAGACTGTGTCCCTGTATAACGTAGATTATGGAGCAGTTGGGATCTGCAGTTGGTCAGAGAAATTTCGAATAACGTGAGAGGTTGCGGCGCGATAATCGCTGTGGCGTGGCCTCTGGATCAGCATCATTTGTACGCGGTCACGGAAGACTCCACCGTTCTCATTTGGGAGGGATCTAAGCGTCTCAGCAACGGTACTCCGAAATTCGTCAACTTAACGTCATACTAATCTGTAGAATCATTATCCCGTCATACTCCAATTTAAAGACGAAGAATGTGGAACGAACTGGGAAGACAGCTTATATATAAAGAAAGAGAAATAGATTGGAAGAATAAACACGATATTATTTTATATATTACATTTGTAATGTTTATGTTAATATGTAGCTTTCTCATATCGTTTCTTAGTATGATTCATTGATGTAATTAAGTTTTTTTTTCATTCTGCGTTATTATTTAAGAACTAATGTGTTCGTTTCTGCTAATCATATTCATCTTTTTTATCTTTAGTCATAATCATGACACGCATTGGAGGAAAAATGAACAATATGAAGTATTATTTTTATCGATTCTTCCGATATAATAACTATATCCGTAATTATATATTCTGCATTATATTTTTATATACATTTTTATATTGGATCATGTATTCGTATAGATTGTATATCTCATTGTTTAATGATATAATTTATACATAAAAATTTTTATAGAGTAACATACTACATAATGCAGCAACAACATATGTGTTTATACAAACTATCATTGTTTTCCAATGTTTGCATTCTTCTTGCTCATATTTCTACGCATGTATATATGTATATGTATATCAAATAAATCTTTACTGCATTAAGACACAGTTGCATTTATACAATTTATATAAATTCTGAAGTGCTTACCTTAAATCTCATTTAAGCAAGGCTCAATTATTTCGTACATAGGATAATACTTTGTCGTCCTCCTCGCAATCTGATCTGCGGTATCTCCGCTCGAGTTAACCAGGTAGGGATTCGTGTCGGGATGCAGTAGAAGAAGCTGAAGGGCCGGGGAGTTGTGCGAACTAGCGGAAACCAGATGTAGAGGTGTCTGATCACCCTTGCTTTTTGCATTAATGTCCGCTCCGTTTGCGATTAAGGTCTCGGCGCATTCCGTGTTGTTCCAACAGCACGCAGAGTGCAAAGGTTGCCATTCGTCTTGAGTTTTAGCGTCTATTTTCGCTCCAGCTTCAAGTAGATACTGTTGAGACAAAGACACGATATATACAAGAACGACTTTAAATAATTTTGTAAATGCTGAGAGAAGGAAATAAGATCTTTTTCATAAACCTACCTCCACAACTGCCACATTATTGCCGTAACACGCCCTGTGAAGCGGAGTATAGCCGTCCTTATCCGTGCAGTCCAGTAAGAGACGGTCTTTGCTCAGTAATTTCCTAATTCTCGCCAGATTTCCCTCCTCGGCAGCGCTCAGTATCGCCTTTGCATCAGGTTCTGGAGGCACAAAGATACGCTATAAAGACATACAGGCACGAAATTAATTGTAGAAAAATTCTCGGGTCTTTCGAGTTGCAGACATAAGGGTTTATACGTCCCCGATGAGTTGCGAGATGCAATTAGTTTCCGAATTTAATGCGGTGAGAGAATTCTAACCTTTCGCATTACGTTCCGCCTCCACACCGTCATCGTCGTCCTCCCAGGCGCTCATTTGCATATGCTCGCCACGCGGGCTGCTGAGAATCTTATCGCGTATCGCCTCCAGGTCTTGCAATTCGTCATTCTCCTCGTCCGATGACATGCTCGTCTTGTTTCAAACTCGACACTATCAGCTGTGCGACTTCTCTGTCTCGCAGCTGCATGCAACGAAGCTGAGCACGTGCGAATTGGAGCAAGTCCACACTCTATACCTACACTAGAGTCGTACCTGTCAATGATGATGGCTCTTTACAATTCAATTTTATAAAATAAATTCCTACTGTAACTTTTTTAACATGTTATTTCTAAATTTAAAAAAGAAAAAAAAAAGAAATGCCAACAGTACGCGGTGTTCCCAAACGGTCACCCATTTAAGTACTGACCGCGCTCAACGTTGCTTGACTTAAGTGATCGGACGAGAACTTGTACGTTAAAAACGTGATTTGACCGTTGGCGATAGAGCCTTTCTTACAAAGGGATGACACGCTTCTTCATCAATTTTCATATTACATTTGTTATATTTTTTAATATGTATAGGTGTATGTAAATCTGCGGATATCCAACATTCAGATTTTTTAGAATAATTAACGGATTCCTACTGTAGTTTCTTTTAATATTATAGCTATACATTGAATTTATTGTATGTTTTCAGATTCTCAGGATCGAATATTTCATTAAAATTTTATAATTATTTATCAAGTGTAATAACGTCTGTTTTCTTTTAGAACCTAATGCAGAAACGTCGATTTGAGCATTTCCGAGTAGAAAAATCTAGAAAGAATAAAGAAATTAACTCTCATCGTCGATGCATGACTTTTTAGAACACCATTTAAATGACGTTTAATACGTAACATTTGAAAAGAGACAATCTCGAGCGTCAAGGATTGTCAAAAATGTCGAGGTCTTCATAAGCTATTATACGAGCTATTATAAGTAAGCAAAATGGATTGCTTAAAGTTACTGGAAACTCTTGATATATTCGGCTGCGCCGGTATTTGCATAAGTACCGAAAGCTCGCAGCTGCTGCAGAATTCGCTGCTCATTTTGCAGACGGAAAATCACTTTCGAAAATGTTACTATTGGGGCAGGATCAATGGGATACAAAACGACTATCACGTCGCGTACGGTTACGAAAAGGATTGCATGAACGGTCAGGTATATTATTACAGGTAAGGAATTTCTTGAATTTTTCGCGAATTGAAGCCCTTTTGAAAAAAGATACTGTTGAGATATAAAGACAAGTTTATGATACATAAAACTTGTCCGTACAATTGTTTTAAATACATTAATAAGAAAAAATATTTGTTAATTAACTTGGTTAAAAATTGTTAATATCACAAAACCAATCTCAGATTTTAGAAGAAAAAAATTAATTACTTTTATAAAAGGAATTTCTATACGTTTGTTTTAATGCTAGTTTTAGGCAAATAAAAATAAATCGAAATAACGTTTATTTCTGACATTTCTTTTTACAGCACAGATGGTATGAATTGGCTACTGCTGCCAAAAGCGACGAAATGCGGACGATTTCTGAGCCCCTTGGCGATTAATAAGTTCGAAGGTGATCCATCCATCGTCACGAACGTTTACGACGTCAATCCACCGTTTCCGCCAAATGAGGATCCTAAGACTTATTACGAGGTAATTGCGAACAATGACTTTTTCTTTAAATTTGCTCTGAGAAAAATCGACTCAAGAAATTTAAGAAATTTGTTGCGACGATTCGGCTTCTTTGAATATTAATGTATCTTAAAAGCATTTTATGTCATTTTTTACATCTTTAGAGGTCTAATTTCTTAGAATTCTAATTTAATCTAATCTTAATGAAAAGATATATAAAAATGACGTTTTAGGATCCTATGCCAAAGGAATTGAAGGAAGAGGATCGTCTCGCGGCCACCGTGGAATCGATTACCGAGGATGCTGCGATCATTCCGCGAGGGGCCTGGTTCAAGTGCCCGAACGGCGATGTGATCGAGAATTCGAGTTTCGGTGGCCTGCGCGAGGTGGACGCCGCGAATCTGAAATCCTATTTGCACGCCCGTCCCCCGAAGCAGAAGTGGAACGTGAATTTGTCGTCCCGGTCCGATTACAATTACGCGCTGGACTTTTTGGACAGCACAGACATGGACGTTCCTCAGGGTATAAAACTTTAATGTCAAAGACAGGGATAAAAAAATGCGTGAAATAACGCTGAACGCGATATTCGACATTGTTTTAAGCGATAAAGTTTGAAGTTGAACGGTATTGATTTAACTTTTCTTTTATGTTCCCGGTCAATAATCTATTATATATAATTTAACATCTATATTTCTGTTTTCAGAATGTTGGAATCTGCAGTTTCTTTTGGGCGGTCGTCTGGCCGTTGTGCACAGCTTGTATTGGCACGGAATGACTTTCTTCCACAAGTTGAACTCTCCTCATCATGGATTTTTATACGTTGGACACGGAAAGAAGAATCTAGATCTTCCGTTTATGATCTGATGCGAGATACATAAACAATTGTGCGAGATTACTTAAATTGTTACGGGGAAACGGCATTAATATAATAAATGATGATGCTACATAATTCAAATTTCAAGCGTAAATTTATAATATAGAAACGACGTCATTTTGGTCATTTAGTTTATTTTAATGCAATATGTGGTCAGTAAAGCGAAGCAACGCGATGAGTTGCAAGAGCGAAACCACCCGGTTGAACGATCGGTTAATCGATACGTCGATGTAATTTGTAACGCTATTGTCCTTAACGTCCGTTTCCCGTCACAAGAATCCGTTGTTCGCTCGTATTCCTGCGCGTATTTATTTATGTCCGCTTTCGGCGACGTCCTCGAATTCGCGACAATGTTAAATTTCGTGCTTCCTGCGGAACGCGTGTGTGTCCTCGCATTGATTTGTCGGTCGGGATTCCGCGAAGAAGAAATTCGGCGTGGCTTATAGTTGGAACGACTTGAATCGCGAAGAAACGATCGAGTTCTAAGAGTTGCATATTTATAATTCTCGTTTTAATGTAAAATTTACTTTACTTTATTTTAATAGTTAATAAAGTATTATACAATAAAAATATTGTATTTTGCATTTTTGTGAAGACATGCATAAAAAAGATTAATATAAATGGATTTGTATAAACAATTATTAATATCAAAATTGTATATAAAGATTAACTTAATAATTTTATTTATAAAAAGTTCGGTTAAAAAGATATTTTAAAAAGAGATGTACAAATGTGTCATATATAATTTATTGTATATAAAATAATATAAACAAATGCAGTTTTAATATTATTTAATTTTTTTATATAATTTTTTAAATATTATAATGTACGATATAACTTATTAAATAATAACTTGTTAATTCCCCGTAATCTATTTTAGTTTACCCTGGTGGAAAAATGTCTCAGAAGTTTTCATATTATTAATCAAAATTTTTATAAAAATTTTTTAACTTTCTCAGAATGCTCAGAATTTTTCAGATTTTTATACGAAATTTTCATCCAATTATTTCTGAAAGTATCTGTATTTTTTATAAGTCTCAATTCTTACAAAATTTCTGAGAAAATATAATAAGAAATTTCTTTCAACAGGGAAGGAGACGCGTGATCAGCTGTCGCGTGTGAAACAATAGGTATCGAGTCCTTCTTGAAAGTACTTGAGAAGGACTCGATAATAATAAGTCAAAGCTTATTCGAAAGTAAAATATAAACATGACTGTAGACACGTTATGACAAACCACACGCGAGATCAACATAGTAAGTTAAACAAAGAAAATTGTTCTCACATTTATAATGTTTATTACCAACACCGTCGTCAGTTTAAAGTGATCTCTCGAAACGAAAAGGTCGCGATTCTATAGACAGACTTCTGGCATTTGTAACTGGTAAGCATTAATCACAGTTAATTTCAAATTTACCAGTGTCATTATAAATTCTAAGTATCAAATCATTTTAAACTTTTTCCAGGATTATATATACATAATTAATGTCATATAACCGTACTTATAATTCGAGAAATATACACAGATATGCATTGAATCATTAACAATACATAAGTATTTTAAAATAATAATCTTAAAAATAAATTATTATATTTATAGTGTTATCTGAACTTGCTTCAATCTTACGTGTTAACCTTATTTGTATTGAGCTGGACTTAAATTTTACAGTGTTTCCATAAATGAACCATTTAATATATTCTTCATTACTTTTCACTTATTCCATTCAAAAATGCCAAAATTTATTATTTCAGTAATTATATGTAAAATTTATTTACTTGCTACTTGCTATGATGAAAAACGGATTTCGAAATTAGAAAGTTTAATCTCGTATCACAATTAGTAACACAAAGTCTATTAATGTTATCTTATATGTAATTCGAGCAAACGACAAATATCCGTGCAAAATAATAAAGAACAATAATATTTTATAATTAACATGGTATTTTGCGAGATGCCACACATTAAATGTAACTAATTGTTTTCTTGTGCAAAATTTTTATGATTTAGAAGACTGCAAATCTTTGATGATTAATCAAACGGTAGCAACGTAGTTAACATAATTTAAAAAGTCAACTATTATACTTAAAATGAAAAAATGTGTGATAAAGAAATTTTTAATTTATCTAAAGTGTATTAAATATTTGTAATAATAATGTATTGGATTTAAACGAAAGGAAGATCCCCGTCAAATAGGGAAACAAAAAATTTAATCTCAATTTTAGTTTGTTACTCAATCACAAAAAGTCTTTATTGTATCGCGAGATTTTTAAAATAAGAGAAGCATTAATGTTTAAATTAAACTGACATAAGAGACAAAGAAAAGTAACATATATAGAATAAAATATAAACTGAATTATTTGTCATCAAATACGCTTAGCCAAAACAAAAATTACAATTAATAGCATCAAAGCGTACAAATTTCAAAAACGCCCCGAAAGCATAAAATTAATTGTACAATATAACGGAATATACATACAAAATTGTTATAACGTTTTCCTCTATTTACAAATATTTACTTTAAATTTCATGTTTCTTTTTCTTCTAACTTAGGCACATTTCTACAAACACCACTGAACCTATTTAGAAAATTACAATGGAAATATTTATATTATTATTTAATGTAATGTTCATTATGGCTTCTGTTTGCGCCGAATTTAATGATCTCTTGTCGAATTATACAATACCGAAGCATTATAGAATTTGGTTGGATATAGACGTTGAAAAGAATATCTTCTATGGAAAATCTAATGTCAACATCACCATTTATCAACAAACGAGTGCGATATATTTGCACTCGATATATTTGAAAATTAAAAATACAACAATTGAAAATATTGATATGGGTGAAAGGACCAAGCATATCGCAGATACATATTTTTCCATTGAAAAAAGAGAAGTTACGTGTATTAATTTTAACTATGATCTATCACCTGGTAATTATACTTTAAACATGGAATTTATGGGCAGCATATCTAATATGAGTGACTTCAAAGCTGGTTTCTTCAAGACTCCGTTTATAAACGAAAAAGGAGATAGAGAGTGAGTAGATTTAAAACTAACAAGAACATATACATGAATATATTCATTAAAAAAAAATTAATAATTAAATGTTTATATCTAAATGTTGACTATTTTAACCTATTATAAAAAATTTCATAAATATGCTATTAGATATAAAGAATGTGTAAAAAAACACTCTAAAATATTTTAGAGAATTATAAAGAACGTCCTAATAACTTCAGTTAAAGATAAAGAATACGTAATTGAAATTATTTACACATAATGCAGAACATTACATCTGACATTTTTTATTTGTTTATTTCCTTGTCATCCTTCATTTTGTTATTACTGTATAGATTGTATTTTTTAATGTTTTTAATATAAATAAATAATATATTGTTTAGTATAATTTTTGTAATACTTTCTTTTACGCTATAATTACAAAATACATGAAAGCATGTAATGTATGTAACCAATTAAGAACAAAAGTACCTATCCGTCATCTTAATCCAAGCTTATCTTTATCCGTATCTTTAATTTAGAAGATAATATTTAAAAAATTTAAAATTTAAACCATAGAAATATCAAATGTTGAAAGAAGCGCTAATTGTTATATTTATATAAAATCTTTACATTTTAAAAACAATTGTGAATTTTATGTTACGTATATGTTGCATACTATAAAGATATCTTTATGTATTATAGTATATTATACTGTGATGTATAGAATAGTGTAAAGATATAAAATAATAATAAGAAATAGACATCAAAATATTAAGGAAGAAATTATTTCTTAATTGTAACACGTAATCATTCACATTCCGTTAGTCCTATGCCATATTTTAATACTAACACAGATTAATAATTTATTATTATTTGAGATATTGTTAAAACTCGTAGATGGTTTGTCGCATCACGTAACTGGGCTACTGGAATACGACGAACATTTCCATGTTGGGACGAGCCAGGAATAAAAGCTATATTTAAAATTATCGTACAGCACCACAGAAAGTACACGGTTTTATCGAATACGCATTATAAAAAGAGAGTCCGTGTTAATAATGACATTGTAGAAACACACTTTGAAGAAACTCCTGCAATGTCCGCTTATCTTATAGCTGTAGTGTTGTGCAATTTGCCTGAAACAATTGTCATTGGAAATGTAAACTTGAGAGGCAAACAGCAAATTGAACATAATTTAATGTTTACAAGTCGCGTTATAACAAACGTTACGAATCAATTGAATATTTATCCAATGCAACAACATTTCGCGGTTCCAGGCTTGATAGATGATGGCATGGCAAAGTGGGGACTTATACTTTACAGGTAACATATATATGATTAGATATTTTTTAACTGCAATCAAACATTAATGCATAACGGATTAAGAGATAGATTTACTTTTGCTTTTTTAACGAAATAATTCAGAAATTTGTTTATTTTCATTGTTTAAATTGGTTTCATTACATGATTGTACATACATAATATAATTTTAGTAATATATGTGCATAACTGAGATGTAAATTTTGTTTCTAAAAAAAAAGCAAATTTATTTTATAACTAAAATAAGAAATTTACTAAAATAAAATCAGTACAAAATATACATTTGTTTCATTGAGTTGACCAATTATAATATAAAGGAGTTATGACTATTAAACACTTCCTTCTTTTGTATTTACTTTTGTGTAAGGTTTAGAGAAAGTGTTAATTTTAAGACTCACTTAAATGTCGATTTGTTAAGTTAAAAGGTGTCAATGCGATATTCATCGATGACAGCATGCCACAACAGATAAGTGGTTGATTGTTTAAAAAAATATGTGGCAATGAAAGATTTTTAATAGTTATTACAGAACATTTTTAACAGTTAAAATTATTTTTGTTTTCTAATTAGTTAATTAATTTTAACAGTTTCATGTACAATTTTTCTTATAGCAATTACAGATATATGATAAGTTGTAAATATATATTTTTTAATGTATTTAATATTTTTTCAAATGTTTTGCTAGGAATTGTGGTAAGCTGAAACGTAATCATACTATTAGAGGTGTAAACTATAGCAAAAGTTATATATAAAATTTTAAATATATTTTTTATAAAGTTACATACTGAGATTAATAATTATTTTTTTAATAAATTGAGTAAACAGTATTAAATAAAAATATATTACAACTTATTCTCATATCTATTAAAATAAAATGATATTTGCTTATCTTTATTTATTCTGAATTACATTAAGTCTGAGTAATATTTGAATGCAAGTAATTGTGATATATCAAATAATATTAAGGAAATAATAAATAAAGCAACAAGGTAAAGAATAGTTTAAACCAATGCAATATATATAAATTTTGACTTTCAGAGACGAAGATATTATTTATGATGAAGAGAAAGATAATATTGCTCGCAAAATAAAAATAACGTGTTTAATCGGACGCAAAATAACACGACAATGGTTGAGTTCTATTACAAGTCCATCGTGGTGGTCCCACTTCTGGTTAAATGAGGGTATTGCTACGGTTCTTTTTGCATCAAAAGTCATTGATAAGGTTAATTGCTTATACATCTCTTATAATGTTTTACTTAAAAATGGAATGCATGCGCACTTTTTCAAAATGTTATATACTGGTGGAGATTTAAAAAATCCTATTTCAAGTATTTTCAGTGCTATCTACAAAATTGTAAAATACTTACTTTAAAAGTATTTATGCATATTTTTAATGAAATGTCAAAATAACTGCAGTAACAGCGTGCAAGTGGTGCTGTTGCATATTGCTATAGTTAAAGCATTCGCTCAAATTAAATTAAAATATTCCATGATTACTCTTATCATCACGCAAGCTTTTGTTTCTAGATTATTCCAAATTCTCGCATGTCGGATTTGTTTGTTGTCCAAATTCTGCAAGAATCCCTCTATTTGGACGGCCAAGGAATTATGAAACCTCTTACATCGTGGGAACAAAAAGGCAACATGATCTCTGATATTAATTCAATTTTTTCTTTCTCCTATTATATCAAAGGTAATATAAAGAAGTACAAGATGTAAAAAATAAAATTTACAAAATTACAAATATTTTATCACTGTTAATATATTTAGTTAACTATATCTAATTATTTTATAATGTTATTTGTCATAGCACCTGCTATATTGCGCATGTTGCAACATATAGTTACAGATCAAGTGTTTCAGATCGGTATCGATATATATTTAAAAAAACAGTGAGTATATATTTTTGTTCTTTTTGCTCTGTCTACATATATTGTTTTCAAGTTTTTCCCGTACTTATATTAATATATATATTTTTTTTCTTTGAATGTGATTTACTTATCTCTTTCTCTATTTTCTTTCTACATGTCCACAACCCTGAATTAATTTTTTTTTTTTTATGATTAGTTATTCCTATTATAATACTTCCTATTTTTACTTAATAATAGTTTTAAGAATTTTTTGTTTTTAGTTTTTTTTCTTATTTTTTACGTTTTTCACTAACTTACATTTCATTATTTCCTCTTAATTTTTTTATTATGTTTGCTATTATTTATATTTATCTATTCTTTTTTCGTTCATTTTTTTTAAGTTTAACTTATTTCAAAAATATTCTGATAATTTTCTTCTTGTTACTTTTAATATCTAATCGTGATTTCAATATATTAATGCAATATATTATTAACTCACGTATTTCTTTACTCTTTTCATCTCTAAGTGAGTGCATATTTTTCTTAAAATTTATTTTTAAACAAGTTATATTAGATTGTATAATATGAATTATTTCTATCTATTTCATCTATAACTTTTTATCATTTTGTAAGTTAAAATTATGTATATAAACTGACATCAGCTGCTAACATACAGAAATAAATTAAGCAATAAATTTTACTTTTTAATGTAATATGTGTTGTAATAAATATATCAATATATGTGATTAAATTTTGCGAATTTTCTGTTAGATCAGCTACGCCGGATGATTTCTGGGCTGCCATGCAAATTGCTTATAATAAATCGTCAACAGTCATATCACCAAAAATTAACATAAAAGAGATAATATATCCTTGGATAAGCCAAAATTATTATCCTATACTAAATGTAACATGTAATTATAAGAATGAAAGTAATTCTATCATAAAGATGAAAAATGCATCAGAGACGTGGTGGATACCTTTGACATATACTACGCAATCGTTCTTCAATTTTAAAACTTTACCTGACGTAGTTACTTTTGAAGATAAGCTCCCTATACCTATACTTTTTAAAAATGAATGGATAATATATAATTTGCAACAAACTGGTAAGTATTGAGCGATTATTTTCTTTATATATCTTCACATTTATTTCGCATAATAAAAATCTAGCAAAACAATAAAGAAGAGAATTTAACTCTAATCAAATATATCAATGTCAAGGTTATTAAATTAATTTTTTTATACAGTTTTACTATAAATTTAATTTTTTATTTATAAGCATTCTTTTTAAATTATTTAAATAGGATGCTTATATATGTATAAGCATCAAAATTACATTAATTTAGAAAGACCGAAATCCATAATCTGAAACGTCTTGACAATAATCTGACCAAAATCAATGATTGTATCGTCATGGCAATGATAGGCATTCAGATCAATTAAAATTCTTAATTGTTCATTAATTTCTGACGAAATAAATGTCTCTTATTCGGTTTAATTTTTTATGTTATACGGTTAATTTTAGATTATATTGTTTTATTGCCAAATTTAAATTATTGCAAATGCACACATTTATACATTTTACGAAATTATTTTATTGGAGCACTTATATTCGGTAAATGTCTTTTCAAATACATTATAATAAAATTGTTAAGCATTAATTTAATAAATTTTCAAAACTATTTCTTCAAAAAAGGTAAAGAAAGGCGCTAAGTGCATATTGATCAAAGTATATATGTATATGTCAACCAATTATATATACTGTCTACAAAATATTGAATGTTATAAAACGTGATATAAATTGTTGAAAATGCATCAGTAAGTTCAATAATACACTACAGCTACATAATTTCAATAAAAACCATTGTAGAAGTATTTAGCTGTAATTGTAAAGCCAAATACCTTAAATATATATATGATATTGAAATAGATGATTTAGAAGTATATTTCCACAAGAAATTCTTAAGTGTGTGATAGATTTATTTTAATAGAATAAAAGGCCTAATTAAAAACAATGTATAAAATAAAAAAATATTATTGAAACAAGTAGTTACTTAATGCAAGAACTTGCTATGTCTAGTAAAAAAATAAGCTAACTTGCTTAATTTGCTATAGCATATATAGCATCGATAATATTATTTTATCAACGTATTAAATAAGTTTATATGCCATTCTTTCCTATTCAATTTAAACCCAGTTTATGAAAAATATATTATTGTATTATATAAATTTAAATTTGAAATGCATGTAATGTAAATGCGTTATTACTCCAAAAGCAAATATTAATGAAATTATATCATGTTCATAGTAAAGATGTTAATTAAATTTAAATTAGATCAAATGAATATTTTTATTATATAAAAATATTTTAAACTCTATTTTAAGCGCCAAGTTTTTTGTGTTAAGTATTTTTTTATTTTAAAAACATATTTTAATTTTTTTTCCTTTTACTCAAATGTTTCTTAAAATTTTAGGTTTTATATTTATATTACAGAGCAAATATATTATATTTTATTGGATATAATATTTTAATGTCAGCATATAGTAATAAAACAATTATGTGTATAAATTTTATTTCAGTTGCCGCATTTGATGATTACTTTCTTAGAAAGAATAACAGATTTAAACAACAAGCTTATAATATATTTCTCACGTAAATGTATTTGCTCAAAATTATGATACACTTTTATTGTGATGTCTATTTTCATATAATAAAACATCTTAAAATATTTTTAAAGTATCTAATTTTATTATTTTTAAATTTAGAGCGTATGAACAGTCAACTTTTTATAAGTAATGTATACATTGTAAGTGTACATTCAACTGATATGTATATACACTTTATTGTACTTATGCACGTGGCACCTTTCTCAGTTCCTTTTATCTTTTTTCGGATAAGATTTAATGGTCAATGACATTAACTCATATTACAACAGGATATTATCGTGTCAACTACGATACTAAGAATTGGCTAAAAATTGCACGTTACCTCAATTCTAAAAATTATAAAAAAATTCATGTTCTTAATCGTGCTCAAATCATCGACGATGCGTTTTATTTTACCATGACGAGCCAGCTCAATGCCTCTATATTTTGGGAACTTACAAAACATCTACGACAAGAAACAGAATATGTAGCATGGTATCCTATGATCAAAGTTCTTGAACGCATATCTTACATCTTCCATTTTCCAGATGAAAGTGAATATTTCAAGGTAAAAGATGTTGCTCAGAAAAGTTGTTACATCTCAAACATTACATGTTTGTAATGAAATAACAATTGTGACGTAAGATTTAATAAAATATCCTATATAGTGGAACAAAATGTTAGCAGCATGCGCGCAGATTTTCAGCAAATGATAGCGAGACCGCATATCACCTTATGGAAAAGTAATATCGGTTAAATTGTTTAAAAGCTGGATATGTTATAGTTTATGATTGCCTGATAAAAAATCCCAACGAGCACAACCTTCGAAAATAAACAGATACAAATCTTTTTCTGTAACTGTTCGAAAACCGATGTATTAGATTTACATATGCTGGAGATATATTGACTAGTTCGATATTACACATGTGGAAATTATGTTATGTATGCGCGCGCGCATGTGTGTGTGTGTTTCGAAATAGCATGGGGTTTGTAATTATTATGAGTGATACAAATTTGTACAAAATGGGTACTAAATAATCCGATAGGTCCAGTTTGATTTTACTGATTTGGTTCTGCTAGCATAATCTAGAGGTGTTCGGTGTTTTCTCGTGCTCATGATTGCATGTGGGTAACGCGACAACGTCCGCAGTAACACGCTATTTGCTTCTGCCGAGAACTTTTATTTTTTCAGTTCGCGAATTAATATATAAATAAAAAATTATATGTTTGACTAAAAATAGTATACGGGATCAGATTCATGCCACTTCCACGCAGTTGTTCTTGAGTAACGCCAAGTGTATGAAATTTCGACTTTTAAACGGTCATCATTTTGGATGGAGATGTCGTAGCGACTTGTTCGGGTTTTGTTTCTCTATAAAGGACCTTTTAAATGAGCTCTTATTTGAACCCGAGAACCGTTTAAAATTTTCAATCCCCATCCTGTCGTCACGCACCTGAAGGCGGGAGATAGTAGCTTTTTTTGAAATATTGGAACAAATGTTTCACTGTTTTACTTTCTGATATTTTTATTTCTACAAAAGTTATTTGCAGATTTTCACACTATTGATAAACTTTGTATAATAATAAAAAAAAAACTGAGAAATTTTCTAATCAAATTGCATCTATTTTTTTGAAAAAGTATTCTTAAGTATACGTGTATATTCGCACGCTCCATCGCTTTTTTGTACATAAATTCATAAAAAGTTTTAATACACAAATAAATAATTTTTATAACTTTACAATATTTAGACGATCATACTCGAACAATTGGAACCGTTTCTTCAAACAATAGGATACAACGAGAATTGGAACGACAGTTATTCTATAAAATGTTTAAGACAAGAAGCTGTAAAATGGGCATGCGTTCTCAATGATTCTAGCTGCAAGACTATGGCCTTAAATAAACTGCAACAACACTTAACAAATCCTGTGTAATTTAAACGTTCTTTTTTAACCATACATTCGTATTACTTAATACAATGCCTGATACAGTAATTTAAAAATATTTAAAATATATACATGTAAGATTCTAAACTAACTTTCATATCTTGTCTTTTCAGACGTCATAAACTCTTGCCGGGGTGGAAGAAATGGACATATTGTAATGGTTTATTGATAGCTAATAAAACTGTTTTAATGAGTGTATATTATATATATGCAAAAGAAATTCGATCTAAAAAAGATACAAAAATAAGTTTAGAGTTTCTGACTTGTTCTAAACATTTTTACATGAATTCCATCATCATGTTTGAAGATATAAGAGAAGAAACTATCAACAATATTAACTTTTTTCATTACAATGTTGCGAAACATGCAAAAGATAATTCAGTACTTGATTATATATTAGAAAATTGGGAGAAAGTAAAACCAAAGTAAATTATTTTCTTCCGTATAAATATATCTGCTTGTTATTACGATAGTATATTATACATATACATACAAATTAAAAATTGGTTATTTTGTTTTTACAGGGAAATTAAAATGACTACAGCATTAATTGATATTATAAACCACGTGTATTCTAAGGAACAACTTGATAAGGTAATATCAACAAACGTTATTGTTGCTCATATGTTATCTTTCCATTTCATCAACCTTATAAGACTTTTGTGTATTCTTAGCATAATCAATTTAATTGTAGTGAGAGAATAGTTTTATAAAAAATAACTATAAAACTATAATAACAAGTATAGTATACGTAAGACTAATATTATTTAAAAATAATATATATTAAAATAATCTGTTTTAGATAATGGAATTTGTGAAAAATCTAAAGCTTGAATCGCTGTTTATAGATTATTCTATTCTCGAGTCCATTGACTCAATATTATTTAGCAAGGTAAAGATATTTATCATAAATTTGAAAGTATTATCACATTTACATAAAAACATAGCATCAGTATTTATTATTGATCTTGTGCAACTCTGCATGTCGCATATACACTCTTGATTACACACGTCATAGACGTGTACATATGTGTATGACATACATATAATGTTCAACACAATATTCTTGCATTTTCCTTGCAACATAGTTTTTATATCAAATTTAATTAATTTACAAAATCACGGGTGCAACTACGTGGGCGTATATGCATACGTACGTATGTATAGTTACGTAATACACATTCAGAAATTTTCTTAGTTTTATCAAACGTGGAAGAATATTGCAAATATTGTCTATTATAATTATTTATTTGTTAACAACATACGGAATAAATTATAAATGTATTATTTGGTAACATATTAATAATATGGAAATTATATTATAGATTAAGGAATGTATTAGAAACAACGTAATTAACCTAATTTTGGATATTCACAACAAGATTGATGTACGTTTGTCTCAAATCGAGAATCAGAAAAACACTTTTCTTTCCGTGTTTGGAATCAGTTCAGCCAGCCAAAAAATGGAAGACTGCAATGCTTGATATCATATTGTATTCAACAACATTTAGGGTGCATTCCGTTTCATGCTTGATGCGCATAATGCATCATTTATTCTTGTTTAATAATCTGTGAACAACAAGAATGAATAAAGCGTTATGCACATTATGCGTGAAACGAAATGCATCCTTAGTAATAAAGTAAAACAACAGCATCATAGATTTCTGAAAAAATTGTATTCAAACATTTTTATGTGTTTCTTATATTACTCTAGTATTTATTTAGATTTATATATTGTTTATCCATTGTCCATTATACTTATGAGTTTTATAGTTATTTCTGTGACTACGTAGAATATCTTAAATATTATTATAAGAGTCTCTTTTTCTCTCACTAGTTATTTTAATATATCATGTACATACATATATGTTTATATATATGTGCATGTGTATATAAATATAACATATTATTTTAATAACTTCTACAAATACATATAATATATTGGTGATAATTATTAATATTAATAATAACACAAATATTAGTACCTATGTTACTTATATTTATAATATAATGTGTTGATATTATTATATATTTTAGTAATTAATAATATATGATTATTAATATATAATTAATGTAATAAATGTTTAATTATATTATTAATAGCTTTGTCTTAATGTTGATGAGATATTAACAATATATGTTAACATGTTATATTATTTAATGTATTAAATTTAAAATACTAAATATCTATTTTAATATTTTAAACTTTATAATAATATTTATGATATATTATTTAAATTAAATTGCATTGTTTTATGTTAGGAATTTAATTTTTTATATTAAGTTTACTTTCTTTCTCTTTATTGATATGTAATTTATATAGTTAATAAATTTTTGGCATTTTTGATGTTCGACAATATAAAGTGTTTATTTCTGATTTACACAATAAAGACTTTATTCTTATACTATACTGCCTCTTTCTTATTGTAATGGCTTTTTTATTGTCTGATTCATCTCTGATATAGAGATAATTAAAATTTTATAAACCTAACAAAGAATTATACGCAAGAGTAGCCTTCTCCGTTTTTGATGCGTTTTTAATATATTTTGCTTTAAATCAAAATAAAGGATATATATTTTTTTATATGTTTCCAATCATACATGTATCGAAAATTTTGAAGCCACTGATTGAAACAACGTGCAATGTTGATATAGATCACAACTCGGCCCTTCGTGTAAAGATATATGACGTCTCGTGCTAGGTGTGTACTTGTTGCGAGACACGATAACGTGTTTCTTGATATGTCTGGTGCAATCGACATATCTATTTAGATGTAATTTATGTATATGCTTAAATTTATAAACGTTCATATTATATCCATATTCTAAATGTGTGTATATATTATTTCATAACATTGAGAATAAATTAAACATTGTTAAATATAAATAAAAATGTTAAAATAAAAGAACAATATTAATTATTTGATTTTAATGCCATTGCAATTGGTTTCAAATACTTAAAGCTTTTTTTAAAATAATTTTAATTTTATTATATTTGTACACACACTATATGTACATCTTTGTAAATGTATTTCTAATTAAGATAATATTAGAGTTCAATGCAAGTTTAAAAAAAATACAATTTATTAGCGTTTTATTTTAAATTTAATTATTTTACAATTGTATATAATTTTACATTTCCGATAAACAAAAGCTTAATTTCAAGTTTGCATTATTCTATCAATAATAATAATAATAAAAAAATTAAAAAATTAATTTATTTAAAATAGTACTTATTTTATATTCATTAACATGTTGCAAACGGGGATAATATGACCTTATGTAAAGATCAAGTCAATAATATATCAAATATTTTATTACAAGATTGCGTACTAGTTTTTAAAGAAATATGACCAAAAGATATATCTCAGTAACAGTATAACGATATTCGAATTTATCGGATAATGATAAGATTTTAACAACTTTAGAACTTGTGACTTTACTATATATATAATGTTTATTACCACCATCGTCCTCAGTTCTTAGTGATCTCTCGAGACGAAAAGGTTGCGATTCTATAGACAGACTTCTGGCATTTGTAACTGGTAAGCATTAATCAGAGTTAATTTCAAATTTACCAGTGTCATTATAAATTCTAAGTATCAAATCATTTTAAACTCTTTCCAGAATTATATATACATAAATTAATCTCATATAACCGTACTTATAATTCAAGAAATATGAAAATACACAGATATGCATTGAATCATTAACAATACTTAAGTATTTTGAAATAATGGTCTCAAAAATAAATTATTATATTTATCGTGTTATCTGAACTTGCTTCAATCTTACGTGTTAACATTATTTATATTGAGCTTGACTTAAATTTTACAGTTTTTCCATAAATGTACCATTTAACATCTTCTTCATTACTTTTTATTTATTACATTTGAAAATGTCAAATTTATTATTTCAGTAATTATATGTAAAAAGTTTTTTGAAGACAAACAAACCCCACCAGTTTTAAGTCGCTACCACACTCTCATCCAAATTGGCGACCGTTTAAAATGTCAAAATTTTATGCATCTGGCGTTACTCAAAATCAACTTCATGGAAGTAGCACGAATCTGATTCCGTGTACTATTTATATTTAGTCAAACGTTTAATTTTTAATTCATTAATTTGTGAACTAAAAAAATAAAAGTTTCTGGCAAAAGTAGAGAGCGCACTATTTTGGGCGTTGTCACGCCATCCATCGTGTGATCGTGCGCGAAAAAAGTACCAGATACTTTTGATCTATTAAGCTAGTGGACCAAATCAGCAAAATTAAACCGGACTTATCCGATTATTTGTTGATTATATAAAATTTTATTATCAGTAGTACAAATTAGTATCAATTTTGTATGAATTTACTAATAATTGTTAATAATAATTTTGTACTCCGTGTAATTTTCCACAAGGTTTGTGCGGAGTCCTATTATTAAATTGCTTAATTTTGCTTAATTGCTTATTATTTAATTGCTTTCTTATTTCATTACAATTAAAGCATATAATGTTTAGACGTAACCATTTTTCTGAATAACATATTTACCTTAAAATGTTTACTTTCATTTAGAAAAGGGAAAATGTAAGATATGCGTTTGATAGCTCCGATCATAGGATACCATGCTACATATTCTGTCTCTTGCGATAAATATCTTGCAAGTTCCTAAAATATAGAAGCATTGAGCTGACTCGTCATGGTAAAATAAAATGCGTCATCGATGATTTGGGCACAATTAAGAACATGAATATTTGTATAATTTTTACAATTGAAGTAACATACAATTCTTCGCCAATTCTCAATATTGTAGTTGACACGATAATATCCTGTTGTAATATAAATTAATATTATAAACCATTAAATATTTTCCGAAAAAAGATAGAAGAAAGGTGCCAAGTACATAAGTTCAATAAAGTATACATATCAGTTGAATGTATATTATTGTAAAAAGTTTACTGTTGATGCTCTGAGTTTGAAAGTAGTGTAATTACATGCATTAAAAATATTTTAAGAGTGTTTTACTATGTAAAAATAGACTTAACGTTACGAAAAAATTGATCATAATTTTGAGCAATTATATTAACGTGCCAAAAATATTATAAGCTTGTCGCTTATAGTAAATATGCATAAAAGATCAGTACTTAACAATTTTATCGCAACTCAAATATGTTGTAGGGGAGGTCTTTCTGACTAATGCTACGCAAGAAATAAGTTGAGGACGGTGAGACATATATTATAAAGTAATAACATTAATTCTAAGAGAAGTAATTTGCTGATATGTATGGATGGACACATGTAGGCTACCGCCTCTCCTCCGCAACCAGGAGTGGGTGGTGGTGGACCTTGGTTCGCGTGGAAAGTTAAGAACCCGTTTTTTTTTCTTTTGTCGTTTCATGTGAAAAGTTGAATTGTGTAAAAATGCTTAATATCTGTAACAGAAATAATTTGTTAAAGCAGAGAATAGTTATATTATATTGAAAAGTATATATGCAATTTAATATTTTAAAAAGTATAAATACAAAGTATTCTCTGCTTTAACAATGGCGAAAGCATAAACTGTTGTTTTTCGTTATTGTACAGTTTCACATGGGTTTGCAACTTTCCATACAAAGCGATGTTCATCCCATCCCACGCCCTTGCTTATAGGGCGAAACAAAGTTTATCATTGTACAATTCAGGTTTTTAACTTTCCACGCGAACCGTGGTCCATCCCTACGTCTATACGAACATATATCAGTAAATTACTTTTTTTAGTAGATATTAAAATTGTGAAACTATAATTTGCTACATCTTCTAAATCAATGTTGTCCCACTTTTTTCTTTCGTAGAATTACCCAGAAAGACCTTCCCTACAACATATTTAAGCAGCGATAAAACCGGTGAGTACTGACCTTTTATACATATTTATCAAATCTATTTTTTCTAAGAAAGCAATAATCTAATTACAGCAACTGAAATATACACATATTTGTTTCACTACAATGTTGACATTAAAATATATCCAATAAAATATAATGTATTCGCTCAGTGACTTAAATATAAACCATATAGAATCTTAAGAAACATATAAGCTATAAAATAAAAATCAAAGAAAATAAATGGTAACACGAAAAATTTTGTTATTAAAATAAAAAACACAACGCAAAATATTTGGCACTTAAAATATAGCTTAAAATATTTTTTAATAATAAAAATATTTATTCAATTAAATCTATACCTTAATTAAATAATTAATAACTTTACCATAAACTTGATGCAATTTTATTTTATCTGCTTTCGAAGTGTGTGACAATGCAATTTACATTACATGTATTTCAAATTTAAATTTATATAATATAACATACATTTTATAAACTGGGTTTAAATTAAGTAAGAAAAAATAACATATAAGCTTATTTAATACACTGATAAATGATAATATAATATAAATCTATTACCCACTTAAAAATTTTTTATAAAAATAACTTCAAAATATCATACGTTATTTTAGGTATTTAGCTTTACAATTATAGCTAAATACATCTACAATAGTTTTTATTAAAAACTATGTAGTTGTACTATACGTTTGAAAATTTATTAATAT